TCCTCCACCTCCTCCTCCCCCTTCTCACCACACAGGTACAAAAGCTACCACTTCCACCACCACTCCCAAAGAATCCCCCATCCCTGAATCTCTATCCCTCTCGCTGAAAATGTATGCATGGGGTGAAGTCGCAATGCATGTCTATCTCCTTCTGTTCCTAGCGAGTGAGCGGAGGGTTAGAGGTATGGGCGCTGAGTGGCGCGATTCTGGGGAGGAGGTTGTCATCAATATGCCGTGATGATCGGATCGGATCGGATCAGAGCTGATCTGTCCTGATCTGGTTCGATATGCATATATTTGTTTTTTTATGTACGATGTACGATGTACGATGTACGAATCGATGTTAATGACAATTAGTAATACTAAATAATGAGAATGAGAATGAGAACTTTGGAATGAGAAAATGAAAATGTAAAATTCCCTGTCTGAGGTATCTACTAGTATACACCCCGATAACTTGAACTCGAACTCGAAATTATGCTGCTCCCGTGGGCACCTACTAGCAGTAGTATGTAGACATTCCAGTACCACATGTACTACCACTGGCGGTGCTAAGGTTTACTCATGTCCGAGTCCCCTCTGTCATGTTTCATTCTACCGAGTACAGTTGAAACACAAACACCCTACGAACCCGGATGAAACGATGACCAGTTTGCAGCTCAATTCACGATCGAATGATATTGTACATGCTAAACGAACTTTCAAATAGAAAGGATCCAGGTCCAGATTCAGGTCCGGGAAATTTTAAGACCAGATGAAAAGAGAAAAGAAAAGAAAAGAAAGCAGACGACAAGGAACAAGAAGTAGTGAAATAGCCCAGGCCAGGTCGGCCCGGGCCACACCTGGAGCATGGCAAAATCAGGGGTGTGAAAGGAAAAAGGAAAGAGAAAAAGAAAAGAAAAAGAACGCAGTACTGCAAATGTGGTCCCGAGCTCGAGGAAGAAGTACGGAAAAGATCTCGATGATTCGAAGAGAAAATAAAAAAGAAATGAAAAAGGTGAGAAAAAAAAAGGAAAGAAAAGAAGTTCAAGAAGGAAAGGCGGGCCATGCGCAGTAAAGTAAGTTTCCCATTCATTCCATCCATTGCGCCCACACACCATTTAGAAGAGAAGAGAAGAGAACAGAACAGCCAGAATAGACAGAATAGAATTGAGCCAGGCGAAAAGAAGCAGGACATCATCGACCTGAGCCGAGTCCAGTCAAGTCGCTATGTCATGTGAGTGAGCCCGAGCCCAGGACAAGAGAAGGCTAGTGCTAATAGTTCAGCTCTCCACTACCGGACCCACCCACCGCATCGAGGTCCTCATAGCTCTTGATACTCCGCCCCTGGACCGCTTCACGCGGAGGCATAGGCTGCTGCCCACCACCTGCACCCATTGCATCGGGGAACGGGTTATTGCCGACCATTCCGGCGGCAGGATGGCCCGAGGGAGGGTAACGGCCCCCGCCGTACATGTTAGACATGCGGACAGGGCTGAGTCGACCGTTTCCGTTGGGCCGCCGGCGGTCGTAGGGTCCAGGTCGAGGATTGTGGCGGATATTTCCTCCGCGGCGCATGGCACCAGGATGGTGGAGACCAGGACCGTCGCTGGAAACCATCCCATTGCCCCAGGGGCCTCCGTTCCTGGACATCATGGGCATACCCGTGCCCCGAACTGCGAATCCGCCGGGCACGTCTGGGTTGTAGGTATATGCCATCATTCCATGTCCGTGTGACGAGCCGCCTGGGCCGAACGGGTTGTCTTCGTTCTTCTTGGGGTCAGGGTGGGGTATCAAAAGACGCGATGGGTCTGTAGCGAATCTCTTTACAAGTGCCATCTGGAAGAAGGGTTAGTGGGTGCCATGAGCATTGTTGAATATTCGAAAAAGAAAACTCACCTCACTAGTGATATTCGCCCGGAATGCTTGGTGGCCCGGGTTCTTGGGCGGTTGGCCTTCAGCTCCACGTCCGGTGGTGTGATTGAGCCAGAAGCGCTCGGCCGCGAATTTCTTCGAACAGTTTGGCAATTTGCAGTCGAAACGAAGTTGCTTTCCCTCATCGGTGCTCACAGTGCGCTTCAGAACGTGGTTTGCCAATAGTTCGTCAACAGTGGCCTCTTCTTCATCCATGCAGTTGAATTTGCGCAAGTCGACGGATTGCGGGTCCAAAATCAGACCCAGTCTATCTTCGAACCGCTTCACATGCTTGAAAGCAGTTTGCAATTGCTTCTCGTTCTTCGAAACAGGTCGCTGGTTTCGTCTTTCTTGCGGCGACGACTCGCCATCCTCCGGCAGCTCCTCGTCCTCGGCGGGGAAGTCTGTGCCATTGACGCTAGCATCAGCGACATCCTCAGCCCGCTTAGAAAGAGTGCCGCGTGGTCGACGAAGGTGACCTTGGCACTTTTGGGTAAGTCCATGAACCGAGTCACTCTCATACACACAGTAAAAGCAGAAGTTGTGGACTCGTCGCAGGTACTCCACCATCAAGTCCAAGTTCTTCTTTTGCACCAAAAGCTCCATATCGTCGACCTCATTGTTTTGGTGCGCTTCCTTCTCTTCACCCTCCTCCAATTCCCCGTCCTCGGCATCCTCGTCGAATCCATTATCTTGCTTGATGCTGACTGGGCCAGTGACCGGAGGCTGCAGCCAGCCCTTTCTCTTTAAGTCCTCAACGCGTTCTTCGATCTTGGTAGCTGCGCTGGCATCATAACCCAACACTTCGGTCAATTCTGCATCCATCTTTTCAATCAAACTCTGCGCAAGGCTCAGGTCGGCTTCGATTCTTTTCGGGGCGGAGTACAAGTCCCAAAGTGTTTTCTTGGACAAGGGAGGTGGGTTATGAACTCCCATGTGGCAGGTGAAGTCGCCATGCACCGGATCATGGATCTTCTTCTCATTCACAGCTTCAAGAGCTTTCTCGGCCGTGTTGGTGACGGCACTGCCATTGCCAGTGTGGTCCTGGTCAATGTCAAAGTTCTCGCCCTCCTCGTCACGGCCATCGCCACGCTCCACGACATTCATCGTATCTGCCGCGGGGTGCAGCATGACCCATCCCATGCGGTGGAATTTCTTCTTTGGCCTGGGATCGGCAAGACTGAGCCATTTGAAGCCACCATCGCCCTCTCCAAGATGCTCCTTGCAAAACTCCTCGATCTTATCGCGACTGATATTTGGAGCCAATGTCTTGATGAGCAGGGTTGGCTGAGAAAGGGTCTCGTCGCGCAGATCCGCTCCACGAGCTGGGACTAGATCTTGACCACCTTGGGTTTCACCAGCAGTGGTAGTCTCGCCCTCCTCCTTCTCAATGACGCCACCGGCGCCATCATGCTCGCTCTTGTGGATTCCTTCCAAAGAGAACTCATCAAATACACCTTCGTTCAAATCACGCTCCCATTGCTCAAAGCCTCCCTTCCGGAAAGCGAGGAGGCGGCTGCGGATGGGGTTCCGCAGCTCATCGTTGTAGCGTTCCTTGAACCATTCGTCATCCCGGTGCTTCCGGACAAGAGTTCGCGTGAACTTGATGAGATAGTCCTTATAATCCTTCTCAAGTTCAGCCTCTTCCTTCTCTCGGTCCTCCAAGGCCTCACGCTCCCCTTTGATGCCATTGGTAGTTCGGTTTGCCTCTCGATCCTGTCGCCACCAAAGACGATATTCTTTGAGTTCTAGCTCGAATTCGACGGAGAGCGGATCGGGGTATACGATCGGCGGTGAGCGGTTGCGATTCCCGGGGGTGTATGTGTCCCTGGATGAGAAGGGCGAACGTCGGCGTTCTCGGGGGCGTCCTTCGCGAGGACCATAGCTGTCTCTCGGGCGACGATCCGAAGGTTCATAGCGATCGATTCTGGCGGGAGACCGCGAGCGACCATGGCGACGGCGACGATCTTGGGGGGCTGGGGGAGGAGTCAGCATTGAAGAGTTTCAGCAACGGGAAAATGAAATTGTGCCCTACAAGGAGATCGGCGTCGAAATTCTCCGGACGCTCGTCCGAGATACGAATCTCCATCTCGGGGTCGTCCCGGAGACATGTGGTCGTCGAATGAATCCATCTCGGCGGAGGTATTCCTGATGGTTGGTGGTAAGCAGTTCACGGCTTCTGCCGCAACCGAAGGTGTTCAGAAGCCCCTGAAGGGTAGCTGGATGGTGTTATGAACCAGCAAAGTGAGGGCGTTTGCTGGATAAGCCGACGGAGGTCTGGTGAACAGTGTGAAAGAGCTAAGATGTTCCATCGTCAATGTCAGATCGAGCAAATCGGAAAAAAAGCGGAAGGAGATCGGTGTATTGCAGCTGGTGGTTTCAAAAGGGACAGAAGAGACAATGTGATCGGGGATTGGAGATAAACAAGATGAAGTGGCCGTCGGTACGGCAGCTCCCGGGTGGAGGAAGCATGTCTTGACCGGATCAGGCGAGTGCGGAGGGTGCGGGGAGATTGAGAAGATGGAAAGAAGAGCGTGACATCTCGAGCATGCGCTAGAGAACAGCAGAAGAAAGGGAAGTGCGCGGGCTTGCGAAAGCGCGAGGCCAAAGCGGCGCAGTTGCGGTCTTCGGGGGAGCAGGCAGAAAGATGAAGCGGGGAAAACAGATGATCGGATAAGGGGGGGGGAGCCACAAAAGGGAGGAATGGGAAAGGGTAAAAAAAAAGGAAAGGCAACCTACAAGAAGCCTTAGAAGAAGCGATTGAGGCAGTGACAAGCTCTCAAGGAGGGAAGATGGAGATGGAGATGGAGATGGAGATGGAGATGCGAAGGGAGCGACAAGCTGACTGGGGCGGAGGTGATAAGCTAGTGAAGATGGGGTTAGTGGGTCACCTGACGAGTGAGGTATACAACTTGAATCAAAATCGGGTAACTAGAGTTGACAAGAGTGGGTTTAAAGATCGGGGAATCGAGAATTGGGAATTGTGAGAAGGTCGGACAATATTGAGAATGCCGGTAGACAGACAGGGGTAACGGTGGACAAGGAGGACATGTCTAAGGGGGAACACGGCGGGCTGGGGGCTTTGTTTCACATCAAATACTCTCTAGATGGCAGGCTGTCCCTGGTCAGTAGGAAAGTACTATCTACAAACAAGTCATGGACAGCTGCAGCAGGGATATTAGGGTAGTCATACACAGCTGCGATTGCATTCTCTTTGTCTTGGTCGTGACAGACGATGCATGTTCAGCATATATGGCCAAAGTACTAGAATATCGACCCCACCCGAAGTGAAGTATCAAAGACAAGCAAATAAATAGGTAGGGATAAGAGAAGATACGAATAGTGAGATACCGATAGAATAACCCTGATTCAGCTGCAATATTCAGCCGCACGCTCAAACTAAATTTCAATTGCGACTGATACTGCAGGCGTCTCCGAGTAGAACAAAGAACAGAGGACAGAAAAGCATAGATGCAACTAGGGACCTGCTGGTTCTAAGACCTTGAAAAGGCATTACTATATCATTTGCACGACTGTGTACTAGTATGTAAAATTGTACTAGTATCCCCAAAGATGACTTCAAAGCTGGCTTCAAGTTCTAACCACCTGGACATATATTGGATTGGAACCTCCAAGGCTTCAAAGTCTCGTTGCCATCTATGAGTAGCGATTGATGAGTTATGACGTAATCAGCTGATGTACTAGCATTCTACTAGTATTGTATAAAAAAAATAGAGACTCATTTAATTTCCATGGATGTTGCAAGATTAACACAAGAAATATCTTCATTTGCTTCGAACTATACCCTTTGTAACTAGTATCTCAGAGTGACCACTTTTCAAGATGCAACTGCCCTAGCTAATCCATACCTACAAGCTTAGAGAACTACTAAATTCCCTTCAAATAACTCAATCTTCTCTCCTTCACACAGCCCTGCACTATTCGCACTATCTGCATTACATAGTATATCTACTCAGTCTACTCCACCATCAAAATAGGCCCAAGGCCCGTGCACACCGGATAACCACCCGCCCTCCCCCACATTCCACAAAGCACTGCACTACACCGTATCACAACCAAGCTCACAATGGGCGACCTCCTCAGCTCGCGCTGGGCCCCCCGGCGCGAGCAACCTCAGATCATCCAACAACTACACCCTCCGCCGCCCACGCTCCGAAAACCCAATTCGCAACCACACCCCAGCCTCCACCTCCACCTTCTCCTCACCAGTCCGCAAACCAAGTCCCCATCCAACACCACCACCACACCACCTCCAACACCTCCAGCTCCCCCCACACGAAGAACTATCCCGCTTCATGAAAATCGTCTCCCGTCTACGCTGGAAACTCCCCTTCTTAGCCGAAGCATACAGACTAGCAACCATGACCACACCAACGGACTACAACACAGACGAGAATCCAAGTCTAAGCGCAGAAATCGCGCACGCGCAAATCATGTTCAAAATCGATTTCCACGAATACTACGCCCTTCTCGAACGGGCTATTGTGCATTTACTCGCTATTTTCAATATTAGCGTTTCGTCGCGACGACCTGCTCCAAGCTTAAATACTTTCGCCAACGGCACGGGAACAGGATCACATCGCTACCACGCAAATGTTCTCCAAGCCCTCGAAGAAGAAACAACACCCCTAACTCCCGTCCTCGGTTCCGGAAAGACAATCGCGCTTCTGCGGCAAGCGAAACAGTTACGGAATCGGTGGAAGACGGCTGATATGACTGCGGAAGAGAAAGGGCGGGATCCCCAGTCTGATCGGGATCGAAGTCGGGACGAGGTGCTCCCGCTGTCGAGTTATAACTTTGAAGAAATTATTATGGGGATTTTTGCCGGGCTTGAGGAGGGGTTTGTTAGGGCTCAGGCGCATGTTGAGCTGTGTCGAAGGCCTGAGGAAGAGGCTGGAGTAGGGGCTGGGGCTGGGGGAGGGGGGTTCGGAGGCGGATTGGGAGTTTATGGTTGATGCTATGGATTGGGAGGCTGTTTAGTACCAACTACATTCATACTAACCCGGACGGCAGGTGGTCTTGCCTAGGACTTGCATAAGATGGTGTTTGGGGGGGAGTTCTGTTTAGATTCGCATGGGTCAGCGCTGGTTTCGCGGCCTTTCTTTGTTCGCTGAACATATGCTTTTTTTTCGCCGTCGCTGTATCTACAAAGCAAACGAATATTCTTTCAATGGGTGGGGGGGTTATTATGGAGGGACTAGGTTGTACTTTTGTACATATCGCTTGGTTCTGAATGGTCATGCTTGATGCCTTAGCTCAGGTCAGGTCGGTCAGGTACCAGAGTCAAAAGGATATCGGACCAATGAATATCTCATGTCATATTTTAAGCTACGGAATACATTCTACATAATTATCTAGTACAACAGTTTAGTTTATACTAGTTTCCGTCGGTATGGGACTATCCCTTCCTTTGCCCCTTCCAAGACCCTAGTACCAGTAGGTATGAAATTGCAGTATAGAACAATATCTTCATTCAAATGGTATAAGCATGACAAATTGGTCCCATATTCATCCATCAAAAACGAAAAAAAAGAAAAACAAACAAAACACAAACAGAAAATCATATCATCCAGATTCATAAGAGATCAAATAAATCTGTTTTTCCAATGAAGGATACCCTCTCTAAATTCCCAGCCCAGTCCAGTCCAGCCCAGCCCAGCCCGGAACACAACAGAAAAGCCATACACACCCAGAAGACACCGAGAAGATCGCATAAGTGGAGAGGAAAGAGGAACACGAAATAAGCAGACGGGGGAGAGGGGATAATCATGAATAAGTCAATTCCGGGGAATTCATTCGCGATAGGAGACAATTGGGTAATAATAAACATAAGTGCGAGCTGCAATCAAAGTCAAGACAGTCAAGTGTGCGTACTGTCGATCATATACACAAGGCGAGGGAACGCTAAGCAAGATTCATTCTCAAGGTTCCAGTTAGTTACCATGGTCTCTCTTCTCTGCTTTTCATAGTTTGGCCATCCACAATCACAGCCATGGTCACGGCCAGTCACAACCAGTAACTGGAAGGAATATGAAGACCATTGTGATTGATAATAGAGCGATGCGATGCGAATGGTGGAAATGAAACCTCGCGATATTCCAATGTCAGTCATTCTGATAGGAGAGAAGAGAAGAGGTCTCAAAGACCCCATGGACCATGGAAGAAAGGGGAGGAAATCTCAACCAGCGATCCCTCACGGAAATACTTAGGGCGAAAAATTGCTTTGCTTCCCAGCATAGAGTTATAAACAAACAAGTCAGGAGGAAGGAGGTTGAGGATTCAAGGTTGAAAAGAGTCAATGTGAGGTTGGAGAGCGTAAGTAGAGCACATTGAGTTGAAAGAAGAGAGTAGAAGAGAAAAGGGGGTGTGGGTTATCGCTCGCTCGAGAAAAGAAAAAGGAAACCGTAATCAAAGTTAAGACAAAAAGAACACACACAATAAGGGAAGACAATAACAAAAACACAGTCCAGAAAGCGTCCATCCATAAAGCCGTCGTCACAACAAAAGGAAAATACATAGGAAAAATGATATATCATCGGCGAGAATCATGTGCACCCAACCCTATGTACAGGGTCAAAGTATATCTCATGAGCCAAGCCAGCAGCTCCGAGGACGAGACACTTAGCCATCCTCATCCGATGGGTCGGCCGATTCTTGCTCGCTTCCATCAGCGCTGGCAAGCGTCTTGGTCTTCTTGGTGTTGACGTTATCATCGTTGACTTCACTTGATTTGCGCTTCTGCGCAGATCCGTTCTCGCCCTTCAGTATATCTTCCAACCCATCACCTCCACCTTCGGCCGCCTTCTTCTCCATCGCGGCAACCTCGTCAGCGGTCAAGAAGCGGCCACCAGGGCCACGGGGTCGACGCATGGCGTGGTTATGTCGTGACTCGTGCAGGTAAGGCTTGCGGCCCTTGGAGGTCAGGCGCAATTGTTCTTCAAGCTTCTGTCGCGCAACACGGCGCTTGAGAATGCGATGGAACTGCTTCGCGTTGACGTATAATGGTGATTCTTCCTGGTTGGTGCTGGCCACCATCTCCGGGGATGGGTGACCCTGCGCCATGGCCTGGGGAGGACCTCCGGGGGGGAGCCACGGAGGCACGGCTGATGTGGTTCAGGACGGGTTGGGCACTTTGTACATTGGGGCTACCGCCGACATGGCTCATTCGACGCTGAGCCATCTGCGTGTTTGGCGCCATCGGAACACCGCTACCCATGGGTGGCATCTGTCCCGACATCTGTGGCGGCGATCGAGGGTTGCGGTCCTGCTTCATCGGGACACCAGGGGCCATGCGAGGAGATCCTCGCTGTCCCTGGGCCATTTGACCCGCCATGGAATCCTGGTGCACAGGATAGAACTGACCCGAGGCGGCCGCGGTGGCCATGGCGGCAGCCTGCGTAGGCGAAATACCATACCCTTGGGGCATGCCGGCGGGGACACCATATCCCTGGGGGAAATTCATCTGTTGGTGGACACCGCCGGGCGCATTCTGCGGTTGCTGGTAGTGCTGTTGGGATGGAATGATAGGAGAAGTCTGGTGGGCGGGATGTGTCTGTTGCATCTGAGGCGGAGCGTTGGTTGGCGACGCCATGGACCCGACAGGAGGTCCAGCATTTGGGGGACCAGCTTGGTAAGGACCGGGCAAGTGTGAGGGAGCATGCGGATGTTGGCCATGAGGCTGTTGATATTGCGGCGGGTACTCCATGATGGGCTGTAGTAACGGGGTTGGTTCCGTTGCACAGTCGCGCGGTACCGAAACAAGGAAGGATTCGGGGCGGGGGGACGATCTACTTTACCCCGAAATCACCAATCAGATGAAATAAGACGTTAGGCGACGCGACGGATTGGTGCGCTGTTGGCAAAGGAGAGACAAGAAGCTCGAGGAGCGCGAGCTTTTGTTTGGTAGAAGAGCCGGGACTATATCACGGCGCGTGCAGGCGGGGCGGGAATCACCACACTCGTCAACTGAGATGATTCGACGTGGGGACACGATGGTCTGCAGCCTATCGGGCGATCGCGTCAGCAAGATTTTGGCGCTGCAGCAGCGGACGGTCACTGGGTTTTGACACGGTGGGGACCAAAGGGAATCACGGCGCGTACCTTAATGGAACCAAACAAATGGACAAAGAGGGTTGAGGGTGTGAGGGCGACGGCTTCGAGGCTTCCCACACGATCTTGAACGGAGGGATTAGCGGTTTTGAGCAAATCGATACCAGGACCACGGGTGTAACGTGGTTGGGCTGTGATGCAGCCGGGGGGGGTCGAAGTGGCCCCTCTGGATATGATGCGTTGTCCGTCTACCACCCCGCGGAGGGCTGGAGGGCTGGGAACTATTTCAGGCGCCGCGACCGCAGTTCCGAGGTTTGATCTTCTTTCAACCTTGCTGGGCGCAAAGAGCACACACGGTCAAGGGTTGAGGCGATGCGAATTCGGGCTAGTGGGAGTGCTAAACAATGCGACTCCAATGTCAGAGCGCTGTCACTGTGAGAGTCAGTATGCATTCGGTATGAACTGGGAGTGGTGCTATGTTGTGTTGTCAAGTTGGGACCAAGCTTGGTCTTCTTTGTCTATTTTTCTCACTTTTCTTTTTTTTTCTTTCTTTTTTCTGTAATTTTTCTTTGGATTTTTGGGGGGGGAACCCGGGCATACCCAGGATGACACCGGAGTGGGTTAGGCCGCGACGGGCAGAGAGGCAATGGGCAGTGGCAGTGACAGTGGCAGTGGCCGCGGCCATGGCAGCGGGTAGAATGGGATGTATGCGTTGGCACGGGAATATGGAGGCTGCAGTGAACTTACCAGGATGATCGGCTCTGCAGACAGGTCGAACTGGACAAGGCGACAAGGGCCGAGCGAATTGGTTGGCGCGAAACTAGCAGCTGTTAGAATGCGATGCGATGCGACGAAAGGCGATGATGTCAAGCTCAATGCCAGGGACGCGTGCAAGGCGAAGCGATCGGGTAGAAACACGAAACAAAGGACAGTAAAGGCAGCCTCGAGTCAAGGCGCGCGCATAGAAGATTCACGTCCAGCCAATGACAGAGGGATAGGAAGGGGAGGGGGGGGTAAGGAAGATGCGGCGCATGCGACCGTGGGTGGTGGGAGATGTGGGTGGTGGAGGAGGCGCGTTGTTATGCTGTTGGGTGGGCGCGCGCAACGTGGGATTGGAGCAAGCTGGGATTTACCTGGAGACCAAGGTGGGGGAGATGGCACGAAATGGCAAATGGGAAGGGAGAAGAACGTGGATATGGATATTCTCCGGGTCAAACGATCAAGGGATCGAAGGGCGAAGATGATTGGGGAGAAGAGGAGGGAAGTGCAGGTGGAGGTGAAGTCAGTGCTAGGCGGTGTACGGGCAGTGGTGGGCAGCACAGCTGTAGGAACAGTAGGGTAAGGCAGTACAGTAGACAGAGGGTAGGCAGAGATAATGAATAGTATAGCAGTAGTAAAGCAGTAGTAAAGCAGTATAGTAAAGTAGCAGAACAGTGCAGTGCTGTAGTATAGATAGAATAGTATACTCACGATTGGTTGGTGCAACAGGACCAGATGCGAAGGTAGGCTCTGTGCGATGGTTGGAGGGCGAGCTGGAGAGGGCGACCAACGAGAAGAGGCGGAGGGAGAAAGGCGAAAAGGGGGCGATGGGGCATTTTGTACATTCACCGTGACTGGTGAGTTATTCGGGTTACCGTGGGCTTACCGTGGGCTTACCATCAGGTTACTGGGTTGATCCTCTGGGAGACCATTCATTGGCTTAAGTTGGGGTACTGGACCCAGTACACTGTAATATATGACCATACCATACGGGCTGACCGCTCCGGGCTTCCGGGTCATGTGCACCAAAGGGGAGACTCCGCCGAGTCAGCTACGTAGACTACCTCCGCTGTACTCGTACTCAGTACTCAGCTACTTACAGTGGTCACCGTAGGTTTCCGAGTACCTATGTACACTACGGTGAGTACTGTGTGTACTCACCCCCATTTTCCCCCATTTGGCCCCATTCCATCATTGCCATCTGGACTGCCCCAGGGTGCCGTGCTACGATGATATCACACCAACGCTATCCCATGGAATCCTATCACTATCACTAGTATACTGAAGGATGAATACTATGAATACTATGAATACTCCCTGTTTCTATATATGAGTATCTACTCCGTATCCCAGCTGGTAGCGGGGAACTTCCGAGTACGAGGCCGCCTGCGTGGTTGTGGGACTGGCAGCTAAGGTCCTTACTATATGCAGCGTACTATCAGTGTCACTACCATACTAGAGAAATGATGCCATACTATGCCAAAAGTTGCTAATATAAATATTAATGTAATGGATCAAATACTACCAGTAGATATCGATATCATCTAGATTATCATCTCCCCACGTGCCGACCTTAGCTGCAGCCATTCAGCGTGTGACCCGCCCGATCGTGACCCACGTGTGAAGCTTGTCAATCATCCAAGGGTTCAAGTTCAAGTTGAATGATAGAGATATTACCTACTGCTCGTAGTAGTAGGGCCGTCAGTTAGTACTTATACTACTAGTGGGCAGTTCTATCAAGAATCATCCAGTACTAGTACTACTAGTAGTATGCCCTCCGGCTGGCACTGGCACCGTGACGGTCTCAGCCACTGGAGAGACTCGGCAGTCCGATATATATGTATCCGTCAGGTGATCTTCTAATATTTGAATAGACTCAATTTCTAGGAAGTTCAAGTTCCCAGGTCGATATTTTACTACCTGCTAGTAGCGTAGAATATACCTAGAATTCGAGATCATCTTTATTACGATATCATTCTATCTCAAATTGAGCTATTCCGAGTCTATTCTTCCATGGACGCTGCCCTGGGCATGCAGGTTGCTGGCGCATTCCACACTCCTCAGGCTCAAAAATACCTCGATCTGCATAGTGCATCAGCCTCGAAATTCCATTATCTATAGCTCTTCCAAACATCCTTGGATCCTCTATAGTAGTATGGATTATTGCAGGCAATGCCCTGGGCATCCAGTGCACCAGTGCACCAGCGCTGGAGTCCGCAAAGGCGGTGTTTACCTCAGCAAGGGGCCTCAGGTGCCAGTGGCTTTTCCTCATGAACAGGACGACAACTCGACAATCGCATTTACTCCTTTGTCTCTCGTCTCACCGTTTGCGCGGCTTGCACTCGACTGTCAAAGAGGTCCCTCCCTCTGTCCCGAGGGACTTACCCATCCCGCTCTGCCACCCCCCGCCGCGAATATTCCATACATGACGTCTTTGTTGACATCCACGGTTCACTCCCTCCTCCCCACAAACCACTCATCGACTTTCCCCGGCCATTCAACCACGTCCCACACCCCCGTGCGATTACTCCGTATCTACGAGCCCAAACGCGCTCGCGCTCGCGCTCCTGGCGGAGTCCGCGCACCGCTGTGACAACCCGTCACCGCTTGTGTCCATCCTCACTCCCCTCACTTGCGGAGTTGAGTCCCATACTACGACCGCTTGACCTGTGTATTACACCCAGTGCATGGGGTAGTGGACAAGATGGCTCCAGGCGGCGGAGGTAATATCAAGGTGGTGGTCCGAGTACGACCTTTCAATAGCAGAGGTGAGTTTGCGCGGAAACAAGGCCTTCTCCCCCGAGTGCCCTCCGCTCCACCCCTGGCAGGGGCAGTTGAAGTTGTTGGGAAGCTGACACCCCTCCTCTCTCACGGCAATTAGAAATCGATCGAGGTGCAAAATGTATCGTCAAAATGAAAGGCGCCCAGACGGTGCTCACCGCACCGCCTGGCGCGCAGGATGTCTCAAGGAAAGGCGGCAAGGGCGAAGCCGGAGCGCCCAAAGTCTTCGCGTTCGATCGATCGTACTGGTCCTTCGACAAGAAGGACGGGAATTACGCCGGCCAGGATAATCTCTTCGATGATTTGGGTTCGCCACTCTTGGACAACGCCTTTGGCGGGTACAACAATTGTATCTTCGCCTATGGCCAGACTGGTTCGGGAAAGTCGTACTCCATGATGGGATACGGCAAGGAATATGGTGTTATTCCGCGAATCTGTCAGTCAATGTTCCTGCGCATCACCGACATGATGCAAGCCGATAAACACCTCAATTGCACGATCGAAGTCTCGTACCTGGAAATTTACAACGAACGCGTGCGCGATTTGCTCAATCCGTCCAATAAGGGCAACCTGAAGGTCCGTGAGCATCCTTCCACGGGTCCCTATGTGGAGGATCTGGCCAAGTTGGTGGTGCGTTCCTTTGAGGAGATCGAGAATCTCATGGATGAGGGTAACAAGGCGAGAACGGTTGCTGCGACGAATATGAACGAGACCTCCAGTCGGTCGCACGCCGTGTTCACACTGACCCTCTCACAAAAACGTCACGACGCAGAGACTTCACTGGATACTGAGAAGGTATCGAAGATTAGTCTAGTCGATTTGGCGGGTTCGGAGAGAGCAAACTCCACCGGAGCCACGGGTGCTCGTTTGAAAGAAGGTGCTGAGATTAACCGCTCGCTTTCCACGCTTGGTCGTGTCATCGCTGCACTTGCGGATGTCTCATCCGGAAAGCTCAAAAAGGCATCCATGGTTCCGTATCGTGATTCCATCTTGACATGGCTGCTCAAAGATTCACTCGGTGGTAACTCGATGACTTCTATGATTGCAGCTATCTCGCCGGCCGATATCAACTTCGACGAAACTCTGAGTACTCTCCGTTATGCAGATTCCGCCAAGAGGATCAAGAACCACGCTGTCGTGAACGAGGACCCGAACGCTCGCATGATTCGCGAGCTCAAGGAGGAATTGGCACAGCTTCGCTCAAAACTTGGAGGTGGTGTCCCCGGGGTTGCTGGCGCACCTGGTGCCATTACAGCAGAATCCTATCCACCCGATACCCCATTGGAGCAGCAGATGGTTTCCATCCGCCAGGATGACGGCAGTGTGACCAAGGTCAGCAAAGCTGAGATCGTCGAACAACTCAACCAAAGTGAGAAGCTTTACAAAGATCTCAACCAGACCTGGGAGGAAAAACTGCAGAAAACCGAAGAGATTCACAAAGAGCGTGAAGCGGCGCTCGAGGAACTCGGCATCAATATCACAAAGGGCTTTATCGGATTAAGCACCCCGAAAAAGATGCCTCATTTGGTCAATCTGAGCGATGACCCTCTGTTGGCGGAGTGTTTGGTGTACAATATCAAGCCCGGAAGCACGACAGTGGGACACATGGATCAAGGTACTAATGTCGACATCCGACTGAACGGCTCCAAGATTCTTCAGCAGCACTGCACTTTCGAAAACGCGGATAACGTCGTGACCATCATTCCCACTGATGGCGCCGCTGTCATGGTCAACGGCCTCCGGATAGACAAGCCCTCACGACTCAAGAGTGGTCATCGTATCATCCTCGGCGACTTCCACATCTTCCGTTTCAACCATCCGCAAGAGGCTCGCGCCGAGCGTGTCGAGCAGAGTCTTCTGCGACACTCCGTGACAACTAGCCAACTGGGCTCCCCGGCGCCTAATAAAACGCACGATCGCAACGTCAGCAAGACTGGATCGGAAATCGACGGGGACTCAAGTAGAGCTGACTCCCCGATGCCCGCACGCAGTCGCGAATCAGACTGGTTCATGGCGAGGAAAGAGGCCGTCGGCGCGATGCTTGGCCAAGATCATATCTCCCATCTGCCCGACGACGAGCTTGACGCCCTGTTCGAAGATGTGCAAAAAGTCCGAGCAGGGCGTCGTGGGCTGCCAGAGAATGAAGAAGATTCAGACTCTCTTAGCTCCTTCCCTATCCGCGACAAGTACATGTCCAATGGAACCATTGACAATTTCTCCCTTGACACGGCGATTACAATGCCAGGCACCCCACGGCAAACGGAAGACGATGATGGTTCCAATGGTGTTTCCCTGAAATCGGTTCGGTTGGATATGCAGCGCCAGTTAGATCGCCAGCGGGAGGCGTTCCAGGACAAGCTGAAGAGTGCGGAAACTTCTTCCAATCAAGATTCAGGAGAGATCCAGACTGAGAAACAGCGTATGGAGGATGCACTCCGGTCTGCCAAGGAAGAATTCGAAGAGCAGCTGCGAGTACAAAAGGAGACTTTTGAGACTCAGATGCGAGATATGGGCAAGCCCATTCCACAGATTTTTGAGAATGGCTTTGCCAAGTTGAATGAGCGCGAGCTCGAGATCGCACAGTCCGTTTATTCCCATTGGTCACAGCGTAACTACGTTCGCATGGCCGAGAAAATTCTACAGCATGCATCGCTGCTGAAAGAGGCACAAGTCATGAGTCAGATCATGGACAAGAATGTGGTCTTCCAGTTCGCAGTTGTTGACCACGGTCATAGCATGGCTTCATGTTATGATCTGGTTCTAAATGGGATTTCCGGCGACGAGGATATTGTCCTTGAAGAAACTAAGAAGCCTTGTGTCGGCGTTCGAGTTATTGACTACAAACAGTCTGTGATCCACTTATGGTCTATCGAAAAACTCCAGAAACGCGTACAATCTATGCGACAGCTGCATCAGTACATCGATCGACCCGACTATATCCAGCACTTCAGGCTTGAAAATCCATTTTCGGAGTCTTGCTCGCCGCAATACTCCCTCATCGGTGATGCCGACATCCCCCTGACGGCTGTCTTTGAGACCCGCGTTCAGGATTTCTCAATTGAGATTACATCGCCCTACACCCAAAGCGTTGTCGGTATCATTCGACTGTCGCTTGAACCCTCCTCAGCTCAGGCTCCTTCTTCGACTTTGAAGTTCAACGTCGTCATGCGCGACATGGTTGGATTCGCTGAATGGGAAGGATCAGATGTTCACGCTCAACTCTTCGTTCCCGGAATCTCGGAGGAAGGTGGTGCAACCACAACGCAGATGATCAACGGGTTCGAAGAAAGCCCGGTGCGCTTCGAAAGTGTTCATAGTATGAGCCTCCCGTTGTCTAGTCCTAGAACCGCGGCTTTGAAGGTCTGCGTCTATGCTCGTGTAACATCCGTTCATATGGATAAGCTTTTGAGTTGGGATGATATGCACGATTCTTCAGAAATGATCCCTAAGAAGCGCACCTCGCCTCGGATTGCCGAGTCTGAGTTCTACTCCGAAGAAAGACACGACGTCTTCGCCCGCATCCAGATTTTGGAATTAGCCGAGTCTGGCGAATACACACCGGTTGAAGTGGTTCAAAATGGGGCTCTTGACGCTGGTACTTCTCAACTTCATCAGGGATTGCAGCGTCGCGTTTCGATCAACCTGACTTATAGTTCCACCGAAAGCCTCCCATGGGACGACATTACCAACGCGCGGGTGGGCTCTGTTCGTCTCCTCGACCCGGGGCAAGATTCCCGACCAGGATCTCCAAACACCGGATGTCCCGCTGAAGTTCCTTCAAGAACCAATGGTTAAAGACAATGCAGATGGCACTTCCAATGTTACAATCATTGGCCAATGGGACTCAAGTTTACACGGCTCTCTCCTTCTTGATCGGGTGACCGCGGACAAATACAAAGTCCAAGTAACCGTCCGCTGGGATCTCGTCTCCTCCCGACTTCAGACACCCGTGATATTCGAGATCGACCAAACCATCCAGATCCTCGGCCGAACCTACGTCCGCCAACAGTCAATGTTCAAACAGCTATGGAGCTCCACTCGAGTCGTACATTCGACAACAAGCATGTACTCGCTAGTCATCCGCCCAATCTCAGCCAAGCGCGCCGCCGACCTATGGCGCATGAATACTCAGAACGACTACGTTAAGGGCGAAGAGCTGCTAACAACATGGGCTCCGCGGAAAGTCTCCCTCGTCCGAGATTACATCGCTGCCCGTAAGCGTCGATACCGCATCGCAGAGCTCCACGCTGCCCGCGGCGCTCTCAGTGCCGGCAGCCTGAGGGCATCTCCAGCCCGAGGCAGTGGCAGATCAACACCCATGCGCGGCCAAGACCTCAACGAGCGCAAGACAAAGCTGCTCAAAAAATACCTCGACCTCTGGTCAACAAAGAAAGATCCTACCGAAGCAATCCTCGTCCGAACAAATACCGAACCCCCCAGTGACGGCGCCGACCTAGCAGCCCAACGCAAACAAACCAACGGTACCACAACCACAACCACAACCACGCCCTCCGTCTCCGACAAAATCTCTCTCAAACCGCGCTTCATCGCAACAATCCAGACCCTACCAAAGAACCCCTCAGCCCTCAAAACAGGCTACGTGCTCACACCCGATGACACGAATAGCGTCTGGGTCCGACGCTTCGTCGAGCTGCGCCGACCTTATCTGCACATCTACTCCGTTCCGGAAGGTGATGAAATCAATGCGATTAACCTGCGCAATGCACGGGTTGACCACGCGCCCGATTTTGCGCGATTGCTTGATGGCAATGATCGGTCATCATCTTCGCTTGCCGCGAAGGGCAGACCGAATATCTTTGCGGTTTACGGGACGCAGAATACGTTTCTTTTCGCGACGAGGACGGAGGCGCATAAAGTTGAGTGGATTCTTAAGATTGACGAGAGCTATTTTAGTAGCAATGGTGGCAGTGCGGTCGCGAGTGGTGATGAGCGGTGATGATAATGATGATGATGATGGATGTCAAGGCAAGGTCGATTATTGGCATTGACTTCTCTCCTATTGTCTTGTCTCGTCTCACTTTCTCTTCCCCTCGATCCTAAGGTGCTTCATGTTTGACGATATAACGGCCCGGGGGCATGGCGTCTTTCACCCATTTACTGTTTTGCGTCGTTTTCTTATGTCTACTATACATTTCTTTTTCTGATTTCTGACCCCCCCTTTATGATGACCTGTTGAGATACCCCGTCTTTATATATATCAACTGCCTGTGGCGATTTCCCCATGTACATAGTTCGATATCGTTGGGACTATAGATTCGACGGTGTTCATGATTTCAATTCCTACCAATACCGTGACTAGTACTTCACGGTACGAGTGGTGTTTTTAACTTCAAGTTCTTACTACTAGCTGTGGATGTACTAGCACTCACTTGACTTTCAATAGTTCCAATGTTCTGGAAGCCCTGGAGTTCCGAGTCAGTTCGTGGATGATTTCATAAAGGCAGCCCGTTGTCAGGGCAACAATCTGTTGTGTCCACCACTCCCACCAGCACCACTTGGGATCTACCAACGACCAGTTTCAAGGTTGATCATTCAAGTTGACAGACACCTGGGTAAAGACCCCGAAGATATTCAGCTTGATCCTGCATGGAGTAGGCACCTGGGCATTCCAACCTAACCTCCCCAACTCCGATAGCGACCATGTTCGCTCAACGCCCTTCATTCCGATTCTTAGCCGTTGGCGCACTCTTCTCCCTCGTCACACTCACATTCCTCCTCTTGAATACACGCCGATCACACGATTTGACATCCCAGTACATCCTCAAGACCCCGCGGCCGGTCTCACATTGCCCGCCTTCTTCCTCGACCCAGCCTCTTCCGAACAGTACCAATACCCACAACCAACTTGAAGCTTGGAAGTTCCATGTTGATCGCGATGGAAATGATCACGGTCTTTCAGAGGAGCAGTGCCAAATTGCGTTTCCGAAACTCTTCGGCGAGATTGAGAAATCCGCGGCGTTACAATCGCAAGATCTCATTTCTTATGAGGAGCTGCGAGGGCGAGAGATTGAGGATGGGATGGTGAGGTGCATTATTCTTCGGGGCGAGGTATGTATTGTACTAGTACTGCTTATGCTAGAAGGTGATCTAGCGGAACTGCAGCCAGCTAACCTCCAAGTCTGAAATAGTTATATATTGTCGAATTCGCCCCTCAGCCCGTGACTGCATCCCGTGCCCGCGCAACCCTAAACTCCCTCCACCGCGCGCTCAAAGCAATCCCGAACCGCCACCACCTCCCCAGCATCGAATTCATCTTCACGACCGAGGACTTCGCAAATGACCCCGTGGGCCGCGGACCCGTATGGTCCTACTCAAAACGCGACACGGACTCCTCAGTCTGGCTAATGCCCGACTTTGGCTACTGGGCCTGGCCAGAAGTCCAAGTAGGACCGTACCACGAAGTCCGACGACGTATCGCAGCTATTGATGACGGGGGAATCAACCCGGATGATGGCTCCATCATCAGTCCCGGTATCTCCTTCCAGGATAAAAAGAAGCAGCTCGTCTGGCGCGGAAGTCTAAATACAAACCCCGGCATCCGGAGTAAACTCCTCAAAGCCTCGTCAGGAAAAAGCTGGGCCAGTGTCCGGGTCATTGACTGGGATGACGAAAATGATATAAGATACAATCTCCTCCCGATCGAAGATCACTGTCGATACATGTTCCTCGCGCATACCGAGGGTCGCAGTTTTTCCGGTCGAGGCAAGTATCTACTGAACTGTCGTTCGGTGGTTATTTCGCATCCGCTTATTTGGCGTGAGGCGCATCACGCTGCGCTCATCTCGTCCGGGCCCGATGCGAATTTCGTCGAGGTGAAGGCGGATTTCTCGGATTTGTCGCGCATGATTGATTATCTTATTGATAACCCGAGGATTGCGGAACGAATTGCGGAGAATTCTGTTCGCACTTTTCGTGATCGGTATCTTACTCCTGCTGCGGAGTCTTGTTATTGGCGCCAGCTTGTGAGGTCTTATGCTTCTGTTTGTGATTTTGAACCGTTGCTTTTTGATACGACCAGGGATGGAAAGAAGGTTTCTCGTGGTGTGCCGTTTGAGACTTGGATGCTTATGCATTGAATTTCCTTTTGGCATGATGTTTGTTTATGTATGCTATGCTATGCTATGGACCGGGGTACAGACCTGCTGGATGGGTTTGACGACCATAACGACACTGCATTTGAGCGAGTTTCTTTACGGCGTTGGGGCAATGGATTATATTTACAACTGGATTTGACATTGTCTGTACATGAGACTAATCTATGGATTTTTTAAAGATACTTCTTCATCTTCATCATCATCTTCTCTGGATCCGCGATCGCCCGTTGGGCTCTCCTTTTAGGGCCTATTAAGGTTGTCGGTACGGATTGTTCTGCGATCGCCGTTCACGCCAGTCTGGAATGACCTTACGATAATTCTTTGTTCAGCAACGCTTTTCCTAGTCTAACCTCTGCCAAGAAATCTCATCTTAAAAAGGGGGTCCACCTCCTTTGCTAGTCTCGAAGCGTGTTTAGTCTCGGGTCTGATCAAAGCTCGGATCAGTCACATTAAACTTTACAGTGAAATCCTTCTTGCTTTATCACTACGCGAGAAAGATACATATCGGCAATAAACAGAAACTACTCTGTGCAATGCATAGAAATCCAAATAATCCCCCAGCTACCCTCTTGAAACTGCTAGGGAACTCGAGATTAAGGGTCCAAGTCCAAGCCCAAGCCGAAGCCCAAGTGTGGCGCTGGGACCGCGTGAATACGAGTGAGGCTCTCAGTGGTTTTTCGTCTACTAAACCCAAAAGGGGTTAAATCCCCTGCCTTGCTGCTGCACCACGGCAAAAAGGTCTGTTATTCTTGGAAAATAGGGTCTGCCTCGCCCCCCACCACCCCCCCCAGGAATGCCTTCCCGCTAAGCTCGTGTTCAGTATCGTATTGTGTGACTTGGCATGGACGATCTCGGGCGATCTCGACATCGATCTGCTGGGCAGACTCTGATGCCTGTTGGAAATTCAAGGGAAAAGTTATCTAACGCGAGTTTTATGTTGTGAGAGCTGATCCGAGATACCATAGGGAAATCGAAATTCCTTGGGGACCCTTGCAAGGCTGTCATTACCATGCAGGATGGGATTAAAGATCGGCCCTAAGCCATGTTCTTATTTTTTTTCAGGATACGAGCTGGACCGTGAAAATAGGGGAATCTGTAGCCGGGCGAACACGAAACCCTACTTGACAGAGACGATGATAGGTCCAGTTTGTTTTAGTCCGCAGCTTAAATCGTGCCTTTTCTGCGTACTAGTACTAGTTAGTATCCATCACATTCATGTTTCAATGGGGCTGAGTTCGTTCTCTGCGCTGGCCCCGGCGCTTTAAGAACCGTTTCAGCCCCATCATCCATACCCTAGTCCTTCTTTTCCTTTCTCTTTCGCCCTCCAGCCAAAGATAAAAACCGCCCCCACGAGGAACATCATATCCTCAATCATGTCGTCTCCAGGCCAGCCTTCGCGCGTCACCAAGTGGTGGCCCATCAGCTTCTTCATCGCCGCCATCGTCTGCTTCATCATCGGTGGCGCTCTGATAGGAGTATGGACTTCCAACTCCATCGATGACTGCTCCTACAGCTCTTACTCGTCCTACTATTATTCCGACTACTCATGTGTTCAGACGGACATGGGCGAGTTCTGGGGCGGCGTCGCTATGTTCGTCATCGGCGGTGTTTGCAAGCTCATTGCTTGGGTTCTCCTCATTATCTTCTGCGTCAAGCGCAGCCGCAACAACCACACCACCGTCACATACGTCAACCACCCCCCCCGTCCAGCAGCAGCAGCAGTTCCAACAGCCTTACGCTGCTCCCCAGCCAGTCTACGCTCCCTCCCAGCAGAGTGCCCAGTTTCCTCGCTCCCCCGCCTCGCCCGGCCCTATGTACCCAGAGATGGCCAACACTCCTCTCGCCGGTACTCCTCCACCCAAGGAGGCTAATGCCACTGCCACTGCGTTCAAGTACTGCAGTCAGTGCGGAACTGCTGTTTCCAGCCGCTTCTGCCCTCAGTGTGGATCTCAGGCATAGACGTTTACTATTCGGTTCAAGTTGTTGTCAACGCTTAGTTTGATATTACGCTGTAACTGATCAAATGATATGGCGGGTGTTTAAGATTTCGGAGCGACGAGGCTTCAAGTTATTTTTGAAAAAGAAAATTCGCATATGAGGAATGAGATGTCGCGTCGAGGGTTTTCTTGGGATGTCATGTTGACATGGATCTGTTAATTTTGAGATACACCGGGATGAATCCCACAGACTGCTGTCCTAGCATTATTTATTTATTATTATTATTACTATTATTATCATTACAACTATTATTTTTCCGATGACCTTCTCCTTTTAAAAATAGTATTCTTCCTTGAGATTTGGTTCCTCATTAAATCCACCGATTGACTATTCATAGTGCTATCGGTCGTCGGTGAATATTCAATATCAATCTACATAAGGCACTAAAGTTCTTGAATGAAGCTCTAGATCCTAGCTTCAACCTCCAGAAAGAGCGAAAATGGTCTTAGATATTTGAAGATTTTTGATATTGAATAACAACATAAATAGGAGCAGTTCCGCTCTAGAAAATGCAGAACAATAAAAACGGAAAATACGGAAACACCTCGGAAATGCTCGAACTAGGTACATGACGAGTCCCATGAACGCCAGAAAATGCGAAGAAAATGCAATGAATAAAAAAGTCTTGAATCAATCGACCAATCTCTCGACATAAAATACCCAAGCATAAGGCGATGAGCTCCTGGATATCCATAACCTGATTTTGACAGGTTGTGATTCACTAAGCCCGGACGTAGGCGTCTTCATTTCCAAGAATACACCGTTGGAGTGTTGACATCTAGCGCAGTCTTGCCAGTAGATCTGAAAAGGTTAGTATTGGGCCCTTGGGAGCTTTCAATCACCAATTAATCAGCGATGGTATCGAACGATACTCACTTTGAAGAGATTTAATCCATTCCTATGGATCACTTGCACGAAGCCACCGTTTCTGCTAATCGGAACCTTGCTCTCTTTGGTACTCTCGTCGACAATCCTTGGGACCAGTATCCCACCTGACGTGGTTTCTTGGTCGGGATCAAGTCGAATCTCGCAGTCAATGCCGTGGACGAACGCAATGAAAGGGAAGGGAGACTGTACTTTCCTTTTAAGAGAAGCGAAAGCAATCTGGCTAGGGTCTTGCAATGGCGCAATGCTAATCTCGTGCAATTTCCTGTTCTTGCCGAGGTTTGCATGAGAACCCCACAGCCGTAGGCCATTTAGTGAGGAAGGTAACCAAGAAGGTGCACAATAAATTATAGTCGTTAACCTCCCCGAGGGCAGAGAATTGATAGGCGAGTTGGAGATACCATCGGCATCGCTTAGAAACCTGCTCTGAAGCCCCAGTAGCTCTGTAACAATGTCAGGCCCTAGTCGAGATCTAAGAGTTTTGGCTGAGCAATGGCAGTGGCAACAGTATCCATATTCATGGCGATTAGAGGCAGAGTGTGACCGGAAGTGGTCAACGATCTTGTCTCTGCAGTGGCAAGGGACACATCCATGTGCATATTCGTATACATATTGGAGGCGATGCTTGTCCATGATATGTCTCGTTAAGACGCCCGTGAAAATGTTTCCGTTTGCCTTGTCTCGACTGCAGAGGTGGCATTTGAAGAGCTTCATTTTGTCCCATGTATAGCTCATATATGTATGTGAGTCGTCGATATCGTGGGCCTGAGACTCCTTATGCCTACCGTTGTCGGCAAGCATTCCATCATCATAGCCAAATGTGGTCAGTGGTATCCATTCAGTCGATGTGGGAGACAGGAGCGGAGTCATGATGTTCTGACTCAAAAAGTCGTGTTCCCCTTGCAGGCTGGTGAAGGTCCGCTGAAGCTGTTCATGTAAATAGGTCAAAGCATCCGAAATGTGTCTGAACTCCTCCAAAAGCGGTTGGTAATTCTCCCTACCGTAGATCATCCCACACTTTGAATTTTCGATCATTTCGTAGTTTTGTTGGATGGGATGAAGTTCCCAGCAAAGTAAAGTCTGGGGAATGATACATGATGTGAAGAATAATCCGCCGAGTGCATGGAACGCATCTTCTATATCCAAACCAATGTGAGAACCGGGATGCTTAAGCCCGGTTATCGCCTGTCGCGACCCTCCAAAGTCCTCCGGTTGGGCACATGGATCGTTTCTGGCCCCTTCCAAGTCGATCCTCCTTTTCTTGACGCCAGCTGCAGCACTCGAGTCGGATGCCCGTTCTTGCAGTGATCTATTCCTGATGGAATGACTTGATGATACATGCCATGTATTCCCGAGTGAAGGTTCGCAAGCATCATCGGCGAGGCTCAGGCCATCGAGTGAGATGTCTAGAGAGGACGAATCTCCCACAGATCCCCCATCAAGCGAGGTATCTGAAGACGACATTTCTCCGGCGTGAAAAATGGAAGATGAGTGCCCAAACCAATATGCATCGTTGTACTGAGTCATTGACTCGACAAAAGGTTCGTGCAAAACTGAAGGAGGAGGCGGTATTTGTTTGTCATATGTCGAAACTGTTCCAGGTTCAGACAGTCTGGTCATAGCATCATCCAAAACATCGGCAGCTTGAACGATGAAAGCGAATTGAGATTCTGTGTCACCGGCGACTAGGTGCCCGTATATTTCCCCGGTATTTGCATCTCGAACTATCGAGCCACAGACACCAGGTTGAAGCGAGTCTTCAAACTGAGTAGTCAGGACTTCAACGAAATTTGTGGCGTATGGCAATCGGATGCATGATTTTCGGCCTGAAAGTATGCCTCTGAGGATATTGCCTGAGCCCGTTATGGCTGTCACATTGACAGATCTACCATCAAGCTGGCCAATAGTGTCCTTGGAAAGTACAGGCAAATCCGTCGAAATGCTCTCGTCGTCAATCTCCATGAGACAATAGTCAAAACTATCAGATCTCAGTCGAGGCGGTCTAGCAAGTGAGAAGGCGTGGTGATTGACCGAAAATAATTTCATCTCATCTGCAGAAGGGCCTGCTTTATCGTTTGCCACCACAATACTTGGCGGCTGCTCACGCCGCTCATCAAAAGCCTGTGTGGATTCTCCATCCGACATTGTATTACTAGAGTCAAGGTCCCAGTCTTCTTCTATATCGCTAGACTCAGCACTAGCGCTATGTCGACTCATGAAATCGGCCTCATCTTGGCCACCTGAGAAACTTTCGTCGTCACTGTCGAATTCGCCTATATCGCATTCACTATCCTCGGACAAACTCATCTCTCCAGACCTCACATCTGGGGTCGTTGCATTGAAAACATGTGCCGGAACCAGATAGTACTTTTTGCCACGAAGTTTGATAACACTCCCAATCGTTGCCATGCAGGGACTTCCGTAGTTTGTCGAATCGTTTTGTGTGGCCAGTCGTAATGCCCTGATCTTCCCTGACTTGAGGTCGAGTACAGGGTAAACCCTGCACCTATACGACTTTGTAACCTCCTCATGTACCTCGACAGCATTGATGACGATGTTTGACTTCACCCCCGAAGAGGCAAGTGGTCGCACATTTATAAGGTGCGGAGGATAGTCCCAGTCACCGAGAAGCATTCCCGGCGGACACTGATCGAGAATATCCGACTCTTTGATGGCGGCGACAGCGGCCTTTCGTGATTCGCGGTGCCTGCAAGAGAACATAATGTAGGGCCTTGCTCTAGCTTGGTCTTTACCAATCATGAATATATCAACCATGATCATGCTTGAGCTGGGAACCTGAATTCTCGCGCCATTAAGACGGTCAATAACTTGTTGTCTGATTTGTTCAAATGCATCTCTGGCGGGACCTGTGGCATCCCAGCAATGGAGTTTGCCTTTTTTTATACCACGATAGCTATCTATGGATAACTCAGGCTCGGACCAGCGAGCCTGGGGCGTTGAGAAAAGCGTAATGTTAGGGAAGAGCCGTGATGAGTTCATCGTGAAAATGGGACCGCGGTCGGGATTTGATCGAATAAGTCCTCACAGAGAGATAGAAGTTTAGGATTATTCGCAGGCAGAGAAAAAATTCCGCATAAAGAGTAACGTGAGTTGTTACTGTGATTTGAGTCGGCGGGTCGGAAGAAGAGGCGAAGATGAAAAAGAGGCTAGCAAGGCACTTAGGCAGCAAGAAATTCGTTGGGTTTGTTCCAGCTTTCAACCATAAGCCACAATCATGACCGCGCCCCGTTTTCGTCGGTAGAAATGGACGGAAAGCGCTCATCTGTACGGAGCAAGCCAAAGATGCTTTGTGGCTGTGCCGTAACCCGGGTGTATGCAAGAATCCCTGTTTTGATCACGTTGGCTGGACATCGATTGGAAGCTAAGTATAAGTCAGCCACCCTGGACAGAGATCCGGCGCCGCCGGGTGTTCTCGAGTATTTCCTCACAATGGGCACTGTAAATTTGCATGCTTATAGCGATTCTCTTGATGTGACCTTCCTTGAATCTCCCATTCCGTCAGAACGACAAGAGAAAATCGTCACCCAATTCTGGGGTAGTACTCACACTTATCAGACCCCTTGTTTTCGTTTATACTTTCAGTATTATACTGAACAATGCAGAATTGTGTATCAGTCCCATGGTACCAATCTTGCCATCCGCACCCACCGACATATTGTGGAGCTTGCGTCACGTATTCAAGATGGACTATCACGTTCTGAAGTCTATGAATTTGTTGAAAAGTCCCAGTGGACCAGTGCTCCAGCGTCAATAGATTCCATCAACGCGTCGATAGACCTGACCGCCCGACTTCTCTATATGCTCGACATTGGTGAATTTCGAAATGGGCATTCGGGGAGAAACCCGCTTCTATGGGTCCAGGGCTCTCTAGATGACTTTTTGCGGGAGAATTTGGCGGAGGCAAACTCCGAACCCGATGATGGGATTAAATTTGAAAAATCATTCAATCTCATTCGCATGGTTGGCATCGCGGGATTCGATGTGGAGCTAACGTCAAATCTTTCTGATCATCTTCGCTTCAGAGACTCCGATAAGACTGTTAAAATCTTCCATCATGCCTCGTTTCTGGAGGCTCACAAAAAGTACGTTAGGAGCCCTGCCACATTTTATTGTTTTGCTTGCCTTGAGACTATATTGACAATGGTTTTCGCCTAGAACCTCGGCATATCCATCAGGTCTCGTTGATGAGACACTGGCGACGCTGGCCCTCTTCTTCCCAAAGGGTGACAAAGAGACCGAGAGGTGGTACAAAAAGCAAGGCAATGCCGAGGAGCTTGACAAAAGTATATTGAGGCGTCCGAAGATTGACTTGGGGATAAAGGAATACCGATACTGGCACGATCGCCTTGTCATACTCAAGACAGAATTTGACGAGTCTCGCCCATCAACAATCGCGCAATGGTGGAATGACAGACGCGATGTTAGTCAGTGGTATCCATTGTGGGTAGCGATCTCCTTGACCGTCTTATTTGGCCTTGTTCAGAGTATCGAGGGCGCGTTGCAAGTATACAAAGCATTCAATCCTTATTTTTCCGGCGGTGGATAAGAATGTCGTTGAATGTGAATGCCCGGCGTCCATTCCTTCTACTTTGCAAGCACATAGGACCATAGAAAGAACATGCGTTCCAATCCTCTCAGCGGTACTTAGACCGCATGACGGCCAGTGAGTCGCGGTGGACTCGACCAACTTAGGAGAGTGAGAGTTTTGGTAATAGAGTACTAGTCACTCACTGTATGTCTGTGTCCATGAAATTATTGTTAATTTTTTTTTTTGGCAATAGGGGGATCTCAATGTTGGGCAAGTGACGTCATGACATCATGAGCAACCGAAACATCTTCACCGACTGGTTGAGACTGACCTTCATTGGGTCGAAACTCGGCACTGAGCCCAAAAGAGGATTGAGAAGCAATGGGTTTCATTGGATGATGTTTCGGTAACCAACATGACTCAAGCCGAGCATGTCTGTTGTAGGTACGGTGCAAGGTCGTCTTTGCCGATCAGAACATGATATGCGGGGGATCGCCCAACTCATGAGATAACCCGACTTTCGAGACATGATTTCTGATTCAATTCTCGAGTTCCAGTGAGACTTGCCTTCGAGATCCACCAGCTAGTGAGTTCATGCTGCCACTGACGACCATTGATATTCATGGTCCGGTCGGATGCGCCACACCGCAACTTTGGCGCCCCCTTGCTAGGAACCCGCAACCTGGAGCCACGGGGCAATTCAATATTTTGCGGGGAATATTGAAATCTGGAAACGTTCCTTTTTGAGCGCGGGCTATACAGGGTCTAGTGGAAAACCATCGGAGCTTCGTGCAACCCACGAGCCTTTAGTCCCCGCGTGCCAACGCACACTGAATAGTGTAGAATAACCATTTGCCCCTGTGTAGTGGGCATACGCCCCGCCCTATCAGCAGTCACTTCTCCCGTGCTAGGGCGCCTAATTGGTGAGATGACGGCATTGTAGTGCCTGGCATCTTTTCCCAGCCATACGTTGCATGTTGTTGTTCAGAGCACCACGGTCGACAGCAATATTCACAAGCGTGTCTCGATTGTGCATCTGATATTTGAAAAAAAGTAGAAAAAGGAAAAAGAAAAAGAAAAAAAAAGAGGAAACTTTCTTTTGCCGGGGTTGGGAGAGTGTCTTGCCGCTCATCCAACTGAGTCTTGGGAGCGAGGGGGGGTGCCCGCTGAGTCGCCCTTGCCTTCATCTTCAGCTCCCAACTCCTGCACAGGATTTTTCTTATATTTGCCTTCACCTCTGTCAATGACTGGCCGCTTTATTCTCCGTACTATAGTGCATCTTGTCTAGCATTTTCTAAGAAAAGCAACGAGCATTGACCCCGTTCGCCCGGCCTCTTCGGCGAGCTTGGATCCACTAGAATCACAGCCTTGCCGTATCGGGCCTCATTCAGGGATGGGTCTATCCGATCATTTGTTTCCCCACACTCACAACGATGTGTACTGAAACCTTGTCAGAACCAAAAGATTGACTTGCCTTGGACCTAGCTATTCGCTTGAAGCTGCATACAGCTACATGTCCTTGTGACTTCATCCATAATCCGGGCTTCACTTTCCATGTCCCATGGAAGCCGCAGCCTCGGTGTCGATCATGATGACTCTCGGCTGCCACGAGCCTTGCCATCCCTAAATTTATCGATTTTGTACTAAACAAAATCCTAACAATAGGGTGCTAGCCTTATGGAATACCCTAATGTCCAACAGAAGGAAGCACAGCCTTCACTTGGCACGATTCCACTTTCCCCACTGACCTCAGCTGAGCCATCCATCTCATGCGGCTGATACCTTTGAGGAAAGCTGTCACCCCACCGTCAGAGCAATTCTGTTTTGGTTGACCCACCAAGTCCCTTTTTAGTATGCATTCAAGTTTCAAACTTTCTTCCTACTATCAATGCGCCTCCCCGGAAAATCTGCCTTGCTCTTGAAAACCCGACTTTTTTGATCGCCAGCAAGACTCGTGATTACTGGATCCACACTCGAACTATCGCATGGTTTAACTAAAATGGTAAACCGTGAGTTGACAAATGGCTTGGCCGCAGAATTTAGCCTCGCAGAATCCACATGCAGCCACATGCGCCTGATAGACCTGTCGTGCCAGATATGCGCCTGTTGGTCCACAATAATGCCAGCTCGGGGAATACATGTCTTTCTTCCAGGCTAGATTGATCGACCAATACATGGAGCAGTGCTGGCAGTGCTGCTCGATGTCATGCCCAGAAGCTCAACATATAAGAACCTCCAGTCCTCGTTGAGATATTCAAAAAAAAACGAAGAAATCATTTCCCCTGGATCTCACAGCCCTGATTAGACAACCACAGAGAAAAAATGTTTCTCATATCCATCACCCCATCCAAATTAGTGGCACTTATTTTACCACTGTTACCAGGGGCTTTGAGTGCCCCTTTACTGAAGCGGAGTGGCTCCTTTTTAGCTCTACATACCGACTTCCCTGACCCCAGCTTCGTCAAAACACCAGAAGGTAAATGGTATGCCCTGGGGACGGAGGGAAATGGCAAGCGTGTTCAGGTTGCCGAGTCTGATGATTTTCATTCTTGGACCCTTCTGGATATCGAAGGACTGCCGAAAGTTGCGGCCTGGGAGGAAGATGCCCAGCATTTCGCCCCGGACGTGATACGACGGGTCAGTTACAAGTCTCGAATTTAGATTCGGAGGAAGCAAAAAATTGCTAATGTTACCACAGGATGACGGAAAATACATCATGTACTATTCTGCCAACTCGAAGGAAGTCGGCCCGAACCAAGATGATCACCATTGCGTCGGCACTGCTATCTCCGACAACCCCAAGGGGCCATATATTCCTAACGACAAGCCCCTTGCTTGCGATCTTGATAGGGGCGGTGCAATTGATCCTGTTGGATTCCGCGATGCGGACGGTACTCTATATGTTACCTACAAGGTCAACGGCAATAGTATCGGCCACGGAGGCGACTGCAACAACGGCGTCGACCCTCTCGTTCCCACCCCTCTGGTGCTGCAGAAGCTTGCCAAAGACGGTGTTACTCCTGTTGGCGATCCTGTTCAAATTTTGGATCGCAACACCGCAGATGGCGATGGCCCTCTTGTCGAGGCTCCCAGCCTCGTATTTTCATCTGGCACCTACTACCTATTCTACTCAACACACTGCTTCAACGAGGACTCATATGATACCCGCTATGCTACAGCATCTAGCATAACTGGCCCTTACACCAAAAATAACGAGCAATTGTTGAAGACTGGCGATAGTCCCAGCTTGATTTCTCCCGGTGGCGCAACTGTCCATGCAGATGATGGTGACCGCATTCTTTTCCACGGTTGGTGTGACGCCAGCATGAAGCAGCGTTGTATGTACGGTGCAAATATTTCTTTAGATGGGACGAAGGCTTCCATTGTTTGAGCTTGAGACTACAAACACATTGATTTGATTTCAATTTGCGCAAGAGTTGAGTGATGCGCTTGAGCTTTTGTTTTGATACCCTTGTCTGTCTTTAGTTATCGCTCAAATGCACTTATTTACATCTATACTACATTAGTTTCATCGAGAGAACTTATCTAGTCAATTTTCCATCTCATTTGTTCCTTGAATCAGATACAACTACAAGTTAGTATATTAGAGCCGATACGCTATTCGAGGCTAAAGGAACTTGACGCACTTGACCACGAGAAAACCAAACCCCCCGCTCAGAAGCAGGCAGAGACTGATATTTCTGAGGACGACTCCTAAATGTACCGACAGAAAGAATTTGATATTTAGAGTCGTATTATGAATTTGATTCAAAGAGAAGAGCTTGTTCTGTGAGCTTGGTAATAAAATCTGAAGTCCCTGGACCAAATGTATTCCATGCATAAACCGTTAATGCCAGCCCAAAGTTATAAATTATAGATAATGTACCTACTCCATTCGCTATGCTAAAATACTGTCTTGGGCAGACTTCTTCTCTCTGAGTCCTTGAACCCAGGTATCCACACCACCAATAGCAGCCTCGGGGGAATCCTTATGATTGAGAAGATATCCTTGGATCTCTGCAGCAGTGAACTCCCCATTGGGCACGATCGCGGAGAAATCGGTCGCGAGCTTGGAAATCCGGACACGAAGGTCATGAAGACGACGTTTTTGCTCTTTATCATTTTCCTCTTGCTTCCGTTTCTCGAGATATTCGACTTTTCTATTCTCGTGGTTGTTGTTGGCGCTGCCGTTCGTCAGATGCTTAGCCGCCCCATTGGGGAGACGTCGGGAGGCTGCAGTGCGTGGAAGATCGCCTTCCATTGTTGTGTAAATTGATGTAAAAAGCTCCTCAATATCGGCTTGGGTAGTCCGTCCAAAGGCGATGCTCAAGTCAACGCGACCAGGTCGGAGGAGAGCTGCGTCGAGCTTTTCGGGGTGATTGGTTGTCATGACGAGTATGCGGCCTTCGCTGGCTGCAACTCCGTCGATGACATTCAATAGTGCAGATAATGTGATACCTGGAGACTTGTCCTCCTTCTTATCTTTGTCTTTGTCCTTTCCATCGAGTTCATCCGCTTCTGCAGGGTCGGCACTATCGGTCGGCTTATCTTTATCCTTCGGCGAATCGGTTGTTTTCCCTCTAGTATGAGTGACACCGGCGGTGTCGACGTCCTCGAGGAGAACGATGCATCGACGGGGGAGATCATGGAAAAGGGATGCTAGGTTATCCTCATCGAGGGCTTTCGAGTCGAGATTAAGGAGGTAAAGCTTCAAGCTAAGTAGGCCTGCAGCTGCGAAGCAGAGACTAGTTTTGCCCGTACCCGGAGGACCATGTAAGAGATATCCCCGGCGATACGGAATTCCCCGATTCGAGTACCAGCGTCGAGTGCGGGGATGAAGATATTCTTTGATATCGGAAATAAATTCATCTTTCTGAGCCTGATCCAGAACAACAGTTGACAGAGGCCGCGGGCAACGCGCCATGCATCGATACCAACCAAACTGCTGACCAGTATATAGTCTTTGGCCGCGGTAAATAACGGTTCGATTGCCATCGCGTTCTACATATGTCTGCTGCGCCTCGTTGAGCAGGTCCTTGATGATGGCAGGGTTGCGACCAATACAAGACACGTAAAGGGTCTCATTGTTCATTACCCACAACGGACTCTGCTGTTGCTGTTGTCGCTCCAGCATCAGCGGCTTACCACGATACCAAAAGAAATGGCGGCCCTCTGACGGTGTATATCGCAAGGTTCTATACTTGTCACGGCCCGTGAGCTTGGCCCAGTATTCTTCAAAGGATGGCTCGTTTTCGCCGCAGCCAGGCTCATCGAGCTCAATTCCCTTTTCGTCGTCTTCATCATCAGAGCAATCGTCAGACCAGTAGCCGCTTGTTTTAACACCAGCGACGAAGCGGTTTGTCTTCGACATATTTGGCTGTCGCGACATCCAGTACATGAAGTAATTAAAAGTCTCATCGTCGAAACGAATTTCTGCGGTAGACATGAAGTACCTTTCAACTATATCCTTCGCGTACCAAATGAGGTATTGAAAAGAGGCGCCGAATGTAGCCAATAGGATAACATACTGCAAATAGCTGGCGATGTCAATGTTCAGGCGAGAGATCACAAGTTTAGAAATTAGTGAGTAGCCCGGGACTAACGCATCGAGGATTGCGGTATCCGTTTGTGAGAACGAATTGGTGGGAGAAGTGGTTGTAATATTCTCAGCCATGATTGACTGTTGGGGGTTAATGGATCGTTTCTTTCGAAAGGGGAAGTAAGCTGCATTTTATCCTCCGGTGCCAGCTAGAGCCGCATCAAACCCCGACCCGACAGGGCACTCGATCAGTTAATAGCGGAGAAAGGTATGACGAGGATCTGCACATGCACAGACAACCTTGCTGAAGAGCAAGCGTGTTGGCGGTGTGGCGTTGGCCAGGCTGTGTCGGTTTGTGCAGCTTCTGCCTGATCCTGGACTCACGGACGCAAAGATGGGCGACATGCTCAGCTTATCCGAGCTTAGCTCAGCTAATGGGGCAACGAATCGGAGATCGAAGGAATGACCATGATGCATTTCCTTCCAGCTGGTCACGCAGATGTGCGGCTTTTTGTGAGTTGGTTTGAAGGCTAGAAATGCGGAGCCTAAAGCCAATTGTGAATTTCAGCCTTTTTAGCCCAGGTTAACCCCGCCGAGGCTTAATGAGTCACTTGCCTAAATCGCCCAACCGTTCATTAAAGTCGCCCTGTGACTGGAGTATCACAAAGTAAGCATTCAACGAGGCGCAATTAACGCGCACTCTGTCACTGATCTGGCTGGGTCCATATTCAATAAGCCTGCAGTTTTCAAATTCCTATTCCATGCATGATCTCAGACACAACGAAATGTGCCTTGGATTTTGGTGGCCTTAGCGTTTAAATCTATAGCATCTACTGATATTTGGGTCGTGACCATTAGCAAACATGCTGTGAACCACTAGTACCTGGTTGACTTCGGGATCTTCAAAGTTCAATCTAGTTCAAGCAGAGTTGATAACTGATAAGCTTCCCACTACGGGGAACATAAATACCAGGTAGATTGCCCTGAAAAGAGTAGTATTATGATAATGTTGGCCGATGACAATTTATTGATCAAGGATAATTTTGGGAAATAAATGCCTACAACTTATTTTTATTCACGTCCGTGAATGTCATAGTTTACTTTAAGTAACTTCCAGCTCTCGATGAAGATAAACTGTATAATAACTGAATACGCCATGCACTAAAATTACTATTCTGATCGGCCACATTGCATAATGATTGACCTTTTCGAATAAGCCTTTAATAATACTAGATCACAATACTTTATTCCAACATCCCGTAGATCATACAAGCAGGGATTCATTATGACATAAATAGCAAGGTTTTGTGGCTACAAACAGTACCGAAAGCTTCAAACCAAAGCATAAAAGGGCTATGAGTTACATAAGGTAATTTATAAATATCTTCGGCCCAAATCTAATTCATGCGGCCGTCCGACAAGGCTTTCGCATTAGGAGGATGATGATTTTGGGTATATTGGCTCTGAAGGCATCGGGTCATGCATACTCCCTCAAGATGAGAAATTCATCCACAATGTTATTTCAGACAGTGGCAAAGTCCTAAAGATTGCCACTTTAATGCAACATGAAGGAAGGCTACGGTATGCTCCCCTGCGAACACTGATATGCATTACCTCGGCGTCAATATTTCTTTTGAAGACGATCAGTCTTGGAGGCCGCAATGACGACCTTCAGACATCGCTCACCACTTTGAATCGTTGGATTTCGGCATTGTAGTTATCTGGAATCGATGATATGGATTTCTCCCTTCGATATGCCACACTAATTGAGAAGCATGTCGCTTGGTTTTGTGCTCAGTTTGCGCCACGATCTCATCCATCTTTCTCCCAAGCCACGGATGTTGCGCATAGGGACACTTCGATTATGCGATCTTCCCAACATCACAGGCCGACGGTCCCATCCTGGGAGGGAGAATCAAGTTCACGGAATTTTTGACACTTGGGCATCTCCCGACGAATGGTGGACCAGGCCATTTGATCCTAGCATTGCGCCATTTCCTTCAAACGATGAAAGTATCTCACTCGGCCTTAAGCTTGATTTTCTTGACTTTTTGTTGAGCATGCCAAATATTGCCGCAGAATGATTTGTGTGACCTGATCGAATGTGTTCTGTTCTGTTCTTGATAGTGTCTACGGACCATTTGTCTTCATTGAAAAATATGACATTAACATATTTATTTCGCCATGGTAGTCAGCAGGAGATGACCACTTGAAAGTTTCCAAAGGCCACTCACTAGTAGACAGCTTTAATATCCCGTTACCAAAGAGCCTACCGCAAAAAAAGAAAAACATACAACAGCAGGGATTCGCATGTGGTCACCCACCATACTACTAACCTGCCGGCGTGTGGCTTAAGTACGGCTGAGCGGACGGGAAGCCCTGTTCTCCACACCCTATGGTCGTATGTGCCAGATACCCCCTGATAAGGGGATATATCGAGCAAAATTAGAATTGATATCAAAGAAATAATCCAAGACTGGTTAGCTTGTCTGATCTTACTTTCAATTATTCACCATATTTAGGGCAGTAAGAATTGTATAAAAGAAACCTTTAGACAGCCAAGACCGGGTATAACTAGCAGCCGCGAACATAATAGGTACATCCTTCCCACGGGAATTAACCCTTACTCCTCCTGACCTGACTTTCAATAACTGCAAATGTAGTCAGATAGACAATTATCTCCAAATCATTGGCCTGTCCTTCTCGTACTGCACTTTGGCCTTCCCCTTTCTTCACTGTATCTGTAAGAAACAAGCTGCCGTTCTTCATATTCCAACGGCTACTTCCTACCCACTTCGCCACCAACTCCCCATCTTCCTCATCGACTCCTCCAATGCGAAGCTCCATGCTCTTAAGTCTCCCTGTTCTGCCGGTTGATTTGCGGAATGTGTATGTCGTCCTCTGCTCCCCCTTTCCAAAATCGAAATGGTATATCTTGTGGCTATACTTCTCAGGTCGCTCCAATTTCTCCCAAATTATCTGCCTTCCTTCAATCTCTCCGGCTGGGTCGCCGAGTCCGATAGTGAAACCGCGCAGGTGTCTTTTTGCAACACCGAGGACCTCCCCATTCTTGGAGTCTCCTTTGTAGAGTAGGAGGTCGAATTTGGTCTTCGAGAGAGTCTCATTCGATTCAATATAGTATATGGTGTCGGTATTAGGATCGGGACTTTGTATCTCGTAGGCGCGGAGCTTTCCCTTTGACACGAGTTCGTAGGAAGATCCCTTTTCAAATGGGGAATTGACCGGAAGATCCGGCGTGGAGGGTTCGGATTCCATGAGCGACTTCTGTATATTCTCGAAATGGAGATGATTTTGAATGGAAACTATTGTGGAAGACTGCTGTCTCTAGAATCTGTGATCGAGATGAGGTGTGAAGGAAATGGAGTTTATGGTGATGTGCACTCAGCTCTTATAACTACCGGGTGGGGCTTACTGAAAGTAACTATACGCTAAACCCGGGATGGTCAAAACCCGCGAACGCCGATCTCGTATTTGAATCCATGGGTGCTCGGGATTGAGAAAATGATTGGCCGGAAGAAACTATAATCATTTTGATCAATACTCAACCTAAATTGGCATGTATATGAGCACGATAAATCAACCTTACTCCATTCTAGAAAGAACCAGGATAATGCTGGCAAGCTGATACTAACTAGCAGGTATCAATACTATGCGATCATTCACCTGGGATTAGATTAAAAAGGACCACGTTGTGAGAATTTCCGTATGCTTTATTACATATGAAAACGGCGTTGACTAATAAAGTCTTGCTTTACTTCGATGAGACTTTCTCGTAACGAAGGTGGTCTAAAAGCCTTCTGTCTAGGACCTTAGCTTCCTCCAAACGCGCTTGCATCGTCTTGGATTCCCAGGTGGCAGAGTTTCTTGGAAGATGAATTTGGAGATAACAGAGTAATAAAATTCGGATATCTAGGCAACGGCCGGACACCACACGTAGTGTACAGATAACACACTACCCATTGCCTAGATTTTCGTAGCAGTGTGTTGATTTAGCTAATACTAATCCTGCGAGTCACTGCTTTATTGCCGATTTTTCGATGGTCCAACGCTTTTGACGTATGGAGCAACAAACATGTCCCCGCTAATGGATTTTCTTATGGTTTGGACTGATACCATCAACCACAAAAGTACCACAGCCACGGATAAAATCTGACACAAGGAAATTACGTTAGCACTTCCGTATTCAAATTTGTCGCTCCCTGTTGAACAAAACAATGAGGGGTTGGTATGAGGACAACATTCACACTTACAGTACCTAGCACATTAAAGAACCGCGACGGCAATTCTTTTCCAATGGTCGTTGTAGCACTGGCAAAAACGCCCAGGGGAAATGTAAAGCCCCACCAGGTCAGGTTGAAAGGAAAACGATTGCGACTGATGCTGGCTAGAGCAAAGAATATCCAGACAATTCCATATGCCCACATCACAAGTCCTATTAGCCATCCAAAGATATATAGCACGGCACCGGCATTTGTTGATGGTGAACTTAGTGTACCCGTCTCTGGAAATATCTTAAGTGCAACCCTGCCAAACTGCATAATAGCGAAGGAACCCAGGCCCAGCGGCGCAATCGGGAGGAAAACCGACATGATCGCTTCGCGCGGCGGCAAATTATGTAGCATGAGGCGCTGTAAGTAAATCACCAAGCATGACATGGAGAGAGGAATAGCAGTCCCCCACAATATATACGATATTATGAGGGTCCATAATGCATGTTGCGTGTCTGGAAGAACCTCCGCGACAACTCCACCTACCGCTGACGCAACGACTGAGGATGCGATAGGAAGCAGCCACACAGCTGTCACAGTCGATATGTTTGAGTCGTGAACGCACATGCTGTGAAGAGATATCAGCTGATATTCAACCGATTTGGGAGATTGATTTTATGAGGGGTTACACACATAACAAAGGGAATGTAGTAGCAGATGGCCAGAGCAATGATGCAGTCGATCCACCAGAGGGCCCATGCCTGTTTTTGTTAGTTGCTTCATTCCGCCTCTTTATATTTTGTTCCAGACATACCAAATTCGCAGCCCGAGGTCCCCACGCTGGGACGCAAACCAGGGCTACCATCTCAATAATTGTTGCCAGCCCGATGGGGAAGGTCCCAAGAAACATTGATGCTGAGGGGTGACGTATCATAGCGGACCATATTTCCGGGTAGAGAGAGTAACGAAGAATCGATATGCACAAAAATGTGCAGAAGAGAAACACGTTCCATGCAAAGACGACCACTGAGAGCCAATAAAGCCACTCCCCATTATACGGCAAGTTATTGAGAAGGATTGCGACAATTCCCGTGCCCATGTTGACCGAGAACCAACTGGTCACTTGTTAGAAAAGGTTTTTGATATGAACGGAAGTTTGGTAATAGAAGCTGATTGAGACATACGCTTGGGTGAAATGGCGCACAACTTTCCTCCACCCCCTGTCATGCTTGGAGCACGTGTGTGGCTGTGACTCGGCTATTGTTTGGTCTACATCTTCCGTCAAATGTGACTCGATCATACTGTTTGGTGAAGTCGCGATGGACGGCATAGCCCCGATTGGCGAGGTAATCGACCAAAATGTGTTCTGACCTTTGCGGATTACTTGAGATTTAGTCCAATCGTTGTGTGCATGGGTACTAGGGATAAATTACCTACCCCGGTAATGTGTGATCAAAGATGATTTCGCAAATGGTGAATCATAGAATAATTTACACCTGAAGGGCCTGGGAGTCGAGACATTCTATATTAAGTGATTGATACCTGCTTCATGTCTCCTTTTTAAGTCTTGTATCTAAATACCAACCATTGTTACATCCCGAGTATAAATACGGCAACGGCGTGTTTCGGTGTTTTAGATCCACTTTTTTATTGCAGAAAGCCCGATGACATTCGGGATCCGAAACACACCAATTAGCTCCCCACCTCCATTACTTATAGTGCGGTAAAATAAACAGCGCTGGGATAAATCAGGATTTGCCCTTCAGAGGAGACTCTCAGTAGACTGGCGACGTTGTCTTCATGTCCTGCGCGATCCGTTTTGGATAGCTCGTCCGGTACTAAGGGTTAACCAGGTTCTTATGTTGGAACGGGGGAATACTTGATTTACGAGATTTAGATAGGTCCGGACTGGGGACTCCGGGTGGCAAGGTATGTATCCGGCTGTCATCTTTGCTACTTTCTACAAGTACGAACAATTTCATAACTGCGAACGGAGATGAGAACCGGGCCTTTTGTGACCTGTAGGGGTAAGTGCGGTAAGTGCGCATGGTTGACAGAGGAGAGATGTCGCTGTGAAGCTTCTTGGCTCCTTGACGTGGCTGACAGTTCTTTGAAGTCGCTTGGCTGGCTTTCGCTTACCCACCCGCTGACTGGTGCCTGCAGCCGTCCTGTAACATTCTCTCAATTCCCTATGAGGTATTGGATAAGAACAAAGCCCGCGGGTTTCTCTTAGGGAGAGCAGAGCCACCACACTTGCAGTGGCAGAAAACTAGTTAGAGGAAATAGATTTGCCACGTTCGGATCGATAGCATAAACTTGAACCATTAATGATTGCGTTGCTTTCGGAATCAGCATCTCGGTCGCTACCTTCCTCTCGCTTCACGTACCCCTCCTATCATCATCATAAGTTGTTTTTTTCCGCTGACACAACAATGAAAATATACAGAACGCTCCACCCATAAAAATGTAACATGGAGTTTACTCAGTGGAGTTACAATGCTATGAAATAAGCAACTGAGATACCAACGAGAGTGTTGAAAGCGTACGTTGTTGTACCAGCATTGTATGTAGTTGGATCAACAAAACTGGCCAGATAATCGCAAGGATATTGGGAGAGTTGAAGAACAACCAAGAAAGTCATTTAGTAGTCAAGATAATATTATTAGGCACCTATTACCTGTTATATCATTTCGGGCGCTTACTAGGTTTCATGGTTTGTTAATATGAGAAAAGATTCTCAACAGCGTGAGTCTTAGCGTAACCGCTTGCAGAAACCATTATATCCCATATGAGTCTCATTACTCTGGCCAGGAAAGCGGAGCAGTAGCGAAGGTGCCTCGGCCTTGTCAGTGGAACCACTTGCGAGCTAAGGCCACCGAGACTATCGTAGGGGGGGAAACTCCCCTGTTAAAACAAGATCAAAACGATCAGGCCCATCTTGCTCAACATTCCTTGGTTGAATTCTTGGGATTCCGGTCCACTATTTCACGCTGAAGCCCAGGATTCGTATACATATCGCTTGAACAAGGGGTATCCGGAACGATGAAACGGGATTCACATATTTCATCGTCCTGGTAGTGTAATTAGTGAACGGCCTCATGATTCCCAATTTGGGATCTCGGTCGTGGACTAATGTGTATGTGCTGTGCATAATTGCGTAGCGATAGTTGAACTCATGACCATTTGGAGTAGAAGAAAGAACAAGACCATCCACTAGCTTCACACAAGCTACAAAAGCACCAAATGGAGGTGTCTCCGTAATTTTACCATCTGTTGGAGTTATACAAACTCTCACTTCTGTCTTTTTTTTTCGATCGACTAGGTCGCTGTTCCGGGCCTCCTGGTCAAATTTCTCACGAGCTCGGTAAGGGTGGAACTTGTATGTTCACGTAAGAAAACTCTGGCCTAGTCTCCATCCTGACGAACTAGCGCAGTCATTAGAAAACACTGTGGAAAGTCATCATACATGTAAGTGACGTCTAATAGTTTTAAAATGAAATTATCCGCAAAGGTTGGACCCCGGAGTCAATGTTAAATGCACCTTGATCTTGGCTGCGACGAAAGAAGACACTGCATGACCCGTGGTTTCGTTTTTTCAACCAACTTTTCTATAAAAATATCTGCTGGGGTCAGATTTATTGACCCTATTAGAAACCAGGTACTGCAATCAAAATTACTTAGATAATCGCCAAAGGTATCGCTGCTGTCGAAGCTTTTCCACGCACGTAAGACGCCGACTAGATGCCGACCAGACGCCGATCAGATCCCGGGCAAGTAGCTCCTTTCTAACGCTCAATAGAGATGGGCTGAAGGGCCTGGTTGGCTTTTATGTGGCTGACGACAGGTCGAAAGTACAGCCTTGGAAAGTGCCCGCCTCTACGTGCTTCTATTGAGCATCTTGGTGATCAAAGCCTGATGTGGGAATCCAGAGATAGTACTATAATAGTACTATATAGTAAGATGAAGGGTCCCACTGCCAAAAAGAAAAAAAAGACAGTTAAAAGGGCATACTCTATTACAACCACTTGTCTCAACAAACCTCGCTAGCTAAAATAATTCAGATCGATATGAGCTGTTCTGGCGCGAACGAAGAGGACGCGAAGGACGACAATGTAGAAGTGCATTTGGGTTTGAAGTTGAGGAAAGCTGTCAGTTCATTAACCCAATCAAATAAAGCCTGGTCCTAGATTATTTACGAAAAGGACCGCTGAACGCATAAAAGGTCGACTTAAGGGATAATGTACCGCTGGCTTATGGCTTACATGTATATCCCGAAACCAAATACTGGTTTCGATTTTCAGCGTACCTAAGCTTGGTTGGTTGAAATCAAGTGGATCCATGAATCGGTATCTCTCAAATGTATTTTCAAATCCCGGTAATTTTCTAGACGAGCGTAATGATTACTTACACCACAATTAATCGCCTTCAAATCCCGCATGATCAGTTCCGTCATGATTAATTCACTCGATACCTGCCCCCACAATTTAGTCCTCACACATTTCACTTGCCAACGTCAAGTGCTTCCTCAGCAACATCAACGATGGAGGCCGAATATCCACGCAACAAGGGACGAAAAAGGACCAGAAAATTTGCGACATCCCCGGTTAAGCTTGCTTGCCTTGCTTGGTATGCTATGGTTTACCTGATCGATGCTACTTTTGACTAACGTAATGAAGCCGTAGATCCCGCATTAGATGTGATGGGGGATTAACTTGTTCAAATGTACAACCCTTTACTACTACAATGTCACTGCCTCTGACTCATGAAAACAGTGTTTCGCACGGAAAAAGAATTGCCAATACGAAGCGAGTAGAAGGGGCAGGCCGAGAAGGGAGGATGGCCAGCAGACAGGAGAAATCCCTTTGAACATAAATTCGAGTCTAGCTTCGGGATCTAGTGCTGACGATGGTGTGTCTACGATTATGTATCGTTGTATCTGCACGTTCACTCACTAACCCGCGATAGAAATCCTTTTTCAATTGGATGCACTGGGAGCCCCCGGAGCCGGGATAAGACATTTTGAAATCCCGAGCCATGAGCCCTTGAACTTGCATATCTCCAATACTACTACTAACACGCCACTTATGTATATGCCGAGTGGCGATGGATCCCACGTTCGACAAGAGTCTAAAGTGAGAATATACATGGACGAGCAGGATGTGTAAGCTATTCCCTACTATGCTAAAAGCCTGGCTTGTTTGGGAACTGATCTACCTTGAAGACTGAGTGCCTATTATCTTTTCATTCATTTATTTTTTCCGATTCTGCCTTGCCAGAGTTTCAATAACCTGGTTGATCGCCCAATGACTGATTCGGACCTAAATTCGCAACCAGAAGAGCCTCCTTCGAACTTGAAGTCTCCACTGGCTCTCGCAATATCAGCTATTCTCGCTCTTATTCCCGTCTCCTCTGATCCAGATCCACTATCCATTCAATCAGTATGTGCTAGGACATTTTGGGCAGAGAAGTTTGCACGGCTTGCAATGGATCGCGTTGATGCCGACTTCGAGTATCTTGAACCAGCAAATGGCTTCAGTCAACCTGAATTCAATGTTTCCACAGTCCCTACTATGGGACGCCCTCATTTTCATCCCGAGGTCCCCATTCAACTTGAGAGCATCTTTGCACTTATTTTACTAAGTAGTTATGAGCACAACCACCGTGGAAATGTTTTGAAAATGAGAAACCGTGCTGGGCAAGCTTTCATTGCGGCGAAAAGCTTGCGACTTCATTGCCTCGGTGAAGAAGAACATATATTTGCTGAGGCACAAAGAAGAGCATGGTGGATGACAGTATGTGTTGGTCCTTTTCAAGAAGTATTATCAAAAATAGTACCGGACTAAATGCTGAACAGTTTTACTGCATGTGCCAATGCTCGATCGTTAGTCACGATGTGCGTCTGATTTTCTGGTCTTTCCTCCATCCGACAGAGTCTAATTCTTTGGCCTAGGGATTCTCTATCATCGACGAAGATGATAGTTCTCTTGATACGCCATACCCCATTTTAACATCCGATCCTGATGTAAGTCGAAAGTCTCCTTCAAAACGCATCGCTATCTATAACCTGATGTTGCCTATAGATTTGGGGTCTCTTTATAAGCGCCGAAAAGGCCTTGGTTGCGACAGTACGGTTCACAGCTCGTTTCAGATCGTTATTGATGAACACCCACGGAACCCCAATCCCCAAAGATTTCAATCGAATGCAGCAGCTTGACCAGATGATATCTTCCCTCATCGCTAATATCAACGCTTTGCCTCCGATCTCGACGGCATCAGATAAACTATGTTCACTCACTTCTCAGAATCTACGCCTTCTCACTCGTATAAAATTGAACAGGTAAGCAACAGGACATGATGATACCCCCATTAAGCTCATACACTTTAAATACTTAACGATCAAACTTAGTGCACGGATACGCGTCCATCGCTTTAATGCCTTTTCCGATATCCCTATATTTGCCCAAAGCTATTATGACCTTGCTGCACCAAGCCGTGAAATTGTTTGTAACTACTCAAAGGAAAGTCCAAATACCGCTCCGGGCCAATTGCAAGATTCACAATTTACGTGTCAAGAGTCCACGGCTATATGCGTCGACTCAGCTCTCGCTATCACGCGCTGCCTGAACAAATTACCATATCCTCACCTACCAACTACATCCCTGTTTCTTGAGACTTCAAACACAAGTCTTGCTGAAAAACAATGGGTGACTCCTCGTTCGATGCCTGGTGTATCATGCTGTGTTATGCAGGCAAGTTACATCTTATTGATGTACTGCCACAAACTCAAGGTCATACGGGAGCCGCAAACCAGTCAATTATCATTAGAAAGGCTCGAGGCCGAGTCACGCCATGGGTTGGATATCCTTATATCCACAATGGAGAATTACGCAATCTCTTTCGGCGCTCTGGGAGGCATGAAAGGTATGTTCCCTAAGATAGAAAGATCCAGAGATTTACTAAAAACATATCTTGCACTGGCAGATGATATTCAAGGTGCAACTGAAGTAGCCTTCCAATTTGTATAATTAAGTCCCTGTGTTCTTTAATGTTAATACCATACACTTTGATGAATAATTTCAATTATACAGTTGTAGATATTGGCGGGCATGAGGCTTTTCCAAATTCAGTCTGTCAATTAATTCGCAGCGAAGCGAGTTCGTCCAATCTGTTGTCCTACCACCGCCTCTCTTAGGCTTATCATATTGCTGCTGGGGATTCTGCGCTATCGCTTCCAATTACTCTCTACTTATTACCACTTCTATCAGTAAGGAAACAAAAAATATTTGCAAACTTCAATTTTGAAATTGGTTGTCTTACAAAGCTTTCTCCGTGAGATTATATTACAGCTCAAAAGCTCTTGGCCTTCAAGTAGTCGTAAATATCGGCTAAGATATACTGCTTAAAACCTTGAAAGATAGAAGAATGAGAAATATTTACAATTGGTAATCAATATGAACTGGTCATAAATTGAAATGAAAATCATATGAATCAAGGATAGCCTACTTCCTTGTAATGCTAAATACAATGTGCAAGTCTTTTTGATGCGGCTCTGCAGTTCTGCCATCGTAGTACGAAGCGGTCCGCGCTATTCCTAAATGTTTCTTTCAATCTCACTTCGATAAAACTGGATAGATCCTCAATTCGATGAGTTGTCCCTGGGTTATCGGGCTTAGGTGGCAGGACGTAGAGGAGTTTTTGGACGTCTCAGCGCATAGAAAGTTTGGCGACATAGTGGACAACTAGCATCTTCATTGCATAGCCATTGGTCAATGCACATTGAATGAAAGATATGATCGCATGGGAGACAACGAAATTCTGATTCCAATCCCAGTGACTCCCAGCAAAGCAAGCATTGATCAGGTAGTGTACCTACGGGAACCGAGTCAAAGCCCAAAGTCAACAAATTGGGGCGGAACCACACCTGACTTACTGCCTGGGTAACCTTGGGATCCCAAAAAGCACGGCATTCGAGCGAGCGTAAGTTCTTGTCTTGTTAGGCCCCCTCTTCTCGTCAAAGATGGGAAATAAAGATAGTATTCCGACATCATTGAACACTATTCTCTGTCTTAGGAAATGCAAAAGGTGGATTCAACCCTTGATTTCCAATTTTGTATCCTCTATTTATATCTGGTAATGTATTGGGAAAGGCATGAGATTAGTTGCCAAGTTCACCCAGTAATAAATTGTATCAACAATATTAGATGGAAACAACAAAAATGTATTGGGGAATTGATCGGGATCTGTAAAGAGTCGTGATTTACCTGGCAGGTCACCATGCTTGTATTGTGAGATTACCGTGGGTAAGATACAAGAAATAACAATACACTGAAACTCACGTTAGCTCTTCGTAACACGCCTTCGCCAACTATTTATTACAATACCTTAAAGAGCAATCAAGGTAACACTGCACAGACTGAGCCAGGAACTCTCCTCCATTATGCTTGCAAACAAGTCTACAAGCATCTACGAGTGGTTCTATGTCGCTTTTGCTTTCCAAGTTTGAAATTAAAATTAGCATTTCTTTTAAAAGCTTTTTAGAACAGAGTCACCAAAAAGTCAAACTAAACTAGCGCAAAAATGGGCGTAATTGGTTTTGTCTCCGGATCCTCTTTGAAAAAAAAGAAAGATGAAAAAATGAAAAAAAACCAAGAAAATAAGAAAACAAAATTTCATTTAATGGGATTATTTAATCGAATGAGTGCTTTCTCGTAAGTGGAGCATGTTTCTTTGCACAAGATTCAACGCTAGTTAGTCGTGTATCGGCAACTGTTTCGGGGTCCGTATCGGGATTAGTTTCGAAATTTCTCTGGAATGCATTCTGGCTGAGCACTTGAGACCCCATCGTCTCCGATTAAGTTTTATTGGTTCCATAGGGACATGATACGCACGACTCTCTACGACGGTTCCTGGATCACCGGCCCTGTCCGAAAGCTTTTAGCCGCTCATGTTACTTCGTAGTAACTCGAAATTTACCATCAGGTAAAGTAATGATAGTGGCCAACACTGTCGCCGAAGATGAGCTTTCTCGAAGGTAATAGATTCCAAATTGTGACACTGTTTGGCCAATTCACAAGTGTGACATCACTCCCGGTCGGACTTAAGATGCGAGCTGGCTGTGACTTACTCTACTGAGGAGTTGGACGAACTGCGATTATTGTGCTTTATTGAGTGCAAGCCTAGCACACATACGAAGAAGAATAACACAATGAAAGTCAAAAAACAAGCACGCGATTACTGTAGTGAATATTATTTCAGTGGTCAGTCTCACCACAGGGCACCGTTCATTTATGTTTGCACGGCAGTTGGGACACACGTACGATTGTGGAAATTCTCATGAGACCAACCAAACGGGAAATTAGATACTCTCTGGGGTACCAGATTGAAATCTTCTGGGAAAGAAACAAAAAGCAAGGTAACTTGATCAATGTTGACTCGATCCGGAAACCTTCTTATTGAGCGAGGTCTTTCCTGGAGCCCCGCCTAGATGCGGTGCCAATCATTTCCTCTAGAAGAAGTTATTCAAGTCTTTCGGTTATATTTGGTCAATTTTTCTCCTTCAAAATATTTTGGAGTATTGAGATCACGTTTTAAGAAGCCTAGTAAGCAATAGTATTTCGCTACAGATATAATCTAGGTTTAATAGAACCGTGAAATTGATCAAAAGAGAATCCCCAAAAGAGAATCCCCAAAAGAGAGTGCTCAAAAAGAAGCGAATTGTGTGAAATTTGCGAATCTAAGGGGTGAAAGAGCTTGGCAAAGGTGCTAAAAGAATTGAGGATTTCGGTCAACTTCAAAATCTGGTTCCAATATTCGAGCATCAGAAATCAGTGTTAGATCCTGCTTGTTGGTTTGTTGGACCGATTTTGGATACCCCCTTGGGAACACAACGATTAATCTCCAATAATGTAGGTATATTGGTCAATGTACGCAGCTTACTATGTACTATTGTCAAAGATTGCGAGGCCCTATTTTATTTATCTAGAACAAGTTCCTGGAACCAACACGAGAGAATAAATCCATTTCACAAGTGAAATGCCTATGGATCATTCACCAGTACAAGTCCGTGGCCGTAGCGTTCGCCGTGATGTGAATGGCTCGATAACGATATTCGAAACCCGATGGATTTTGGGGTTGTCTTCAAATGGGCGTTGACACTTCTCGTTGGTCTTGACACATTTGCCATCGCGTTGGTGTCGTCTGCCTACTCAGGCTCTACAAATGAAATCATCGCCGAGTTTCGCATTAGCGAGGAGATCGCACTCCTTGGTATATCCCTTTTTGTCGTCGGTTTTGCGGTTGGTCCTCTCATCTGGCACCGCTCAGCGAGATATATGGCCGTCGATACATTCTCGTTGGGAGTGGGGTCGGGTTGACGGGATTTGCCGCAGGGTCGGGTGGCTCTCAGAGCATTTGGACCTTGATAATTCTTCGCTTCTTTGGTGGGGCGCTTGGCTCCAGGTTAAAGGCCCTTTTGTAGGCCCGCCATGCTTTAAATTTTCTTGTCTCAATTTGGGATCAGTATTGACCTTCAAATAACCGCACTTCTACCCGCAATAATGAGCAGAAGTATCATTAAATAGACGGTCATCCGCTTCTCCCATTCCCCCATAATCATACACATCGACGTGGCCATAACAAGCTCATACAACCTTGTTCTCCTTATGTCAGGTTCGGACTGTGACGCTGCTTCTTCCGAAATTTGATTCCGATCCCTGAAACTGGAGCTGCCTGACTCTTCAAGTACTTTGGAGATCATATTATCAAAAATCCAGAGTCGCCCATACTTGTCGCGATTTATTGTAGAGGAGAATAGACAAATAATGTAGCTCTTCCTCCCAGGAACTTGTGCCACAAGCTTCAAATGACTCAGTGGTAGAAGAAGCTTCGCCAATTTATCCTCCACCGGCAAATCCCGAGTTCCCTCCCAAGAGAAATGTATTCCTGCATATTGAAATTCGTACCGTCGGGGCTTGAGGAAAGGAGACGACAGTTTCAGTTGCATTGCTTCGTCCGCGAATTTTGGTTCGTGAATAGCAACTTCATCAAGTCCTTCATCCCTTTTCATCTTGCGACGAGCATTCACACGATTGTGGTAAGCTTTCCCGCTTTCGCCCCAGACGCGCCAGGTACGCACTTTGTATCCTGTCAAGGCGCAATCATCGCCCTTGGTAGTATTATCCAGACTGCTTCTATTTTCAAATGGAACCATTCCTCGAGGATCGAGTATGTCGGGAAGGTTGTCTTGAAACTGCACATTCCAGTGACTCCAAAACGGTGCGCTGTATAGCAAACAAATTGGTTCGCCGTCCCTGTGGCTACCTCGGCGAAGAACGCGTGGAGGATTGTGGAAAAGGAGTTTCGGTTGATGCAAGAAATAGCTATTGGATTCGTCGCTTCTTCTGTGAGAGTCTTCGTGGTCTCCTGCTTCTTCGCTGTCGCTTTGCCTGTTGCTGTCATGTCCAAACTCCTTTGTCTTATCCAAAAATGGTGTGATGTGGACGTTATATTCAGATTCATGGTAGACATGATACTCTGACAAAGAGTGTCGCGTAGCCAAAACTTCTTCTAGGGTTGACATGTTGACGTTTTGTGTGTTGCGATCGACCAAGAATCCCAAGAGGTGGAAAATGGTACAAATCCGGGCGGGCGGGGTGATATTTTTTACAAATGTTGGTTCTTTTCTTGTAAAATTCGGTCATTGGGGGCAGGAGAGGTGTCCCAGCTTTGCTACTAGTACTCAGTGCTACAAATCCTGACTGGCCACTCCATGTGGGCCGACCTTTCGGGCAACTCGTATGGGGCTGTGCATGCCCAGTACATAACTCTTAACCCCGAAATCCCCACACCCCATATTGCCCACCATGATTACCGCCTTTTAATGGGAAACTAGTAGCTACCGGAGATGGAATAGATAGGCCAATCTATTCCATCTCCGGTAGCTACTAGTCCGCGATTAGAAGGCGGAGACAAGAACAGTCAACATGGGATTTCAAACTTTGCAAGGCCACAACTAGTAGCTAGTACCTGCATTGTACGGAGTAGCTTTTTGGAAAAAACCATACTTTTTTATTATATTCATTGCATCTTTTCACAATCAAAGGTGCAACTGACTTTCCGTGAAAACCTCGCCTCCCTTGGCAGCCACGGTTGGGAAGATGGTGGCCTTGAGGAACACCTTCCCAGGTGCTTTTGGAGTCTTTGTGAAGATGGCACTAGCAATCGGTTACTAATGAGTATCCTTCAGGTCGGAGAAGTAGTACATACCTTCCACAATTGGAGCAGAAATTTCTCTGTGGAAATTAGTATCGAATACAAAGTTATGAGTTGAGATTGATGTGGACGGTCTCAGATATACCTCAATAACGTTTCCAGTGGCAGTGTTTGAATCATTATAGATCCTCAGCGTGTTTGATGGATCTTCAACGGTCATATCATCTTCAGAAATGAAGTAGTTGACCGAAAAGGCTGCCCAGTTTTAGTTTCGGATCTGGGGTTCGGGATATAGAGGACTGTGATCCTACCACCACCACCAGCTTTCTTGCAGTTGTCACTAAAAGAAACATTAGCCCTCCGAATGCTTTAAACGACACTGGTGAGAACCCCACCAATGACAAAGGATCGAGTTAGGGGGTTGCTCGGGGAGCGCAATGCTAACGCTCGCGCAGTTGCAGGATCCACGGTAAGCCATATTTAATACTTATTTGAGACCAAACCAATCACCGAAGGTATAACGAAAGGACATTGGAAGACTGACCCCCGGCTACTATATAACCATTTGCCTCTCCGGCTCGGGATGAGAGGAGGGGTTATGTCCAGTCTTCTCCACTTGCAATGGCGGAACTCGGCCGAACACTTCCGCTCGTGCTATGACGTCACACCGTCAAGAAGCAATCTTCGCGGTCGCAGAAGAAAGTTTCGTAGATAAAAAGAATAGAAAATTGCAGTGTCTGATTTTGAGTTTGATTTCTGCCATGGCTGAGAAGGAGCCAGGCATAAAGAATATAAAGGGAGTTGGAATCGATAGAGATCATTGGCGCCCCCTGCGCTGCTCCACGAGTACTCCAAGGGGAATGTCATCTTCATCATAGAATTCAACATCTTCGTCAACCCCAAAATCACCAAGGCGCTCGCCTTCTGAGTTTCGCCACGATTCTTCACCTTCATCTGAATCATTGCCGTAGGTAGGCCCTGCTGGTTGGTCTTCATCGCTGTCATAGTTAGGCTCGTCCTGAAAGCGTTCATGGAAGCGCTTGCGTCTCTGAACTGTCGAATAGGGCCTTGGGCGATCCGAGTCGGCTGCTTTTCGACGATCAAATGCTTCGACTTGCTCCCGAGCAGAAGCGTAGGATAGAGGAATTTCGGGATCATTGACAGAATAAGATCCCTTGGGAATGGGTATGCGGTCTGGGTCCGGTGGAGGCCATGTCACAGAAGCATCTGTTGTGATTTGTGAGCTTATCGACCTGATCAGTATGTTCATTGAGATGAGCTTGACATACCTTCAAATCCATTCGTCTTGAATGTCCATCCGGAATTGCGGTCTGGACTTGCGGCGAATGGCCAGAACCAACTCAATATCTACAACAGTGTCAGTTCATCTGAAGAGGCGCGTGAATGAATGATCAAAACCCACGTTGAGTGTATCTCCCATAGCTTGAACAATATTGAAAAATATGCCGATATCGTAAGGAAATTCCTGCTTGCGAATCACGATGTTTACACCTCCCGGGCCCTCTAGAGAGCCACCCAAGACTCGAGCTCGACGAACAAGAGTTTCGTGCCTCTCAATTTCCCAGGATTCAATTGTGGTCGTATTGAAGAGGATGGTCCCGATCGTGCGTACCAGAAGAATGAATAGGCCAAGCCAGGTCACACTGTTGACGACGATCAAAAGCAGCAAGTGGACGAGTTGTGCTACTGATGGACCAAGGTACTGGAAAAGAGTCAGCCTTTCTGCATTGGGAACAGATGGAATGACCAACTCACACTGGGCATATCTCGCTCGTGCCAAACTATAGATGCACGCTGCCACAAAAGGGTTTCCAGATAGCCCATCCCGAGCACCGTATAAAATAGGAAACGGAAGAAGTGGGGGAATGTGAAGTATGAGACGCAGTTTGAAGTCCATGGACAATGGTGATCCATCTTCGGAATGCACCTGAACAAAGTAAGTAAATCGGACGAGATCAGATTTGGCTATCGATTGATTTTCTTTTTTTTTGATCCCACCTTTTGCAAGTTTTACAATGGTGAGCCCGCGGCGGCTTGTAGGCCTCACATCTACGACACCATCGTTGGCGCCCTGTGGACTGGTCCTTCTCCTGTCGAGATGGGGCCACAGATTTGCCTTTGGGGTCAAGATGTCCAGGGTCTACAAAACACGCACGATAGTAGCAGACCCAAATGCACAATGCGAAGACATTGAGAGCCCAGCCCTCGTCGAGTGTTAGTGGTGCGGGCTTGAAGTTGTGGAAGAAGTATTGCGAGGTATAGGCGAGAAAGCTGATCAGCACGCTGACTGCTGGAATCGCTAGTCGCGAAACTTCGAAGTTTTCGGCCAACATCCTTTAACCCCAGCTTTCATCTGGTCGAGGGATGCAGGGAAAGAGAGACGAGGACGAGAAGAAGGAGAAGTTGAGGTTGAAGGTGGACGTGTTTATCGCGATCGCATGACTAAGCAATCCTCCAATCAGCCTCGGCCAACGCGACCAGCATTCTCACTCTTCCACTTCCAACCTTCCCTCTTCAAGTCAACTTGAATCCAACTGGCTGGTGTTATATACAAAATATTCGATTTCCCCTCGAGGCTCCGTGAGACAGCGAAGGCCCAATAATGTCCAATTGACCCAGCCCTGCCACCATGCCCATCGAGGCTCTCCCGCAGGACACAGTTCGAGCCATTGGGTCGACATCAGTTATATCCGATCCCTGCTCTGTGGTGAAAGAGCTTGTTGACAATGCCTTGGATGCATCTGCGTCATCCATAAGCGTTGAACTATCCCTGAACACCATTGATGTCATCCAAGTCAAGGACAACGGTATCGGTATCTCGGCCGATGACCACCCTGGTGTTTGCCGGCATGCATGTACGAGCAAAATTCAGACTGTTGAGGATCTGAAGAATATCGGAGGGACCTCCTTTGGCTTCCGTGGCGAAGCTTTAGCGAGCGTGGCGGAGATGTCAGGCGGCGTCACCGTTACTACGCGAACTACGTCAGAGGTGATTGGGTCGTGTGTCAAGTATAGTCGAGAGGGCGAGATTTTGCAGTGAGTCGAATCGAGTGGAATTTAAAATCACAATTCCTTTTGACTATGCAACTAATCATCTCTCTAGAAATCAGCGGACAGCCCACCCGGTAGGGACGACAGTTCGCGTCACGGACTTTCTCAAGCACATCCCTGTCCGCAGACAGACTGTGCTCAAGGGGACCACAAAGGCTTTTACCAAGATTAGAAAACTTCTGCAAGCCTATGCCTATGCTCAGCCTTCTTGTCGGTTGTCTCTCAAATTTCTCAAGGCGAAAAACGAGAGCAATAACTGGATGTATGTACCTAGTCCAGAGGCTGCAATAAGCGATGCGGCTGTCAAGATTGCTGGAAGAGACGCTTCTTCATGCTGCAGTTTGAAGGACGTTTCGTCGGACGTGAACACCCAAAATGGAAGCAACTTGACCTCGGGCACATACCGTTTGGGTGCCTTTCTTCCAAGGCCAGATATAGGTATCGCCTCCTTTTCTTTGCGTTCGAGAGTATCTGCTGACTTGTTTAGACTTCTCCAAAATAAATCATATCGGCCAGTTTGTCAGCCTTGATGGCAGACCATTGTCCTCATCCCGGGGAATTTCTCATGACATTGTGAAGTTATTCAAGTCTTACCTCCGCTCGGCTGCTTCCAAGGATGGGTTTTCGAAGACCATCGTCGATCCATTCCTCTGTCTACAGATAGAGTGTCCACAGGGTGCCTACGACGTGAATATAGAACCGGGAAAAGATGATGTGCTCTTTGAAGACCGAGAAATAATGTTGTCTCTGGCGGAAAACCTGTTGCGAGACTTTTACGGCCAGCTACCTGTGGACACAAAGAAAAGCCCAACCAAAGACAAGTCTACATCTTCCAACACAGCGGGAACGACCACTGGCTTCAATGTCCTCATGGCCAGAAAACACACCGAAGGACCGCCAGCTAACCAACCAGCCAATGTCAGGGAGCTCCCGGTCAGTCACTCTACCAGGAAGCCACCCTCCCATCCCCGTCCCAAATACACGCCGAAAATTCTCCTACGATAGACGAAACAAGAGACTCTCAGTCTGAAAATGCCACTGAAGATCGCAGTCCAATAGATCGGAACTCACGTTTCATCAATCCCTGGTCTGTTACCAAAATGAACACGCCACTACAGACTCCAGGACGATATGGCCGAATTGCTGCGAGTCGGCCATCCCTATCGCCGGGTATACAGCGTATATCCCCTGAGCGCAGTCGGGCTGGCCCAGCCTTGAGACATGTCCCTCACTCTCCCCGGACACGCCGGATGTCGCTCGTCATGAAAGCCCAAACGCTAGGTCGGGATCTCCTGTCAGTAGGCGACGAGTACCCCAAAGCTCTGGGAGCCCTCCCTTATCAAAAGGCCCACCTGGAAGTAACTTAAAGAGAGTGGCAAGAGAACGCGATAAAGACCGTTACGGAAATGGCGCTCTTGACACTTGGTTTCAACGTACAACCCAAATCTCAATGGGCCAAACCCCACTTGACCAACCTGCCAGTATCGATGAGTTGGTTCCCACCATGTCCCAACTAGCACAGCGAAGATTCGGCGCCGAAGAGGACGCCCAGACGATTGACAACGATATTCCCGAGCCTTCCCAGGATATTCCGACCGGTATATCTGGCGATACTGGATCACTATCTTCTCCAGGGGACCAAGAATCGACAACCAATGCACATGATACCTCCATGAACAGTGGAAGAGGATATCCTGTTCTTGAACACTGGGCTGCCAGCCTCAAAGATGGGTTCAATGCCGGTGGACCATCTGGGTTAGAGTGGGCGATGGACTTTGAACGACGCAAGAAAGAGGCCAACCAAAAACACCGCAGTCGCCCTGTCCCCGACCAGAAAACAAATGAGCCATCAAGTCAACCACAAAGCTCTCAAGCTTCACAAAGACCGCATCACAACCGTTTCGTCGCAGCCAAAGCCGCATTGTCTGCCGACCGCCCTTTTGCCCCCGAGGTAACCTCCAAACCAGCCATTGCTCTATATGACCCCAGGGCATATTTGATGCGCCATGAAAGTTCCAAGGCGTCCCAAAACCGGCCTCTGGATGGATCAAACAACAGACGTCATCATACGAGCCGTTTACCTTTTGAACGGATTCCCGATGGCCATGATCTCCACGATATCTGTTTATCCGTGTCAACAGACTTGCCATCGATATCCGACTCCTTTAAAATTGCAACCTCGCTCGACTCTTATATTAATGGTGGCAAAGATGCTGAAGCTTTTATTGACCCTGAAATCAACACTCTAGTTCCCATTTGGACAAAGCGGCTGCAATCCATCGTCGCTAGAGAGTACAAGGGGTCAGGCAGTCAACCCTGTTCTGATCAAGCTCATCTTGACGCCATCATCGCGAAGCATCTGAAGCTCCACTACTAATTTTATTGAACTCGGCCTACATTTTTACCGCTTTTTAGCGCGGTCATGACCTGTTCTATCCTTTTACGAATACGATGATACCCCAATGGCGCATCCCCGACGACTTCACCCGCCAGATTAAATTTATATCTTTCTGCCAATTAGAAACATACATTAACAGCTAGCCTAATTGAAGCTTATTAAAAATAAAATTGATCGATTCGTTGCGATACAATGTTAGTCCGGACTCCGTAAGCGTCCGGGTGGGAAACCCGGTTGAACAAAGACAAAATATACTAGTACTATTGAGTGAAGAAAGCTCGAGACCACCGTTCACCATTTTACCAGTACTTCCTCAGTAGTGTTTAAGACGGTAGAGCGTCAACAAAATTATCTCATAAGTTCAATGTCATTTGCTCTATGCCTACCAGAATTTAGTCCCGAGGTCTTTTATATGTCTTAAGTGTCATATAACTCATACTGATGCGTTGCATTATGAATTTGCCAACAAAATAAACTTGAAAGCAGCAATATGTTCCACCCAGCCTAATATTAAATCACGTAACCTTAACATGGGCGCGACCCGTCAAAGGCACATCAACATGAAGCACCAACTTCTTGTTCTCGGCATCGTACTCGGCATGATGGAGTCCCTTCGGCTTGTGCTTCACGCCAAGAACGGTGATAGTCTCAATGCCAACTCCAGCGTCATACTCAAACGAACCAGTCATACTGAACTTGCCGTTCGCGTATTTGAAGTCGATCTCCGACACAGCATCCTGGACAACCGACTTTCCGTCATCAAGATACAGCGAGCCTTCGGCAGAGCCGTCGAGACCCGGTGCAATGACAATATTGAAGCCCTTCTTACGCAGAGCGGTAGTCGTGTTGGCGCTTTCGATGCGCTGCGGATAGATAATTCCACCTTTGTAGTGGATCGTGATATCTGTGTAGCCAACCTCGGCGGAGACGTACTCGCCATGTCCACGGACGGGCCTTCCGGTACCCCATTCGTAGAAAATATCGTTAGGGAGATAGTAGCTCAGGCTTGTGCTGTTCTCCTCTGTGACCGGGCTGACGAGGATGCCATCACCGTAGAAGAATTGAAGATCGATCGGATAGGTGTTTGCGTCGTTCGGGTAGTTGAAGAACAAAGGATTGAGGGACGGAGTGCCAGTCTGGTTTTGCTTGTAGATGGCAGTGTAGATATAGTCGACTAATTAATTGTCAGTCATAATTTTCCACCCAGGAGGGTACTCTTTTCATGACTTACGGAGCTGATATCTGATAGCGATTCCTTTGCGTGCGGCCTCAGCAACGGTCGGCCAGCGATAGAACTCCTGGGAAGTCGCGGAGATTTCGGCGTGGTTGCGGAAGAATGTGTAGAAGGAGCCAAGAGATGCCCATCTGAAATGTGAAATTAGTTAGAGTCGCTCATTGGACAAAGGCCTGTAATTCTCACCTAGCACATAGCGTTTCCGTTGTATTACCGCCGAAGCCGCAAACATCTGGGCCCACGACGGGGATCTGGTAAAGAGATGCAAACTGCAAAATCTGACTGATGGAAAGCCGGTACCATGACCATCCGGAAATATTATCTGTAGAGAATCGAAGTTAGCATCGGGCCGTCAATTTTCATCATCGAACAAGATCAGCTTCAGCAGCATTCTTACCCCCAAGCCAGTGCGATACGTCCTTTCCGGAGCCAGCGAACGTGCTTCGGGTAATAACCAAGGCACGATCATCTGGACGTCTGGCACGCATGGCATTGTGAGAATGAGACGACATCATAGCACCGTAAAGATTGTGTGTGTCATATTGAACATATCCGCCGCTTTGCACCACATCGGTGTCGGCAGTGCTATCAGCAAGTGTGGGTCCTGCACCGTTTTGAATCATATAGGGTGGTCTGATGAGCTCACGACCTGTAAGGCCCTTGCACTCCTTAGGTCCACAGCCAGAGCCAGTTTTTCCGCCGTGCTGCCAGCCAGAATGCGAGGGAGTCTTGTTGGTGCGCCAATGACCAGCGCCAAGGTTGCGACGAGAACGAGGCCGGGATTGATCACGTTGGACAATGGTAACTTCACGCTTTTCTTCTGAGTTGCCAGAAGCAAAGTTTGGTTGAAGACTGGCTGGGAACCCCGGGATGGGGGCATCCGGGCCATCTCGAACCGGTGGGGGCGCAGGAGGATCACCATCCACCTCTGCGAATTTCTCTGGGGTGGTGTTGTTGCCTGGGTAGGGGCGATTGAAGAAGTTTGCGGGCTCGTTCATGTCAATCCACAGTGCATCAATGTCCGGACCGTGTTCTCCATCGAAGAAGTTGCCGAACTGCTCGGTCCAGTACTGCTGCGACTCGGGGTGGAACCAGTCAGGGAAGTAACTCGGACCAGCCCAAACGACTCCCTTATATTCGGATCCATTTGCTTCCTTCATAAAGGTATCATACTTCAGACCCCCCTCGAGTGCCGAATTGGTCTCCTTATAGAACACAGCGGGGTCAACCATGACGATATAATGCTGGTCTCTCGCGTGAATCGTGTCCACCAGGTCCTTGTACAGATTGGCTGGGAAACGTTCAGGGTCAATGGTGAAGATGCGGCGACGATCCATATAATCGATATCAGTCCATATGGTTTCGAGAGGGATGTTGTTGGTGGAATAATTAGCGGTAACAGCAGCGACCTCATAGACGTCCTGGTAACCGTATCTGCACTGGTGGTAGCCAAGCCCCCAATAAGGAGTCATCAGCGGGAGCTGTGTGATTTCTGCGTACTGAACGGCCACATCGCGAGGGGAAGGCCCCGCAATGAAGTAGAAATCAAGAACACCGCCAAGAATATTGTACTCGAGGTATTGGCCGCCCTTGTTGTCGATGAAAATATCCATACCATTGGAGTTGAGTAGGAAGACTCCGTGGGTGGCATCCTTCCTGTGGTCGAAATAGATGGGGTGAGCACCGTACAGATTCTCGCCCTGGGGCGTTCCATAAGCATCGCGAGTGTAGATTGTCCGAGTGTAATTGGTCGTGTTCAGCATGAACGAGTCACTGTGCTCACCCAATCCATAAAGGTGCGGGTTCTGGGGCAATTTTGTCTTAAGATAGACATATTGACTCTCGAACACCAGCTTGCTTCCTGAGGTATCGAAAAGTACTTCTCCGGTATCAGTGCGAGATACGGTGAATGAGAAAGGGTCGGCAACGAAGTCGAATTTAAGCTTGGAGTTCTTTGGAGAAATCCATTCGCCATACCCGGGGCGCGGGAAGACACTGTCCGGAACCTGGTAGACCGTGTTGTTGGTGTCCAAAATCTTGACGTGGAGTCGATCGCTGGTCTGATATTCCACCTCCAGCTTCAAGTTCGGCAGGTCAGTCCCGAAAACATTGCATTCCGGTCCTGCTAGAGACAGATCCGCATAAAATCCAGATTGAGTCTTCCGATGCTTCGTCGCCTTATATCCTGGGCATTTCGATAGGTCCTTTTCGTAGAGATCATTACCTGGGGCATCTAGATCCGCGACACCAGCCTGGCTTTGGGCCAAGGCACAGCCACTCAGGGCTATAGCCGAGGTGACTAGTTTCTTGAAGAACATGTTGACGCCTTGAAGATCAAATTATCAAACGGACACATGTTGTTCTTATATACATCTCTCGGCCTCTATTCGGAGTTCCCTTTGCCAAGGCGGAGCGGAGCGTGTTGTCAGTGCGGCGAATGCAACATTCCTCAAGGCCCGCGATCCCCACCCCGCAAAAATGAACCATGCCATTTCGAATGTCCAAGCTTTGCAGATCTTGATCAAACCAGTTTTCTTGCTTCTATCACTATCGCTGTCGCTCTGCCGATGTCACTCGGAACTTTGTGACATTCATCGTATACACTACCTGATTCTTCACTCGAAGATGAAAAAAGCCAGCGGAATCAACAAAACGCAAGATGTTAACAATGCAATGATTATATCCTGTTCTTGGCATTTGCCAAATTACCGAATATCCCGCTAAAAATCCGAGAAATGATGCGGCGAACTTGATTTCAAAGCCAAGACAATGAGCAGTACCGGCCCACGATTTTCTATTTCTCCGCTAAATGCCCGTCTTTGTGGGGCTCCGCGGGGCCCCAAAGCTCCTCGGCACCCCACAGCTTCGTTAAATGGCTTATATACGTAGTTAACGATCCGAATTTCTCGATCTCTTCGTAACCAGGTATGTAGAGCTATCCAATCAGACATCTATTTGGGTTGTGCGGCAAGACAATACACCGTCGTGGAAGATAACCCATCAAAGGTAGAATTTCCGGTCTGCAAATGCCAAGAAAGCCAAGAGAATAGTCATCTTAGATCGGACACTACAATCCAATGACTATTCACTGCCCCTCATATGTCGGGAGATGGTCATTGCAACCAGCTTCCCGGGCTTATAGCGCACACTTCATTTAGTTACGCGACCGTCAAGCGGTGTTGACATTTCACTATTCTAGCAGAACTTGCCGAGCTGTTTGTAATGGAGAGGCTTCAGTTGGTAGCTTAATCATATGATGGGTGCCCCCATGCGAATTCCTGCTCCTCCGCATACTGTTACTACTATGTACCAATGCATTCTCTTGTTTTATTTTAGCCGTCGTACTTTTTATTTTGTTAGCTTGAGCTTATATTACTTCTCAAATCTGCCGTTGGAACGAGCTCGTAAATACACACTCGAGCCTCAGAGACCGGGGATACGGGACCTATCGCACGGCCAACTCCGATGAATCGAATACTTTTTCCTGAGATGCTGCTGAATTTATTGAAGCCTGCATAAAATGGACGTTTTAAGGTATACACTATTTTAATCAAGACCTTGGTGAGATCTACGGAAGACATGAACTTATTCTTATGATCCACCCGATGCAATTTATTAGGGCGTCCCTTGCTCCGATGTATACGTGGCCACCCATGACAAACGTGATGGCTGGGTCAAATTCCGAATACGCATGATCATTGATGCACAGTCTCTGTACATGCTAAAGGCGCATATGTGGTTGGTCTTGCCAATGATGCACTAGGAGACCTCTATACCAAAGAATGCAGATGGATTAAAGTCCTTGGAGAAGTTTGCCCCATGTGGTTGATTTCTCAGAATTTTACGATTAGGAGTCTCTCGAAGATCGCGAGTGAGTATTTCCAATAGCTATCTATATCTACTTCACCAAGGGATTGTTATGAGCGAATACAGCTTCCATGTTGGCGGCCGTTGACATTGAAAGTCATTTTATAGGCCGATTTTCTCCTCGAAATCTCAAATAAGAGAGGTACATTATTTTTTCCTAGTATCTGCCATACTCAACGTCATGTCTCTATTCAATCGTAATTATGATGAAACTTTACATTGTTCATGTTCATGAAACTGGCACCCCGATATGTGAGGGAAACGTTATTCAGGCGTAGGCGAAACATATTCTCGAGTGCAAACTTGAAGTGCATTGAAGGTAATAAATTCCCAAAGAGAATGATAAAAGGAGACAAAAATACATTTTATACCGGCTTTGGCGTTCGTGGTCTTGTAAAAATAGCAGTGTCATCATGAGGTGTTGTTGCAGTGGTGCCTCAGGCTTCCAAGCTTCCGTGCCTTCCATGTCTAGATAGTTCAACTTTAACTTCAAGTTCGCTGTCTTCTCCTCGCTTCTCCTATCTCATCGAATCACTAGCAATCCCATCGGATCTCCCTTTCTCGCGGCCGTAAGCATGGGATGCTTGTATACTGGAATCCAATACTGACTCTGTTACCAAGTCCTATCCGTTCCATCGATTTCAACCTCGCTTCGTCGGCCCCCCCCGAAATCAGACACCAAATCTTCCTTTGAGATTAAACCCACTTTTAAGTGCATCCCTATATCTAATCCGAGTCCTTTTCTACATGAATTGAACTGACATCCGAGCAATTTGAACAGGATGTCTTCTCTCCAATCCCCCGTCGTCACCGTGCCTACAGTACCGCAGTGTGAATACCCCGAGATCCTTCAAAAGCTCGAGAGAGTTATCATCGCTTGGACGTGGACAGATACGATCGCATTCTGCGTCCTCGCTGTATCTTTCATGTTAATTTTTGGTTTCCTCACCGGACTTATCAATATCTTCGTCGACTTTACCATCGCACCCTATATCAGACGCTTCTTCGACTACTTATTTGGGTAAGCTCTAACCCCTCTGGCTCAAACTCAACAAACTCCTCGAAAAACATTCCGTCTGGAAAATCCATCGTCTTATCACCCAACGCTCTGCATGCATTCAAGCTAAGATATGGGTGACAGGGGATCATCCAACTACACGAACCTCGAGGCAAGACAATACGAGTACGAGTACTGCGGCACTGTACGCGCACCCGTCGATCGCCCTCACAACCTCCGTGTTGTCCAAGCAGAAGGGCAGAACAGACAATCGGATCAGAAGCGATCAAAGGATGATATCGATGCCACACTATACCTTTTCATGGATAACTTTGAGAATGGAGGGGTGCGCAACGAGATCTCCTTTAAAGCCGTTTTTTACGTCAAGGAGAAGGATCCGGGTGTTGAAAAGTGCAACTAGTTCAGAGTGGCTTTGATTTCTGACTCGGACCTGTTGGGTTGCTGGATTTCGCTGTCTTCTTCGGGTTTCTTGATGCGATTCCAAGGTCTATCTAGTTCAGGGATATCAGGATTCCTACTTCTAGCCTCCGCCCACCTTTCTATTTCGATACTTCGCACCTTTGAACCCCCGTGGTAATCACCGGGCTTGCTTAGATTGCTGTTTCTTTTCGATGCTTCCTTTTCAAGAAGATTGTACCTTATTACTAAGGGAGCTCACACTCCATGCACTGCTTCCAATGCTTTCATGGCTTTGATTAGTCGTTTGCACGACCGTTTGTCATAGGTTGGTTGAGATGTCGCGGTAGATCTATTCGAGGTTCCCACCTCGTGTCGAACGAAACAATTGCAGATTCAAACTGGTATACTCTTTCCCAGTATTCCTAGCCTACTATTAAAACGAAAGAGTCCCAGTGAGAACAATATTGCCCGGTCGCATGCTGTTATAGTGGGTTCAAGGTCAATGAGGTCGAGTCCCGAGGTCACGGTCGGAATGTATCAAAATATATATCCGAGGGTGCTGGTGCTATCCTCCCTCCAGGTGCACAGCTTTCAGCTTGAAAGTTCAAGTTCAAGTCAAAACCTCCATCCAAGTGGGCACCTGGGCAACAAGGCTTCAACTTGTTAAGACAAGAACTTGTAGAATACCTAGGTATCCATCTACAACATACTACTATCCAACTATTCCATCACAAAAGTACTGTATACTTCCATCATCAGAATTTTCCACCGATCCACCGCCAAGCCCCCCCGCTGACAGCCACAACTAGCGACCGTTGGCCCTGATCGAGCGCTTTGGGCTGACATTTGCCACCACCAGAAGAGTCACCCTTCAGAATATGGATACTTCAATGGATATTTACAAGAAGGGGGAAAATTACGTGAAATCCACCGATCGCCCGGCGTGGATCCGAAGAGATTGAGATTACGGATGGACGTGTCTAGCCAGGCTGACACCTGGGGATTTCTTGGGCGCTCTGGGAAATGAGATGAGATGGACTGAAATGAAATGAGCGGTCACGATCAAAGACATCATCAGACCATACCCAGACTCCAAAGGTGGAAGTGGTACCCAAGAATCGAGATTGTGATTTCGCTCCAGTCCGTCCCTTGGCTACTCGTACGCTGGCATCACGTCACCTCTCCTCACCGACCGGCCCAGCGACAACGCAGAACCTCATTTAGTTTCCCTGCAAAACGCAAGGTAAGGCTGAAAGATGTGCATAAGACCGCTCGGGGACGTAAACGGTGAAGGGTGAGTGGGTGGGCTCTGCGGAAATGAGCCCCCGATGAACACGCAGGAACCCGGCCCACTGCTAATTTGCGGCGCTGTGCGCCTACCAAGGGTGAATCGAAGGGTGACCAGGTGGCTGGAAGAATATGTATTCGCGCATCGCATGTGGAGAGGAGAATTATCGTACGTGGGTAGGGTAGGGTAAGGGCAAGATATGACCCGGGAGGAATACGATACTCCGTGGATGACCCTCAGGGCTAGACCAACTGTCCACTGGCACTGGCAGTCCGCGCTAACCAGTTCGCCCCTGAACGAATAACGAATAACCTCAGAAACAGAGTCTCGCCAAGCCTTATCCTAAATGTATCGTACCAGTTTCAACCCACATCACGGTGCCTAGATCGACTAACTTGCTTGGCGCGAGGAGGAGTGGTCGAGACCGGTGTGTTGTGCTGTGGAGATGGTGGTCGAGTTTTCTCGGATCTTAGCGAGGTGGGCACTCTGGAGGTGGATGAATGAGTATTCATTCATATTTACATATTCCAACCAGAGTTTGTAAGTGTACGAGTATGTGCATACTGCTCACCTCACTACGTAAACAACTTAAAATACACCGGTCGGGGTTACCCCTGGATGGGACTTGGATGAACTGGAGGGCTCAGTCACACTTGCGTAAGACATTTAATTTAGTCTGGAGAGTCGGCAGCGAGTCATCCGAGACTAGCGATTGTTATTCTCGGCCTGACCATTGACAATTAACCATTGAGGAATTAGGGGGCGGCCCCCCAAGCAATCAATGCAGTAGCCTTGTTAAACATGTCGGCAATTTGATTCCCCGCAAACGATGCCGGTGTGCCGTTGCCTTCAAGGTTACTGATGGTAATAGGAGGTTGCTACGAAGGACGGAGTGCGAGTATTCGTACTCGTACATAAACGGAGTGGTATATGGAGTTCAAGTTGTAGGCAGATTGGAACTTGGCAGCCCTGGAGGTTCACAGAGCCATGGCCTCTCAAGTCTAGACCGGGCGCATTGGGATCAGCATCGGCCAACTGGGGCCGCGTTGTTGGAGTGTGATCGTCGGAAGATGCGGATGGTGTTGAAGTTGGTCGAGGATTATTTACTAGTATGTATTGATGGCCCCGGGGGCTGACACAAAGGAGCATCGTATCCCGTTGGGCTTTGAACAGAGGGCAGCTAGAATGAGTAATTTTTGTATACTCAATGGTACAAGTACTCAAACTCGTCGTTGAATTGTGTATCTGTTGTGCATAGCCGCCTGGAGCAGCGATCCAAGCGATCGGCGGTTAGCGGGTGAGGTGACGAGTCTCTGAGCGGCTGGAGATGCGAGTCCCTTCTCCGTAGTACAAGTATACCCCATGAATTACAGGAACGGAGGAGATGGCTGTTCAGACCCATGGTTGCAATGATAAAGGAGGGGCCACAATGTCATCGATGGAGTATTGAATAAGTGTGTGATTGAGTCTGCGAGTAAGGAGTACTGGAATTGTGCGGGAGTACCTGGATGGATCCTTGGTATCAGCCGTGTACCTGTATACCCTAGGGTAATTGACTAGTTCTGAAGCAGGAGGTACCAGAAGCACAGAGGCACGATCGGCAGGGCGGAAATTATAGATGGGAGATTAGACCAATAAAGCTGGAGGATCCTGTTCCACCGGGCTGCCACTTAACCCATCTGAGACTAGCGGGACCACATGGCGCAGGGGCATTTCCTGTTTTTGTGCGGTTCGTTTTTGAGTTCCCCTTTTTGTATAATACAAATGATGGTGAAGGTGAATAGAATATAGTCCTGTAGACTGCAGAGTATAACTAGAGAAGAAGATAATACAATAGAATGCAGTGGCCAGCTGAGTACGAGTACAATAACCAAGTAGCTGGGTAGATCCCGTGATCGCCGAGCCCTATCTTGCACTGTTGACTGTAGACCTCACTGCAAGCTGTCAGGGGTCGCAAGGGGCGGAGTGAGACACCTATTTTTGCACATCCGTGCTCTCTTAGTATACTCCGTAAGTAAAAGTAAATAAATACTCGGATACAGCTTGTGTATCACTGTATCAGTGTATACACTAAATGCATCCACTCAGTACATCCATCTCCACTCCAGGACCACCTCACCAATAGCACTTGCAGTGTGCCTGGATATCTCGACCTAGACTTTATGGAGCCAGTGAAATAGGTAAATATCCTCTGTAATGTAAATGTAATTTAATATTCACGATCGGTGGAGCTGCGCCCTTTTGTCTGTTGTCTCTCCTTTTCTCCCCCCCCTACTCTGCCTCTCTCCAGTCTGACAAAAGGCCTTGCGTGCCCACTTCCCCGACTCTCCTTCTTTTCCCTCCTCAACCCACGTTCCTTTACCAACTGACCACCGCTTCACTCGTTCAGCGGGCTTTCCCTTCTTTGCCGCTCAATCCCTCTCATCTTCCATAATGAAGGGCTCCATCTTTGCGGCCGCCGCTTTTGTCGGCTCGGCTATGGCCGACGGTGCTCTGCACCGCCGCCACGAGGCCTTCCACCGTCGTGCTGAGGCTGACTCTTCTTCTTCGTTCGTGGCTGCTTCGTCCTCCGCCTCTGTTCTTCCTCTGAACCCCGAGGAGACCTGCGGTTGCACTACCAAGGTCATCACCTACTATGGTTCGCCCACTCTGGTGCCCATCCCTCAAACCTCCACCAGCACCGAGTCGACCTCCACCTTGACCAGCACCATCCACTCGACCAGCACTCTCACCAGCACTCTGACTGTGACTCCCTCCGTCGAGGCCACTTCCACTCCTACTCCTACCCCGGAGACCTCGACCATCATCGTGTCGCTGCCCACCGCTGGTGTCTCCAGCTTCTCCTCCACCGGTGTCTACACCATCCCGGCCACCACTCTGACCGTGACTGACACCACCACCGTCTGCGGTGCCACCACCACTGCTGTTCCCAGCGGTACTCACACCATCGGTGGTGTCACCACTGTCGTTGAGACTGAGACCACCATCACCTGCCCCTACGCCACCGTCAAGCCCCACGGCTCGACTGTTACCAGCACCATCGAGTACACCACCTACACTTGCCCTGCCGCTGGTACCTACACTGTGGTCCCCGGTACCGTCACCACTGTGCCCACCAGCACCGTGCTTGTCTACCCTACCCCCCCCAGACTTTCACCCCCGGTACCTACACTCAGTCCTCCAGCGTCGTGACTGTCACTCGCACCGACACCACCTACTACTGCCCCTACGCCAACGGCGAGTCCTCTACTCTTGCTGCTAACCCCAGCACCAGCTCCGCTCCCGTTCCCGCTGTCCCCACCACCACTGCTGCTGCTACTACCAGCTCCGTCGTTGCTGTCACCACCAGCTCGGCTGCTCCCTCTAGCACTGGTGGCTCTGGAAGCGGTACCACCGGCGAGGGCCAGTACGGCATGACCTTCTCCCCCTACACTGCCGAGGGTAACTGCATGTCCCAGTCCGAGGTCACCAGCAACCTGAAGACCATCAAGCAGAAGGGCTTCAACCTGGTCCGTGTCTACTCCACCGACTGCAACTCCCTCGAGTACATCGGTTCCGCCTGCAAGTCCCTCGGTCTCAACATGATCCTGGGAGTCTTCATCGAGTCCACCGGTACCTCCGGCGCCGAGGAGCAGGTCACTGCCATCACCAAGTGGGCCCAGTGGGACATGGTCGAGCTGATTGTCGTCGGTAACGAGGCCATCTCCTCCGGCTACGTCTCCGCTTCCCAGCTCGCCTCCTTCATCACCTCCTGCAAGTCCTCTTTCGAGGCTGCTGGATACACTGGCAAGGTCACCACCACCGAGCCCATTGATGTCTGGGAGCAGTACGGAAAGTCCACCCTGTGCAGCCCCGTCGATATTGTCGGTGCCAACATCCACCCCTTCTTCAACTCCGACACCACCGCCGCCAAGGCCGGTGAGTTCGCCCTGGCCGAGTACAAGATTCTCGAGAAGCTGTGCGGCAAGGACGTCCTGAACCTGGAGACCGGCTGGCCCAACGGTGGTTCCGCCAACGGTGCCGCCATCCCCGGTGCCTCCGAGCAGAAGACTGCCATCCAGGCTATTGCCAAGTCCCTTGGCTCCAAGTCCATCTTCTTCTCCTACGCCAACGACGACTGGAAGGCCCCTGGCTCCTTCGGTGTCGAGCAGCACTGGGGTTGCGCTGATGTCTTCTAAACATGTCACCCCCAATGTCATGTCCCTGTGATTTAAAACTTGTACAGGAGGATCCAGGAGTTTTTCTTTTTCTTTCTTAGTGGCTGGTAGCTGGTCGAGCTGATCGAAGCTTCCGAGCAGCGATGAGTCCCCGCTCAGTGGCCTGGTTGCTCTTTTGGTTTCTCGTGTCTATCTTGGACTTACGTGGTAGATATCCTTTTTTATTTCATGTCTACTGATCCTGGTCGCCATCCGCCTGATTTCTTTGTTTCCGCTAATTTGCGACTGTCTGTATATCTTTATTCTATTGATGCACTTAACGAACGGTAGTCTTTTGACGTAGTTGTAGTTCTATGCTCAATAATTTTCCCTCCAAGCCCTGCCCCCCCCTGCCTGCCGAATCCACCACGTAATCTCCAAGCCCTCGTCCAAACGCACTCAAAAACATCCCATGCTTCCGTGTCCATGACCCAGCCTTATGATCCTTATGATACCATACCATCCATTTCTTATGTCTGAAACACCCGATCTCCGGACCGACCCGCCGAAACCACAATTCCATGCACAATCCTCAAACAAAGACCCGCCATCTAAGCATTTTCCCAATCTATCTCCGACGACCAGGTATCCGTCACAAACGCTTGGTCTCAATCTACCGATCGTACTCGTAGATCTCTCCCTGCAAATGATCTACACAGATACGGAGTACGGAGTACGGATCTGATCGGATGTTTCAGTGCCCAGCCTGTGCAGGGAGGCGCATCGCCAGCCATCTCATCTCCTTCGTGTACCCCTGCCCCAGCCATCTCGTCCATGAAGACATCTACTTGACCTTGGCCTTGGCTGCCCTTGCCTGAGGGATATAATGTGGTTTCATATCTTTAGGGGTATTATGATGACGGACTAGTTTACGATCCTGGATGCTTACACAATGTATTCACACAACGCATAACTATCTGGGTCTGGCAAGTACAAGTTCGGCGCAAATTCAGATACACACCGGCATACTATAGTGATGTTGCAAAAGTTTGAAACTCCTTGTTGACTGTCCTGATCCCTGCCTTCCCAGGGGGGGCAAGTAGCTACCTGAGATGGAATAGATTGGCTATCTTAGTAGCTACTAGTCTGCCATTCGAAGGCGGTCGATAATGGTGGGCAATAGAAGGTTTCAAACTTCTGCAACACCACTGTAACTAGTACTTCCCCAGATACACTCTCAGACGCAAGTCATTTACCTCCACTTATTATCCCACCCAGCCTGCTCAACTGCAAAAGCAATAGCCAATTCACTAAATCGTGCCATATGCTGCAATAACATCCAATCTTAGCAAGTGACCCACAGATATACTCGTAGAAACGGAAGCAAAAGAAACTTGAACTTGAACTCACATCAACTGAAAAATATCCCGTCTCATCATTGACCCACATCGTATCATTAATCCCATGCACATACGGATCATATTCACCAGGGAAACTACCGCCAGCGACAGGATTGCCTTCCGAGGCAAAAGAAGCTGGGTAATTGAGTTGTGTGTAGGACATATAGTCCGAGCCGGCGTTACTAAGAGGAGCCTGGTCAGAAAAAAAACCTTCCACCCTTCTACTAGTAAGATAAAAGCGAATCGGATGCGAATCAACATACCCAGGAAGATCATAAACCTCAGTAGGAATCGAGATATACTTCTGACTCAAATTAACAGCCCAGTTAGTGAGGACCTCATCAGCCTCGGTGGCAATAAACCCAATAGACTCAGTCGCATTCGTAGCAATGAAAGCGGTCATATCCTTCACGTTTGTAAACCATAATTAGCATCTATACGAAACCAAACGTTCCAATTCCCAAGCAAACGATTCGTTCACTGACACAGGCACGAGACTCACAAATTCCATCATCGCCCCAATCCGCGCTCCTTGCTCTTTCTTATATCTAGCAATAGCCTGACTACCCAACAACCCACCCTCCTCAGCAGCATACCAGTGAAACTCAACCGGTCCATCCTGGGGAACGAATCCAGCCCCGGCGAGGACACGGAATGCTTCGAGGATACTGACGGTACCGGAGCAGTCATCGTCTGCGCCCGGGCCGGGAGAAGAGGGAAGAGATAGTTAGCTGAATCCTGGTGCGCGCCTAGGATCGTCAATGGTTGCTTGAAGTTGCGGACTTTTGGCTCGAAGCGGGCGATTATTGAGGATTGGCGGAATGGGTGGGTGAAATATTCGAGGGAGATGTGGGTGTGTAGGGGCGAGGATGCGATTATCTTTTCAAGTTTGCGAGGATCTGTTAGGTCCGAGTCTGCTTTTATTTAAGGCACATTTGTGGACATCCTGCCGCTCATACCTGAGAGATATGGTTATAAAGCCACTCAGAGCTCAATTCGCCGTGAATATCGTCAAAGTAGCGATTATAATATCCAGTCATGTGTTCAAGTACGCCAAACATTCTCTCCGTGTCAACGAACGGGAAAAGAGGTCTGATAAGGCGTTCATGAACCAGATCAGGCAGACCTGAAATAATTGTTAGTTAACTACCATCGCCAAGATGAAGAAAAAGCTAGACGAAAACTTGAACAAAAGGGGGAAAAACTAACGTGGCTTCCCAGCCATAGCATCAACCTGCTCCTTATAAAACTCTTCATGATCAGTGATATCCATGAATTTAACCCCCTCCCTCCGCAATCTCATCTTATCCCCCTCAGTCATCCACTCCGCCTTGGCATTCGGAGCCCCCAATCTCCGCAAAAGACGCGGCTCAGCCAACGCTGCTTCGGTCTTTGCTCTAGCTTCATCTTCACTCTGAAGCGAGACTAGAGCGGTGACTGGGTCGGCATGAGTCTCAATTGCTGCTAATATACTTTCGTGCACAGTGTGATCGCCATGTGGGCGCGACACGCCAGCGCCAGCGTCGCCCGAGCCCGAGGGGATCGGAGCTAGGACGCGTTGGAGGTCGGGTATTGCGACCGTTAGCTGGGCGGCGCCGAGGAAACAAGCTAGGAGGGATTTGTGCATTATCGTGGATAATGGGAATAACAACTTGGATATGGGTTCGAGGGGTTCAACTGTTTTAAATGTCTCTGCTGTTGGAGCACGCGAGTCAGTGCGGAGTTGGCTACTCCGGAGTCCGATGGAGTAGCCAACTCCGACGTGATAGCTGACTGGCCAATCACAGTTGAGTATTGCAATGTTGGAGGCAAATAAATGCTATGGCAATCTATTGTGTTAATATGGTTATTCGAAATTGACTCGAGAGCGATTGTGAAGTAAAAATGAGTAGCAAATTGTCTAGAGCTAATACTAGTATAGATTGAGCGAGATCAAGCGTTGCTGTCGCATGCCCACTACTAGCTTTAGGAGAGAAGTTTGAATATGTCCCCACTAATCTAAAACAGAATCCCAGAACAATCAAAGCGATGGGTGAATGCGAATAGCTAGAAATGCAGGGGAGGTAACGGAAAGCCAATCTGGGATGCGTAATGGCATCTCAGCCTCCACACTCTATGAAACTCCAAGAAGCCTAGTCTCCGTCGATACTTGCGCAACTCTCACATGGCTTTAGGAACCGTATACTTCATTCGGTAGTAGTGACCGTCCAGAAATACCGCTGTCTTCAACCTCCACTCTTCTCTTGCCGCCTTCTCTGCGTCACTCAATATTTCCTTCCACTTCTTCAGTGAGAATCCCCGCGGTTCTAATACGCTCAGCATCATTTTCAATTTCTTTGGTATGCCCCCACTTGGCAAATTAACCAACACAGTATTGGATTTACACCCTTCATCCCACAAGGGATCCGCCCCATGATCTAACAACAACCGGACATATTCCTGCAGACTGACCTGTCCGGTACTATTGCGATAGGAGCGTCGTGTGAAATGGTGGTGAATACTGCTCAGACTGGAGCTCTGGTGTGTGTCTGCCACAACCCCATGCGCGACGAGAGTGTCCATAGCAGCCGCTATTTTATATCACCCCTTACATATGTCAAAAGTGGACAATAATTCTCTATGGGCTTGTGGAGGCTCTCCATTGGACATTTTCGAATAGAAGCTTGATTGCAGCCACGTCTGATGCCCTTGCCGTGAGCTCGAGTGCTTCTTGATATGCCCCGCTATGGAGACTATATCGCTTATCGAATTCATCCAGCGTTTCAAACTCATCGGCTCCGGCATGAAGCATCAAATTGTAGGATATCTGGGTTTTCAGGCGATTCGAAGGCTCTAGAAAATGGCGACTTAATTCCCCGACTAATTGTGCCACATAGTCGGGCTCGATGATCCAGAAACATCGCCTTGATTCCCCAGTTGAATTGGCATGTGCGTTGGCTCCGTGATTCAGAAGCATTTTCACAACACCTCGGTGACCACTGTCGATTGCATAGAACAGTGGACTTCGGACGTAAATGCGCCCCGGGTATCGGAGGTTGACGAGCCCAGCACCGCCGTATGAAAGTAATTTTTCAATAACGCGATCATGTCCTCGATGAGATGCTAGTGCCAAGGGGGAGTTATACCGTCGTATAGGACGCGTCCCGTTCCAGTTCTTTTCTTCGATATAACCCTCCTCAAATTCAGACCCGATAGTAATTTCCGATAGACTGTCTATGGGAATACAATGAGTGGTAAAAATAAGATAGTTGTACAAAAGAAAACGCAATATCCAATAATTTTTGAAGAACTGGCTGGGGAGCTTCATCGAAGTCTGGCTGTAGCCATGACTGAAGCAGGGGTTGATCAAGTAAAAATGGGAGGGTTATACTCAGTCGTGCATGCTCTTATAACTTTAGTCTCACTCATCCTTGAGGGTATGGGAAATCAAGAAGCTTTACTATATTACAATCGGACCCGTCGCTGCCCTCTTCCTTCCATTCCTGCCCCTCCCAACCCTTGCGCATTGGCTCCCTGCCCCTTTTCCCATCACAATTCCCTTTTATCCGACGCCAAGGTGATCGTTATGGCCAATATTAGCTACAACGCTATACAGTCGCTCCTGGGCGCAAAATAATTGCTGTTCATCATGCTCGGCCTACAAGATGTCAGCCATTCATTCCAACACTTCAAGATCTGCGTGGTCCGGGATGTTTTTATCTAGACCTTGATCTTGCATATCTCACCCCCTTGCATACTTCATGAATACCAAGTTTAAGAAAGGGATTTCATGGCCGCTAAGAAATCAAGTCTCTAAATGCGACATCACAGAGTTTACGACTAGTCAATCTCCCCTCATAACTGCTATGAACAGCCCCGGAGATACCAAAATACCCATAGTATATTGTGTCTCCCATCATGGAATATGCCGAACCCTTGCTCCCTCAGGTTGGTGCGGAAGATGACCTCCACAGTCTCGAAGAATTCCCACAAGACAGCGTCAGTCTTAGAGACTCAGACAGCCCAGAATATCAGTTCGAATGGTCGGATTCCTTCAAATGGGGCGTTGTGGCATTGTTATCTTTTATGGGCTTCACCGTGTCCGTATATCTCGGAATAACTGGTTTTCAAATTGGAGCTAACTTTATCAAGTTCTTTCACTTGCATCTCGATAGCCCCAGTGGCAAGCTATATAGTCGAGGATCTTGATGGCAGTGATGGAACCAACTCCGCCGTCCTTCTCGTCACAATTTGGGAGCTAGGTGAGGCATTAGGTCCACTCTTCATTGCGCCACTCTCTGAGGTCTATGGCCGTTATCCACTAGTCATCACATTGAATCTAGTCTTCGTGATGGCCACCATATTTGCAGCCTTTTCACCCAGTTCGACACTTCTCATTGTCTCGCGTGCACTGATGGGCATGTCAACAGCATCAAACGTTTTAAGCCCAGCAATTATAGGAGACATTTTCGAACCCGAACAGAGGGGCTCAGCCATCAGTTTGATCACATTCATACCCCTTATGGGTAGTAATTTGGGATCAGCAGTTAGCGGCATTATTATGGAGAAGCTAGGCTGGCGCGCTTTAATCTGGATTAGTGTCGCATTGACGAGCATTTGCCAGCTCTTGCTCGTTACATATTTCCGAGAAACATACAAAGTGTCGATTCTCCAAGGCAGGGAAGCCAGACTGGGTTTGGAGAAAAAGAGAATTCACAGGGTAGGCCTAGCCGACTTGCGAGGCTGCGTCATGCGTCCGGCCATGGTTCTCTTAAGCTCTGGTGTGCTAGCAGCTCTCGCACTTTTCGGGTCCATCATCTTCGCACATCTCTATGTGGTAGCCACCACGCTCCCGGTTATCCTGAAACACACATATGGCTTGTCAGCAACTGCAACAGGATTATCTTTCCTCGCAAATGGTAAGTCTGAATCGTCCATCCTCCTTTATTCAGTCGCGGAAATTAGGCTCACTCGGTCTATTTAAGGTCTCGGCAGTGTCATGAGCTTCGCAATTTTGACTCCCTTTCTGGATAAGATTTATATAAAGCTCGGGGCAAGAAAGAGGGTCAGTCTGCCAGAGCATCGTCTGCCGTTGAGCATCATCGGTGCTCTCACATTGCCCCCTGCCGTGTTGCTGTACGGTTGGAGCGCCGAGTACAAGCTCCCCTTGCCTCTGCTTTTGTTCTCCGCTGTCTGGATTAGGTTGTCTATGATGTTAGCCTTCTCGCCTTTGACGTCGTACATTGTGGATGCATTTGGCGTTTACTCAGCATCCGCTCTGGCTGGCCTCGTGACATTCAGATGCTTAGCCGGTGCGTTCTTACCGCTCACCATAACGCAGATTACTGAACACCTTGGCTATGGTTGGGGATTTACTATGCTTGGAGTCTTTGGCATGGGTCTCGCTCTAATACCAGTGCTCGTTATACGTTATGGCTTCCATTGGAGGCAACGCTCTAGCTACACTGGAAATAAATGATAGTTGAGTACGATCCTTTTAGGTGGTCAATGTTCTATTACAATTTGGATACTGAAAGTAGAAAGACTGAAGTCGTTTGTCATAGATTCATGTCTAGGACCTATGCTATCAAAGAGCAGTGGCAACTGCCAATCTGCATAAAAAGTTTCATACTCGTACTCGCTAAGAGAGTAAAAATGTCCATTGAAGTGTTCCAGCACTTTAGACCAAATATCTGAATCCCTTGCGCATGCACAGCGACTCGTTGGCACTGACAATAAAGTCGCCATCCTGGTCTTCATCAGCAACCTCAGCCTCAGAAAGCTGCTTGTTCAGGTTGACAAGAATCATGCGGAATAGCCAGAAGCCAACAATTGTAATGCCGAACATGGCTGTGACGATGCCGTAACTCTTGCGGTAGCCGTTCTCCGAAAGATCCCACACATATGAGCCGGCCACGTTACCGAGTTGACTGAAAGCGTTGATGAGGGCAAGGGCGACAGCTCGCTTGGCCGGGGACGAGGGAATGAGGAACTGATCCAAGAGTAGAAGACGATGAATCCAGCATAAGAACCGGCTTGCAAGAAGAGAGCGACGTAACGGGCTGCGACGTTCAGAGTGGACATGCTGATGATAAAACCAACAATACCCATCACGATAGGACCATAAATATGCCAGATCTGAGAGTTGTTAGTTTATTTCAAGCAGGTGATCAGGTAAATTCAACTGACCTTTTCTTGGGTTCTGTCGGCGTGCCAGGCGTTGATGACAGAGAAGATACAGGAGAAGACCCAGGGAGGGGCACTCAGGAGGAGGGTGGGGATTTCCGAGAAGCCAAGAGTACCAGTAAGGGTAGGCTATGGGATTTAATGGTTAGTGGTGATAATTAGAGAGTTTTGAGTCTGGAACGTACGAAGAAAGCGTTGAAAGACAGTCCAACAACGTAGGCAGTGAAGGACAACATCATGATATAGATCTTCCAGTCCTTCAGGGCCATGACAAGACCAGTGAAGGGACTTTGCTCCTCAGAGTCGGTATCGGCTTCACCAACATCCTCAAGGATACGAAGCTGCGCAACAAGACGCTCCTCCTCAGTAAAGCCACGTGCATTGGTAGGAAGGTCAGGCAAGATAAAGCCAGAAGAGACCGCGATAGCCATGGTAATGGCGCCCTCGATCCAGAAAAGCCAGCGCCAAGCAGCATGTCCCAGGACACCTTCCATGTTGGAAAGGACACCCGCGGCAACAAGCGAGGAGAAGGCATTTGAGATGAGGTTACCACAGAATAGAATGGCATTCCGAGTAGTCAGCTCCTTGCGGGTATACCACTTGGAGAGGATAAGCAGAGCACCGGGAAGGAAGGCAGCCTCAACGAAACCCAGCAGGAAACGGATGGCAACCATGTGGCCAAAGTTCTTAGCCCAGCCAGAGCAAGTCGAGATGATACCCCAAAGTGTCATTGAGATGGCAATGTAGATGGATGGCCGGGAAATGCGGTTGATGAACATGTTGGAGGGCACCTGCATCAGAATGTAGCCCACGTACAAAATACTCAAACATGTCGAGTACTGGGGATCTGAGAGGTTAAGATCATCTTGAAGACCCTTCAAGCGGGCCGCTGAGATGTTGTTTCGGTCAAGGTAGTTCATGATGTAGATGAGAACGAACAGACTGCACCGAGCATCGAGCTTGCGCTTGAGGGTCTTCTCAACAACGACTCGGCGAGCCGGGTCAATGTGAGGAAGAACATTCTGCTGCTCAGAAATATTTTCGAGATTTTCAATCCTCTCCTTCTCGACCTCGACCTCGATGCGGTCATTGTTGTTTCGTGAGATGTCGTCGGCCATTGTGAAGGTATTTTCTCTTGCCACCCAAATTCGCACACCGAAAGAAAAGATATCGCGCCAGGGGATTTCCGTTCCTTTTATGAAAGAGCCGGCTCGTGCCAGAACCCCATCCCCACTACTCCTGTTGCGTCCTCACCCCGGTGACCCCCCACGCGAAAATATCGCAACACGCGGGGGTTACAGTGGAGATTTGCCTTGGCGTCGGGACCTAGGACACCCCACGGAATGGTTTCTCGGCTACAAAGCTCTCCGAGTAGGGGAGAAAGCGCGGACGGGCTGCCGGTATTGGAATATAATTGGTCAATCGGTCCGGTACGGGGTGTGGAGAATCGGGTTGAAACGAGGGGGAACAACTTCTAGGACATGTGCTTTTTGCACACCGGGAGCTCTCTAGGGACATGTTAGACTGCCCCGGAAAGCTTGGACAACTCGCAGATGCGGAGAAAATGACATCGTTGGAGTAAAACAGTACACCATGGAGGCTTTTCGAACAGATATACTACCGGATGGTCGCCGGGTTACAAGCGGGGGCTTGTTCGGTCACCTGCCGTGAACATTTTGCCCCAGACATCCCGCATCGGTCGGGATCTGGCTTCCCAGGAAAATTCTGTCGGCCAATCCCGGCCCCTCGCCTAACTCCTTGCTATGTAATGGATTCCTCCCTGTGTGCTGCGTCATGGGTCATGCTGAAGCAACCTCCCGAGGGAGAGCGACGGTGCCGATGATGAATATCTTCTCCTTTAGCGTCGGCAAACTCAACTTAATCCACCCCCGGCCCACAGATATAAGATATAGAAAGGAAAGGAACATGTGGTAAGTGATCAATTACTCGTACAGACGGGAAAGGGGCAATGCCAGTCTAGATTGATTGCCAAGGGCTTGGAGGGTGAACCGAGACCAGAATGAAATCCCAACATGAATTACTGACCCCAAGGGATACCCAAATTGGAAGGTTTCTAGGGATTAAGATATCTCCGTCGGAACCCCCCCACGTTTCTGTAAGCTGGCTTGTTGGCAGTGGTCTGATGCCGTGCCTAGCCATTATTAGATTGGCTCAAGCCGTGATCTGCGACCGGAGGGAAATTGGCTGCCCTCCAGGTCACCCCGCCACAAAAGTGCTTTGAAGTGGAGCAGATTCTTAGCCCAATGACCAACGGCTTGTCTATCCCGGGCGATTCTTTGATTAAGGATGCCCAGGTTATATTCACGTGATATGCTCTCATCCATTCCAAGATCACATCTCGGTCTTTACAAAATAAAGTGAATCACTGATGTCAACATCATACATACGAGTAGTCGTCGGTGATGATTTGGTTTCTCATGAATTCAGCGACGTACTAGGAATAAAAACCGTGGAGAACGAGGTAATGTGTCGACGTCTGCTTGGCTCATGTCTGATTCCACACTTTGATCCTCAATATGCTCCCCAAACCTTGTACCAAAAACTTTCATTCGTAGCTGAAATGTGCATGAGAAGAAATGGGTGCATATTGTGATGAGCAAAGCCTCTGGTTCAAGTCCTTGGTCTGGATTACGAGGAAGGGCTAAAAAACGGACAGGCAACACCAGCTTGCCCGTTGGGCTACGCAAGCCACTACATGAATACAGAGAACTCAGCCACGGATTGCAGATTTGTGCTGAAGTGGCTCAGGATAGCTGCATGTGCCGGGGTGTACGAGCCAATGATAATCCTCTGAGCCTCGGCGGTTTGGGCGATCTGTATATAAATACGTGAACTTTGTTTCAAAGGTACAAACAGATGAAGTTTCAGGGAATGAATTACACGTTCACAAACTATCTGTCCACATGTATGGACCGGCGATTCCGTCGTCGGCTTTTATTTCTCGCAAGGTGGGGAAGCTTCGTGGCTCTGCAGCATTGTGAATAATGGTTAGTGTTGCCGCGCCTTTTTAGTCCGATACCAAAAAACGGACTTCGCCGTGTGCAAGTAGCCGCAGGTATAAAAGATAAATCATGATGAATGGATAGCGAGGACATTTAAGAAGGCAAGGCCTGCTACTATAAAGGTTATAGAAATATTTTGAGCCGATATAACGCCCCGCCTTCATAATGATTTCCAAGATAGCGCCCGTGGTGGAGCCGAATTTGTTCGACATCTATTTGGCGTGGAGTGATGCGTGGCTCTTGTTTGATGACAATAGCAAGCGAAATTCCGCTTCTTACACATTGAGCCTTGAAGATCTTGCAATGTTATTTGAAGAAGGTAGCATCGATCGACTCATTCACTACGATCAGCTTATATTGGCCATTTCTTCATTCAAACACCATATAAAACTTGGTAACATCAGCTTTGGAGGATCTCATCCACCATCCTGCGATGAAACCAATCTGACTTCCCAAACATACAATCCCCAGTCAAAATGCGACTGCGAAACGACGGACATAACCAAACTTAAAAATGGTCTGCCCATCGATCCACGAGACAATATATGTGAAGCTATTTCCGGTATGAAGTCATCAATGGAGATAGTTATCGCACGCCAGAACGAATGGCACAGCACCGGACTTTTTACAGCGAAGAAGCTTCGACACGCCGTGGAAGAATTAATACACGCGAATATGGACATTCAAACTACGCCAGACACATGTCGCGGTCCTCGAACAGCAAATTCCATACCCGATATTCGAGCACCCGACCGCCGTCCCAATGCCAGGGTTGATGGGAGTGCGACAATCGGGAATCAGATATATCCGACCCACGAACAGATAAAGATCTGCGCCGACGCAAAGTACTTCGGTGTTATGGCCTGCGGGGCAGGACTTTGCGATGAGGGACTGGCGCGAGCGGTCGCCGATTCCTGTAACGATATTTTGATCGGCGACTATTGCGAAGCTGCAGATGCGGCTGGCTTGCTTTTGCTTCAGCGCGTTGGTGCTGGTGCAATGGCGTTTTTGAAGTTATGCAACTTAGCAGGGCGCGTGACGGATTGGCAATTCGATAATTTGTCTGCCTATATGATTCAATGTCGCGTTTTAGGACATTTCCGTGATCATTCAAGGAACAAGCTTCCAGACGGAATATATGGAAGCAGGATGACTGGTCTTGGTATCCATCGCCATATAGATGTGGCTGCCTTCCATGGTGTGATGACTGCGTCTCTGGCAACAGGCCAAGAACTAACCGAGAACGAGTTCATGCATGTGGTGGACGCATGTGTTTATATCAATGATTTCGTTGATTTTCGCGGTGACACTATGCGCAAGCAACGCGAAAATGTTATTCTCCGTGGAATAAGAGGAGACATGTGCAGATACCTTGATCGAATGATCGTGCAGTGCCTCGATTCGGTCATCGAAGTTATTGGGACTTCTGAGGTTGGGGCATTAGTCGTCATGGGTTATTGCAATTGGGCAATTCTTGGGGCGCATCACAAAGTGTTTGAAGTGTTGGAGGGTATACGGAAAGTGAAAAATGATGATGCTTGCATATACGACTCTCAGTTGGATGCAACTCGTTATGAGCGACTCCTCCGAGCATTACAACCATACGGCACACTTGGTGACCAGGGCCCTCGGGTTTCGAAGAAACGAGTGGAAATGGACAAGTTATATAATGTTTACCGGAAAGATCCCACTTCGCACTTGGCATGGCTTGCTGATGCGACTCGGGACCTCCTACAGCCAAAGGTATTGAGGAAGATCATTGATGTCGTGCACTATGAGTGGAGTGGTGATTTGGGCGCTGTTGATTATTGTCCTTAAATATACGCTTTTTGAAATTCACATTCTGTCCTCTTAAAAAAAAGACTGATTTCCATATTCGACGCAAAATGTACATAAGACCCGTGGAGCCAAATTTGCTCAGCAAATATTGGCGGAGGCTTTCCGTGACTAATTTAATTTGCCTCCCGCCAACATCTCAGCGCTCCACCATTTCTCCTTCCTTGTTACCCCAGATTCTCAGAAACAGCCAGGTACACACACAGAAAAAATGGAGGGTCCAGTTCCTCCAATTCTTCCTGATGGGAGACTACCCGATTCTTTCAATACAACCTCTTCACTTTTCGAAGAAGAGGCTTTCTTATCGCCAGGTACATTTTCAAGTGCGGACGAGTATGCCGCCAACCCGCGCTTCTTAGAATTACAGGAAGAACTTCGCTGCGTTTTATTCTCGGCGGTCTCCAGCCTCGAGCCAAACACATACACATCTCCCACACCGTCAGAACCTCTGGATGGCCCTGGGCCCCGGGCATTACGGCCGAGCTTGGACTTTACGCGGGTATCGATTCCTAAAATACGACTGATTTATTATCTGAAGAATTGGATCACAGAATGTGCGCCGTATCTGGACAAATTTGACGAGTCGCGCCATTTTGGTGTCCACATTCCAATCCTGGCGCAGAAGTCGCCAACATTATTCTACGCTATTCTCGCATTCTCCGCCCGCCAAAATGAACGGAAGGCTTGCCTCGATAAGGCCTACGATAGCCTAGAGCTATACCAGGAATCAATCCGACTATTGGCACCTTGTCTGCAAGCCAAAGACCCAAATGTATTGGTTACGGTCTGCATTCTAGCCGTGATGGAGCTGATGTCCGTTAGCCCACGCGATTGGCGGCGCCATGTCGAGGGCTGCGCGGCACTTTTCGATTCTTTCAACGTGAACGGCCTGTCAGGGGGCCACTTACAAGCAGTTTTTTGGTGCTACGCGCGTATGGAGCTCTGCGGGGCAATCATCTCCAACGGCGCAGAGAGCACAGTTCTGCCGTTGGAAAAATGGGTACCTGCCATGCCAGAAGCATCATGTCCGAAGGAACAAGAGGTCATGATTCGAGACTTATTTTGCCAAAAGAGCCGTACATCGCCAGACATGCATGCGAATTGGGCAGTATATCTCTGCGCGAAAACATGCGGCCTGGCTAGTCAGCAAATCAGACATCTTGAACTTGGTGAGATGGTCGATGATACGAGATCCTTCGTCGAGCAGTGGGACTGCCTCTGGGATGAACTTCAATACTGGCTGGAACAACGACCCCCAGCCATGTTACCCATCAAAACCACGGGGCTGGGGGGTGGACAGATTTTCCCAGAGATACTCTATGCGCATTATGCCGCTATAAGCGGGAATCAGCTGTATCATGCATCGTGCATCATGATGCTCGACATGAAACCACCGGAGAAAATTCTGCCTCCTGCAAAGCCACAATTTTCCGCAATTTGGCATGCGCGGAGAGTGTGCGGTATTTCGCTTACGAACCCACACAGTGGAAATTTGATTAATGCTATTCAGCCACTTTACATTGCTGGCAAATTTCTCAGTCACAATAGCGAGCATATTGAGGTCGCCAAACTATTCAAAATAGTTGAGGAGACAACTGGGTGGGGTGCACTCTGGAGGTTGAAGGATCTTGAGAGAGCTTGGGGATACGAGCCGGGTGAGATTTTATCTGCAATTTAAACATTTAAAAATTGGTGTCTTCACATTTGAAAACCTTGGAAGAGTATGTTAATAATAACGCTTAATATACATGGTACAACATAATATCTTCAGACACCCAAGATCCATGGATGGCGACAAGTTTATATACGACTGAAGAATCACTGCATCTAATCACATAGGCAGCTATCTATTCTTATTTCTTCAGATCCGCGCAAGTCTTTGGATATTGCAGAGCGTGCTTAACCCGATTTTTCAACTTGTCGGCATCAACCTCAAACACATAGTTCACCTGGCGAATACCACCGGGTGCGAGTGCCTTCTGATAGACGTGGATGTTGCCATAATTGGGGCTTCCATAGGAGGTGTCCACATCAAGGTACACTAAACGTGAAACAGTTAGATTTCCGGTCAATAAAAGGTGGCTCGCTTTCGACTTACCCGAGGTCTGGTTAGTAGCAAGAGAAGGGTCAACCATTAGGGCCGCGGCAGTCTCATCCCAGAAGGGGAAAGAAAGGTCATAGTATTTGGAAAAAAGCTCCGAATAAGGGTTCTTGACAGAGGCAACCTCCTCGACGAATTCTTTTGTGGGGAACACCTGGTTTGCGACATTGCCAGCAATGGTGATCTCAGGGAAGTCCGCAGTCAAAGCGATCTTGGATGCCTCCGGGTCAATCATGAGGTTAATCTAATATGATTGTTAGAGCCCGAACTTTTTTTTTTTTTTGGTTGAAACTTGGGTGGGACTTACATCAGATTGATAGTCAGCGAGCATAATGCTACCCGTGGCCTCGAGCATGTTGAGATCGACATATCCACCCATGATCACTAGATCTTTAGCCAGCGATGCGAACTGAGGGTCCATACGGACGGCCAAGGCGATGTTGGTCAAAGAACCAGCAGAGTAGATAGACACTTGGCCTGGATACTTGTGGACCATTTCCACCATAAAGTTTGCAGCAGAAGTAGAGTTGTTGGGCTTGCCCTTAGGAAATCCCTCCTTAAAGGCTTCCTTCACGATGCGGTTTGGATTGCCAGAGGTGGGATCATTGCCCTGAGCCTCAAGGGTCTTGTTCTCCGGGGCGAAGGCACCTTCCCAGGGAAGCTTTCCGTGAATGGTTTCCCATGCTTGGAACCGTTCTGGTGTGTTGATTAAGGGCCAAGTGGCGCCGGGGTAAACTGGAATGCAGCTGAGGTTGCCGGCCTCGAGGGTGGCGACAGCATGCAATGCCCCTTGGGGCTGCCAGGAATTGGCAGTATCTGGAGAGTTAGAGTTAGCTAGCTAAACCAAAGAAAATCCAAGGGAGTGAGACGTGATCTCACCCGACGCTAGTCCCAGCACATCAACACCCCCATCAAGGGCGATTAAATACGGGACGAAGCCTGCCGTGTACCAATCATTATCCATGATGGCATAGTGCTTATTCGACCGTGCCTTCGGCAGCGCAAGACTGCCAGTGACGAATGGGAGGATAGTGCTGCAAAGCAGCGGCAACGAAGTGGGCCAATGCATGATGGAAAACCGGGGGAAAAAAGGCCAAAATCAAATCGTGAGAGGGATATCGATCGTCTTCAGCCTCGTTCTCTCACCGGATCTTTTATATTTACATGAAAATATTTCTTGCTGCCTACCCCAGACTTCTCATCGGCCACACCCGACTATCTCCCGACAATTGGGTTTTCTGATGTCAATAGCCATGCGATCATCCTCCACGTTCTCCACGATCCCCGCATGGAACTGACTTAGGGAGCATGCCTGTGGCTCTGATTACCCAAAGCGGCGACAGAGTTCAGGGCCAGTGCCCACACTATGCAGGTGCGTCAGGCCATCAGGAACTAAAGCAATTTTAGGGTGTCATATTTCCTGCAACTCGACACGCTAATGGGCCAAATCCCATGGAATCCACGCGGGATGCCTCCGATTTCCCCCTTCGCTAACCGAGTGGATCCACCCCGAACCCGAACGTTTCGCTGAATCGGGATATCAGAGCCTACACCCCGTTAGCTTTTGGTTAAGGGCATCCTCCGCACTTGTCCGCACTTGTCTTTGCCTCCGCGTTTTTGCAGCGTTCCGGGGAAAAACCACGCGATTCGGCCTCCCGAGACCGGGAAAGAGGCGTTTTGGCTTTTTTTTTTTGCGCGGGTGATGGCCCCGTACATTTGAATGAGGATGGTCGAAAAAGGATATAAGACATGACTTCCCCATAATTTCGCAGATCGACATTCCAGCCGTTGAAAATTCCCTTTCTACGAGTACAGGTTTCTTGTTGTTCCTGCTCTGCCCGATCTCCTTTTTCTTCCTTTTCAGTATGTCGGACCGAAAGTCCGTTGATGTGGAGGCGGCACCGCGTATCCAAATCGCGAAGAAGTCCATGTGGCAGTCAATCTTCGCCAATCCTAAAGTTCTACTTATCGCGTTCTTTGCTTCGTGAGTTTTCCTGTTTCCCTTCGGGTGATTTGAAATTTCTGCGCGCACCACTAACTCTGTAATCTAGTTTTGGTGGATTCGAGTATGGATACCAGCAAGGTGTCTTGGGCCAATCCCTGGTCATGACCAGGTTTACTGAAAACTTCCCCACCGTCGTCGCATCGTCTACAGCAACTGGCTGGTTGACCTCCGTTCTCCAATTGGGAGGTATTGCGGGTTCGTTGGCCGCCGGTATCCTTGGAGAGATCTACTCCCGCAAATACACCATGTTCTTCGCCTGCTGCTGGGTTATTCTGGGCAGCTATCTCTATATTGGCGCCACCGCCGGAAACCCATCTCTTCTCTATGCAGGACGGTTTTTCACTGGTCTGGGTGTCGGCCTGTTCAGTGGTGTCGGCCCACTGTACAACGCTGAGCTTGCTGCCCCCGAAATGCGCGGCTTGCTCGTTTCATTCTATCAGTTCGCCACTATTCTCGGAATTATGATCTCTTTCTGGGTTGGATACGGCAGCAACAACATCGGTGGTGTCGGCGAGACTCAATCCGACATGGCATGGCGTCTTCCCTCTATCATTCAAGGCATCCCCGCCATTTTCCTGGCATGCGGAATCTGGTTTATGCCTTTCTCGCCTCGCTGGTTGGTCAAACAGGGCCGTGATGAAGAAGCTCAGTCTACTCTGGCCTGGATGCGCAAGCTGCCCGTGGAGCACGAGCTGGTCCAGGTCGAGTATTTGGAGATCAAGGCCGAGGCCCTCTTCGAAAAGCGCGCTTTTGCCAAGTCGTCGCCTAAGCTGGCGGAGCGCGAGCGCCAGAGCGTTTTCATGAACCAGGTTGCTCAATATGCTAACTGTGTTCGCTCGATGGACAACTTTAAGCGTGTCGCCACTGCCTGGATGGTTATGTTCTTCCAGCAGTGGAGTGGTGTTGATGCAATCATTTATTATGCGTCCAACGTCTTTGTCAGTCTCGGTCTGACTGGTGGCACCATTGCTCTCCTCGCTACCGGAGTCACTGGTGTTGTTTTTATTATTAGCACTATTCCCGGCATGGTAAGTAAAGTATCTATCTTGAAATATCCCGAAAACCTTTCAGCTAACTCTCTCGCAGTTGGTCATCGACAAAATTGGTCGTAAGCCTATGCTTCTTGGAGGATCTGCTCTCATGTTTGTCAGCATGGTTATTGTCGGGATCATCGTCGCTAAATTCCAGCACGATTGGCCCGGTCACGTCGCAGCTGGTTGGAGTGCGGTTGCTCTTATCTGGCTGTATATCGCAGGTTTCGGAGCCACCTGGGGTCCTGTCTCATGGACCCTTGTCTCTGAGATTTTCCCTCTCTCCATTCGCGCCAAGGGTGCCTCAATTGGTGCCTCTAGCAACTGGATCAACAACTTCGCCATTGCCTTCTTCGTGCCTCCCATGCTCCAAGCTTGGCAGTGGGGTACATACATTTTCTTCGCCGGTTTCCTCCTAGTCGGTATCTTCTGGGTCTATTTCTTCCTCCCGGAGACCAAGAATGCTAGTCTCGAGGATATGGATCGCGTTTTCGGCAGCAATACCGGAGAGCAAGATGCGGAACTTCTCCGCGAGGCTCAGAGAGAAGTTGGCCTCACAGCCTTCATTGAGCGCCTTGGTAGTGCCACTGGACGCGATTTGGAGAAGAAAGAGGGCTCCCAGTATATTGAGAGTCTGTAGAATTTTCAAGTCCGCAATAATTAGTGTGAGGAATGATTAGGCCATCCCTTGCTTTGGAAAACTAGAATCATAATGCAGTTCAAGACCTTACTACGAAATCTTCCACAATTCCTCCTAATCTCCTTAGTACTAGAGTAGTAGCTCCATATCTTATCTATCAAGTGCATGATAATCCATGGGTCTCTTGTGGATATGTATGTATAAGCCTTCGATATTTAGTACCTAGATCGAGCGATCGCTGAACGTTCTATCGGGTGGCGTCCGAATCCGCCTCCGCCTCCACAGACCCAGACGCAAGAATGAAAACATAATGGAAACGCGGTCCAAGCCGCAAGCCTGGCAGATCGGGTCATTTGCCCCACAACGGGCCCCGACTTTTCGCGGCATCCTCCGGAGAGCACTTTTTGGGGAGGGAGGAGCCTCCAGATCGCGCTTTTGGTCTCCTTCACAATCCGGGGTCATGCATACTATACTAACACCATGCCCCGGAAACCTACACCCGCAGGCAAGCAACGGGTTCGGACGGGGTGTCTGACATGCCGCAAAAGGCGACGTAAATGTCGGTGACAATCTTTTCTTTGTGCGTTCCCCAGGGAAAGAAGCTGACGAGGAAAAAGGCGACGAGCAAAAGCCGCGATGTGCCAACTGCGAAGTGAAGGGCTTTACTTGCAAGTATGGCTCTGACTTGGCATTTGTACCCCCACGATCAGGGGACGCGCCAGGCGGGCGACACGTGTATGGCGCGATCAGTGTAAGTGAGGCTGGAATTCATTCAACGACATAGCTGACCGTACAACTAGTTCGTCGATGACTCCCCAGTTGCACATGCTACAGTGAAAAACAAGGAGAAGTCTCTGGATCGAGATACACAAGCGACCGATTCCAGCGACGTTTCACTCACAGCTCAAGGCATACTGAATCCATCGGGTCAGGGCCCGTTTCTTAACCCCAGTGGCAACCGTACGACAGTCGGTTTAAATGATATCTTGGCATCTAATACACCCCTCGACAATTCACAGGGGCAGTCGACCTTACAGACTGTTCTTGGTCTCCCTGGCAGCTACCCCGGTGGTAGCCCCTTAAGCCTGGAGTATCTTCGCTTAACCAGAGACTACTCGCTCTTACCACGAAGGCCAATTAGTGTGATAAGCAATTACGAGACAGATCTTCTGCGCCATTTCCGGTACTCTGTTAGTCCATGGATTGATGTGGGGGATCCTTATTGTGCATTTGGAGTCCAAGCCCTGCTCATTTCCAGATCAAACCGGCCTCTCCAAGCTGCTATTCTTGCTTTGTCTGCAAGTCAAAGACAGCTGCTCGCTCTGGGCTCCCAGGGTCAAGATGTTGGTGGCAGTATTCGATTTCGCAAGGAAGCAGAAGCGAGTCTCGCTATGGAGACTGACATGTTGCGACGTACCGGTCAAGCTTTGTTGCTATTACAAGATCTCTTACCGTCCGGCGTACAAGGGTGGAGAGATAAGCTAGAGGCTCACATTGAGGCTGGTGGACTTGTTATGCCTACTACCTTGGAGGAGGAAATGGGTGAAGAGCTATTTTGGCTGCATTTTCGCCTTGGTCAGTGCTCCTCTGCTGAATAACTACAAGAACAAAACTAATCAAATGCCCGTTTTAGATCTTGCATCATCTCTCATGACATCCAAATCGCCTCTTATTCCATTTCGCTCATTCCTCGAACGCGATGGGTCGCCTATACACACCCCTCACAAAAACTCACAAACGCCTTCCGTCCACCGAGTGTACAATCACGCGCTATGTCTTCTTGGACATAGCCTTGCTCTAATATACGGAGATCCGTCGGATGTGACTTCTCCACAAGCGGCTGGATCACCAGAGCTAGCGGCTTATCCTTCCTTGCGACAGTCACACTTTTTGTCACAGTGGACATTCCTCTGGACAGATTGTCAAAAATGGTATAATGAGCGTCCAGTTGACGCACAGCAAATTGTGGATGTCCGGGGTGGAGAAGCAGATCAGCTGGACCCTGATCACGACACGGGCTTCCCCATTCTCATCTTCACAACGCCAATGGCGCTGGTCGCCAATACCGTTTACCACATCACGTCACTTCTGCTCTTAACGCATAAGCCACGGCTCTTGAAGTCGCTTCCTGGTCCACGTTGTTTCACCTCTCACATCTGGCATGCCCAGTCAATAGCTGGTATCGCAACCAGTAATGACTCGCCGGAGCAGTTTGATCCGATACTTGTCGTGGGGCTACTTCTAATTGCGCGGGAGATGACTCATGAGTCGCAGCAAATCGTCTTACTTGAAGTGTTGCGGAAAATCACAAATACGACAGGCATTAATCTGGAGCATGAAAGGGAAGCGCTTCGGTCTGTATGGAGAATTGCGCGGTATGACGACGGGTCCGATGAGCAAGAGATTTAGTGTGGTAGTATTATGTATTTCATGAAATCATTTAAGCGCCGTTTCCCATTTTGTTTCGTCTTTTCATATCCATATATAGTCTAGTATGTATTTATCTTTTATAACGTCATTATTCCATATCGTAGGCAAAGGGAATGCTTTGCATGGCGCCTCTTCGTTGAACGCACTTGGCGGCAGCAGCGTTTGCTTTCGACACCGCACCCTCAATCTGATCATCAAAGGACTCTAATGATGCACCGGTCGCAAGGAATCGACCGAGAGCAGTTGAAAAGTATCCGACAAAAGTATCACCCGCAGCTGTAGTATCAACAACCTTCAACACCTTAACCCCGGGCACAACGCCACGTCGGCCGGTGCGAGTAGAGAAGTAAACACCCTTAGCCCCGAGAGTGATGACCACAATCGGAACATGAGCCAGCTCATGGAATCTCGGTGCAAGCTCTTCAGGTTGCAAGTCGTCTAGCTCGGTGGGTTGGGTCGAGTCAGAAACAGGAAGACCAACAATTGACCTCGACATCTGGACCGCCTCGGTTTCATTCATAATGAGGACAGATGTGTGTTTCAGAGCCGTAAGCGAGATGCCCTCGGGGAAAACGGGCGCAGGATTGAAGACCACGTGGGCGCGATTGGTGGTTGCAACACCCCCGTTGAAGTATTCGAGCAGACCAAGTGTAGTCTTGCGCGGAATTTCGCCTTGCAAAACAATGACTCCAGGGCTAACTTCCTGCTCCTTCACGGCCGAGATGATGTGTGAAATATCGTTCATCATGCCAGCATGGTTCGCGCCCGGAACAACCAGAATGCGATTTTCTCCTCCAGCGGCCTCTTCGACAATGATACTGGCTGATCCAGTTTGGGCCTCGGTGGACTCTTCGATGCTTGCTGTGTTGACACCGGACTTTTCGAAAGCAGGCTTGAGAAGGGTCGAGTAGTAGACATCATCGGCACCAACCGCTCCGATCATGCTCACGGCAACATCTTGTGTATCCTTCGAAATGAATGAGGCACGACCGCAAGCTGTTGCTTGGTTTCCACCTTTGCCGCCGGCTGTGACGGACAAGGAGGTTGCCGTAAGAGTTTCACCGGGGCCGGGGCATCGCGGGGTCGATGTCACAAAATCAATATTCAAGGAACCGATTATGCAAATGTGTGGTTGGGAAGTTCCCGGGGTCGCGGTTTCGTCTTTGATACCCATTTTTAAGGTATGACTGGAATGTGATAGCGAGGGGTTGATTTTTCGGGGCGAGGTAGAGGATTTTTGAGAATATTTCTGCGAATCTAGAGTAATGGATTTGGTCGTAAAAGTGATTTCAAGCTGGAAACTAATCACGGCTCGGGTTGTCCTATATTTATTTATTCAAGTTCGGCTTATCTCCAAGCATTTCACGGTCCGGGGGCGAGAAAATCATCGGCTATCACCCAAAAATGGATGCCGTAGCCTCCGTACTTACAAATTGGGTAAGGATTTGCCGCTAAATTTCTCTAAACGGCTAGCCCCCTTCCGCAGGCCTGGAGGATTCTATCATCACGGTTTTTTTCTAGAACAGAATGAGTGATGATGACATGAAAAATCTTTTTAAGCGCGTCTGCTTGCATAGATCATGTCGATCGCTTGATCCACGACCTATCCCCAATATTAAGCCGACTTTCAAAACAGACCCTCTTTAGCCATTCTGTGCACCTACCTACTCATAATTGAAGTTTTTGCTGAGCTCCTAGCAATATATAATGTGGTCCCAGCCCGGAGTTTCTCGAATAATAGATATCGCCACGAATAGAACCAAGAAGATAATGAAGCTAGCGGTTATCTCATCCTTGAGATACCGGGAATGGAATATGAAGAGAGACTGGAATAAAATCAACAAATCGACTCCGGAAGGTGATTGACTAGTACTAGTACTATCCGGCCGGAATTTGCGAAAGGCTCGACTGGAGGTGGTAAAATCGCCAACCACAAAATGAAATCTGGGATTGATCAATCAACTGCCGACCGAGAACAGATCAATCTAATTCTCATGTGATTTGAAAATTCTTAGAAAGCATCAAATGTAATTAGAATCCGAACATTGCGAACTTGTAGTTCCGGAAGGTAACAAAAAGGAAAGAGGTTGCGGTAACTTTTCGAGGCCGAGACACACTGCTGCCTGGGCATACATCGATCTGTCCTACTTGTAATTTCCCCAAATCGACCGTCTCGTTACCTTTAAGAATCATTGAAGAGAAAGGGATAAGCACAAAAAACAGGCAAAAAGACAATGCTCACGTCCAGATTTGAACTGAAGACCTCGGCATTACTAGTGCCGCGCTCTACCAACTGAGCTACGCGAGCTTGTTGATGGAACAGAGTGCCGAGCTTGGTCATACAGGATAAGATTCTGAAAACCCAAAGGTATCGGCTGTCGAAAATCTACCTCTCCAATCACTTCTCCCTGTACAGAGGACTGTCTCCCTTCGGGAGGCTATGTTCGGGAGAAATGCCAAGCCCGTGCCCCTGGAGGCCGTAGCATTATTGGCCGGGATATTGCATATTCCGGGTTTCCTTTGTTGAGATACTTAGGTTCTGGATATTTCCCCTGGAATATGTTCAGCTTTTGAGGCTTGGAAATCGAATGTCCCTTTAGATCCATATATGAATTCGTGCAAAACTATTCCCGAGTCTCCCAAGTAATCGGTTGCTGAGTCCATGAAAGAAAATTCCGAGGTTTCTCTACATCTGAGCTTCTGGTAAATTACAAAGGGTGGTTCGTAACGCTGGCAATGTAGTGCGAGGCGAACGATTGAATCAATTGAGATGTTTAATAATAAATGAAAACATAGCAAACTTGAAGACTCATATGAAAGTAAGATGACAAACAAGCTAGATCGAAGGAATGATATGAAGCGACGCAGTTTGAATGCTCGAATTATGCGACAAGTCCGACTGGTTGGCTTAGGCAATATCGAAGAAGGATATCAGTAGGTGGATTCTCCTCATCCCAGCAATCCCACAGCTGTGAGTACTGGATCAGGAAATTCTTCTGGTCAAATGAAACTTGGAGGATTCGGACATGATGCGACCCGAGGAAGGATAGGATAAGTATCTACTATGGCGTTAGCAAGGTTCACAGAGGTCCTGATAAGCTTTGCTGGATGGATATTTTGAACTGACTGGGTGAGTGCCGTAGTTCCGAAACCCTGGGCGCTTCGCTCTGTGGATCATCAATGCCAGACTAGCTTCAATCTCATCGTAGCAAATTCCTTGATCCCCGTCGGATGCACAAGCTGGTGACTCCAACAAGGCGATGAGATGTGGCTTGGGCTGATCTGGGTCAAAATATCTCAAAAATACATCCAAGCTCCATAACCTGCTCCCGAGTCCCCAGAAACGCGTCCATTCCCCCTGCACCATCAGGCGTTCCCTCTTCTCAAAACTAAGTGAAGTTAGATGTGCTGCAAGTCATCCCTTAATGCCACTGGGGTACTTACCGCCAGTGGGTTAGCCCCAAGAGGCCATCGAGACTTGGAATATTGCATTCGGGATCCTCTTGTGTCACGATGCGAGGTATAGAAAGCTGGTGATGATAATGTTAAAGAGCCGCCTCGGAACGAACACCATAGTCACCCTTTCCTTCTTTGAAACGTTCAAGCCGTTTTTGATAAAGTCTTTGTGCGTAACCCTGAATCCATTCCTCGTCTTGCTCAAAAGCATAATCGCGTGCTGACCTCAGAGCAACATCAAAGCTCGGGGGAGTAGGCTTGAGTGGGCTTATCTCTTCCCCGGCCTGGATGGGATATCGTTCCAGAATATTCTCTTCATGGTATGGGAGGAAGTAACATGGTTCAAATTGTAGAGTGTTTCCTCTTGACATATTGACCTTGGTTCCTTGAATCCCAATCTCCTTGATTTTCTCTGCGGGAGGGAAGTCGAATCCTTCGTAAACCAACATTCTAGCCTCTTGCCAAAGAAGAGTGTTAACCCGTATCGAACTAAGGATAGAACTGGGACTTTCGATATGTGTTTTGTTCTCGCCGTTGTTCTCGCCGTTGCTCTCGCCATTGTTCTCGCTGGTGTTGTTCTCGATGGGTTTGTTGATGGTTCTGTTCTCCTTGTCGCGGTCCTCGAGCGAGACGTTTGCCATCTCCTTTGTGGGGCCATCGAGGAGAAGATCCCCCGACAGATACGGATCCATTTTGACGAAATTGGAAATGAATCAAGTAAATTGTTCAAGGAAGCTGAGTGCGAATATGAGAGGGTGTCGGATAGTGATGGGTTGGGGAGAGGTGAAAGTGGAGTGATGGTGACGGGAGTGGGGATCGGTGCGGTTGTCTTTCGGCGCCAGAAAGGGCGCCGACAGCTGGTCACCTTTGGATCCGATAAAGTTGCAAGAATGATATCCGCAATAATAAGGCATAGAAACTTGATGCTTTGCGGTTGAGGCTTGAAAAAAGTTTATCAGGAAATTACAAAACAGCTTTGTGATTCAATTGAAAAACTAACGCTAACTATTCTTACACCGGGCAATGTATCTAAAAAGCAACACACCAAAAAGCAGATCTTTAATTATGGTCGTAGCCTCTACTGGTTGTCAATAAATTTCGGATCCGCTCCTGTATCCAAGAAGGAGCTCCTCTCACAAGTGAAAGTATCCAGAAGTTAGATGGTAGGAATACCTGAGCGCCAAAGGCTGACCGAAGCTGCTTTAATATAGCCTCTGCAACTTCTTCAGGTTCGAGAAGATGACCCCTGAGAGCTCCACTCTGCATAAGCTTTTTGATAAGCGGTGTCTTGACCCAGCCCGGATGAATAATACTAAATCGAAATTATTAATATTTGATACGCCAATTGCCAGCTGGAGACTTACGTTGTGCGAACCCCTGGCGCGCGATAGATATGTCGAAGTTCCTGTCCAAGACCTTCATGAAATGCCAGAGCAGCAGACTTGGTGCATGCATAGTCGACATTAACCGCACGTGTTGTGAATGAAGCAAGGCTGGCAACAGTCACGACATGTCCATGGTTATTCGATACCATCGCTGGAAGGAATTCCTTGACAAGAAGAAAGTTGGAGATAATATTCACTTCAAATGTCGCGTGAATCTTATCTCGTGGAAGCTCAAGAATTGGCTTATTCCACTGTATACCGGCATTATTTATCAGAACCGTGGGGTGACCATGTTCCGATCGAATTCGGTCCGCAATTTTGTTGATGTGCTCCACATTGGTTAAGTCGACTTGATAGAAAAACGCATTTTCTGTCTCTGCTCTTGTTTAGCAATTGTCCTCATGGGCCAATCAATGTACATACGGGCATCTGGATGGGGCCTGCAAAGATCCAAATTTATCGTCTTAATACCCTGTTCGGCAAAGAGCTTAACGATTGCTGCTCCAATTCCACTGGAACCCCCAGTCACCACCACGATTTCCTTATCCCAGTCCCACGTATCCTTTTCCTCGGGACTGTTCAACGCACGCCTAGATAGGTAGGAATTCGATTTGTAAAGGAGACCAATGCAGGCCAAAGCGCCAAGACCGATCGAGAGCGGAGGTGGGATCGAGACCTGGCGGGGTGGCCGTATCATTTCAGTAAGATGGTCCACGATACCTGATATGGTCACTGTTTCCTTTCTGAGGAAAAAAAAAGATCGACTTACTCAAGGAGTTCGGAGCTTGACTGTCGATGTTCCAAAAGTCGGGAGATGAGCCACGTGGACTTCTTAAATAAGCTCCTACGGCCCCCAATATTTTCATAACTCTTATCGGACCCGCGGGATTTAATTATGCAATATTTACTAGAGACGACAGGAGCCGATTCGCAGTTTCAGAAAACGTGAGGCTCCAAATTTATTTCCGTAATATCGAGGTCAAACATGATTGCGACTCAAGAGTGGATTGAAAAAATTATGATTTGCACGCATCCATTGCGATAACCATACATCGGATGGCTATGATGAATGAGAAGTAGTAGTAGGAGTTTCAGAGAGAGCTCGGATGTGGTGATATCAGGTACTACTAGGTCAGATGCCTATAAAGAATTCATTTGTACACATCCGTTGAAGTGTGATTTCAAGGGGCCAAAGTCATACACTCAAATTGTTTCATAACACCCGTCGAGTCAAAATGCATACAAAGCGAAACCAGTCTATAAATATTCCATGCTAACTCTACACACACACACACACACACAAAGAGAGAGAGAGATCCACACAGACCGCCACTAACTAGTAGTCTTAATTGAATAAGGCGTGAAACGGTCGCTAGCGCGCCCAGTACGGCGCTCCATAGGCCCAGGATAGTCAGTAGTTGCATATAGGGTAATTTGACCTGACCGTCTTGAAGGCCGCCTGTAACTTTTGAGTCCGAAATTACTAGTGTTCGATTTACAAATTTGGACAAAACTACAGTAGTACTACAAAACCTTCTAACTCCTAATTGTCTTCTATTATTGACCATCTTCTAATAGTATACTAGTACCTACCTAAGATGGAGTAGATTAGCAAATCTATTCCTTCTCCGGTAGCTATTGATAGGCCCCCCTAAAAATATAGAGACTCGGACGGTCAAAACATTAAGAATTTTAGACTCAGAAGTTCCAAGCGGCCTTCATGACGGTTAAGTAAAATACCCCTTTATGCAACTACTGACCAACCTGGTCTTATGAAGCGCCGTAACCCAGGCCTGATTCTTCTGCTAGCGTGGGGTCGTGCATATATGCACGATTTCAAATATGGCGATGGGTCTGCACCCTTCAACTGAATTGATGTGTCAAGGGGCTGGCTAGCCAAGCCGGAAATGTGCACGAGGCTACAAATAACATTTCATGCTAAAAAGGTAAATGGCGGAGGACTTAAGCTAAGTCCCTGTACCTTGAAAAACGAGGCGTTTGGCTGATCCAAACTAGCCATAGCCATGTCGAGCCGTTGGGAAAGCTCAGGAGTAGGAATGTCGATGGTCCTCTTGTACTTTTGCCTTGATAAAAACTTTCCAGGTAATTTTGAACTGAATTCTTACAGAAACCTTGGAAGAATACGGAGATTATTGCTATCCCCGGGACTACCGGCTGACACAGGCAGTGTGTTGGAGCCGCATGTCAGATTTCGTTGCTTGTACAACTACCCAGAGCTGCAATTCAGCGTTGTATTCAACGGCATGCCACGGAAAACCATATCAAATGGCAGACTGCTATGCACGAGTAGCGCAAGATATGTCTAGTTCAAGTTATAGTCTTGTATTGGCACTGCGGGGTTCGAAGTTTCTTGGCAGACTGTCTCTATTTAAGAAATCAACATTTCTACGAATTTACCCCAACTGCAACTACGCCGAGATACTAACTCCTTTGTTTTGAAATATGGAATTGAACGGAAACACGAATGGCCAGGTTGCAGGCGAAACGCCCGCAACTAGAGTTGCTAATGGACAACATCTAGAAAACTGGATGCCTTGCAGAGATCAACCTGTCTATACTCGACGCAAACTCCGGATCGCTTGTATCGGGGCTGGATATTCCGGATTGACATTGGAACACAAGATTGATCACGAGCTGAAGCTCAGCGACGTGATTGATCTGGTCATTCATGAGCAGAATTCTGCCGTTGGTGGAACTTGGTTTGAGAATACATACGAAGCGCATGGTGTGGTCCGATGGATGTCGCTCTTGGTACAAGAACGGCAAAGCGTCCGGACATGTTACGGCCGTATACCCCGGCTCCATCTTGCATTTAAAGGTTTGTCTCGAAAGTATCGGCGGAGAGCATTTCAAAATCCAGTATCGATCCAAGAATAGTTTCCACTTCTTAGGAAATGGAGAAAGTATTCATGATAAATACGGTCAAGGTGACCTGGCATACTACATGGACGAAATGAGTGTTTGAGATGATTCTCTGATTGAAATGAGGCTCTAGAGTTAAGTCATAGTTTATTTCCAAATCAATTCAAATTAATACACTCGTACGTATCCTGGGCTTTGCTGAGGGTGGGGTTTAATTGAAATCGGCGTACAGCAAGGCCGAGTGGAGCGGATAAAGCTCGGCAAGTCGCGGAATCCACCCTACACAGTAAGACAAGCCCAAATCCCTCACAGTTGCCTGACGATGTTGTCAGAAGCGGGGCATTCCCGACGGAGACCTAACAGTCCGGCTGATTTGTGATCGGCGGGGTAAAGTATAGCTGACCCTTTAAAAAAACACGCTCATCTTCCAATTTCAACGATTTCAAAAATCAAATCCCTCAAAATTTTTGCGATCATGGCGGTGCACGTAGTGTCAAAGCTAGATATCAGCCAACATGCAACCTTCCCGCTCCCGACTGCCGGTTCCCAAGAACTCGCACCGTCCAGCGTGCGTGTCAAGACACAATTAATTACTCTGTCGTCGAATAATTTAACCTACGCAAAAATGGGCAGTGCGCTACGATGGTGAGTCGTCAATCCTTTCTCATTAAAGAGACAATTACTCAAAAGTCAACGCAGGTGGGATACATATCCCGTCTCACCATCTTATCCGGCCCCCTACAACGACGAATCCAAATGGGGGATCGTTCCAGCCTGGGGTTTTGCCTCGATTGAAGAGAGCAATATTCCCGAATTGACTCCAGGAACACTACTCCATGGGTATTGGCCCACATCTGCCGCGCTGACAGACTTGAAACTGCAAGCAACTGAACCAAGCGGGCATTGGCTCGAGATCAGCGATCATCGCCAACAACTCATGCCTCTATACAATCGCTATAATGTGCAGCCAACATCACTGTCCGCTGGCGCGATCGCAAATCCCACGGTTGCGCAGTCTACTGAGCTGGATAAACTCGGTTGGTCGGCTGTTCTCCAGGCAATCTGGCAAGCTGGTTATTACCTGAGCGAGTATGTATTCTCACCACGAGAAGGTATCCAACCTATTCACCCCCTCGGCAATGCGGCGGGGTTGACTTGGACGGATGATGACGCGGACGTTTCTAAATCTGTGGTGGTGAGCCTGGCTCCGTCAGGAAAGACTGGACGTTCATTTGCCTACTTCTTTGAACGGAAATCGAAGGAATTTGCGCCATTGGGTCTTTTGCAGGTCACATCGGCAGTGGAGGGCCTTTCCCGGGCCACAGAATCCGCTGCGCCACCGTTTCCCTCCAACGCTATTGCGTATAGCGATGTTTCGGACCCTGCGTCAATCGAGTGGATCCGAAACCTCAGTCCCTCGAAGATTATCGTACTCGACTTTGGTGCAAGAGAGGGAGCCTTGGACGGATTACTTGCTGGTATCAAGCAGGACGTACTGCTGGCGGGTAGCAAGATTGTTCTCCTTCAAATAGGTGGTCCGCAGAAGGTATTGTTTCAATCATTCGGTCCTGCCTTCAAAGTCACGCTAATGCAATGCGCAGAAAATGACAGCGGAAGAGATGGCCGCATTGATGGCGAAAAGAGCCCAGGAGGATATTGGAAGAGTTCAGTACAATACTTCGGGTGTTATTGATAGTGCCCTTGCCGCTCGCGGTGCGGAGGTTTTGTATGGCGAGTTGGCCCAGGAGTGGGAAAAATTGCTGAGTGAGCGTCATCTGGCTTTCCCTGATTTGGAGATTATCTGGAAAGATGGAGTCAGTGGTGCCGATGGTATTGAAGGAGGATGGGATCTGCTTGACAATGGGAAAGTCGGGGCGAGTGAGGCTCTTGTGTACCGAGTGCAGGGTGCTCAAACTTGAGAGGATTTAATCGACAAGGTAGTCTGATAGTAGACAAGAGATATTGCATGATATATACCATTTTGTATTCTCTTCATCTTCCGATGGATAAGAGTACCAAGTACAAGTGGAGTAGGGAAGAGTATCAAGTGGAAGGTTCCCCTGGTGCCTGCACTAAACCCGATTGGGCCAGAGTGCAGCCTACCACAAAGTAGGCAACAGCGATGGACACCTGGTAATTGAGGCCACAATTTCTGTGTTGCACCTTTCCCCGTCAATCTTCAATCTTTAAATTGTGTCTGTCCTCCTCTGCTTCTCCTCTCTCTTCATTCTCTCCATCTCCATCTCATATCCATTTTCTTCCCTTTGCCCTTCTCCTTCCCTCTTCATCCACCCCCCCTTTCCAATTTCCCCCTCAAATGTGGTCACCCTGATTCACATCCTCGACCCATCGCCATATTCCTCCCCTACTACACACCACATCTCACCTTCAATCAACAGCTCTTCCATTGCTTGTTTCAAGGTCATCGTAATGGCGCCTCGCTCGTTCAAGGCGCTGGTAATCGCTGTCAGCGGAACATTTCCAGGGTACAAGCAAGGTACGGCCCCCACTTCACCTCGTATCCACGTGGAAAGGTGGAGATGAGCAGATGAGGCTGACATTCATTTTCCACAGCTGATCTGAAGGCGTTGATCACCGACCAAGGAGCCTCATTCAGTACCTCGGTATCTGCCGAGTGTACCCACCTGGTCACAAACGAGAAAGACGTCGAGAAGAACAGCAACAAATGTGAGTCCTGGCTGGGTCTGGGCGCTTGCCCAAATATGCCTGCCCCGCCCCCTTTTTGATATTTCGATGCTGACTTCCTCTAGATCAAGCCGCTTGCAACTCTGACAAATGTCACATCGTGTCCCTCGACTGGTTGCTCGAATCAGTCAATAGCAAAAAGCCACTGACCGAGAAGAAATATGCCCTGGGCCAGAAAGCCAGTTCTAAGCCCGCCCTAGATGACACCAAGAAGAATGGCAAGGCGAAGAATGGGGACAGTGCAAAGGCCGCTGCGGGGAAGACCAAGGCCGTGAAAAAGGAGCCGGAAGAAGTGAACGGTGATGCAATCAAGACCACCGGCAAGAAGCGTGCTATCAAGCAAGAGGACGATGAGGTTGACGACTCGAGCAAAAAACAGAAAGACTCGCAAAAGGTCGGATTCAAGTCTCTCAATGTTCCAGTCGAGTTGGGGGCAATCAATGCTTTGCCCTATAAGGGAATCGGTTCCAGTGAGTTAGACCCGCCCTTCACAACGTGCTTTGAATTCTGACTGACTTGCAACAGACACAACTGTCCTGATCGATGATTCCGGCGTTATCTGGGACGCGACACTGAACCAAACCAACTCCACCAACAATAACAACAAGTTCTATCGAATCCAGGTGATCCTTACAGACACAGGCAAGAGCATTGCACACTACACTTGGAGTCGATGGGGTCGCGTTGGCGAGAACGGCCAGTCATCCCTGATAATTAGTCCCACTCTGAAGGACGCCTTGAGCCTGTTTGAGAAAAAGTTCAAAGACAAGTCCGGCCTCAAGTGGGAAGACAGACTCGATACTCCCAAAGACGGAAAATACACCTTCATTGAGAAGAACTACGAAGAAGAAGACGACGAGCCCAAGGCGAAGAATGGAAAAGCCAAGAAGGAGCCCAGCAAAGACTCTCCTCCACCCGTGGAAAGCAAACTGGCCCAGCCCCTGCAAAACTTGATGTCCTTCATCTTCAACCAGGACCATATCACAAACGCTTTGCGGGCAATGGATTACGACGCTGAAAAGCTCCCGCTGGGCAAGCTGAGCGAACGGACTCTCAAGAGCGGCTTTTCGATTCTCAAGGAACTCTCAGAGCTGATGCTTGATCGTAACTTGGCGGGTTCCAAGTATGGCACCACTTTCCTCAATGCTGCGGAGAATCTCAGCAACCGATATTTCACGACAATCCCTCATGTCTTCGGCCGCAATCGCCCCCCCTATTCTGTCCACCGGTCCCCAGATCAAGAAGGAGGTTGAGTTGATTGAGGCGTTGACAGACATGGATGTCGCGAACGAGATCATGAACGAGGCTATGGAGATGGACGATGTCAATCAACTCGATCAACAGTTTAAGGGACTGGGATTGAAAGAGATGACCCAACGTGAGTGACTCGAATTCTCACTGGAAAGAATTGCCAAACAAAGCTGACCGTCGCAGTGGACCACAAATCCGAAGAATTCACCGAGCTTTCGAATTACTTGAAGAACTCGTCCGGCGCGACACACTACATCAACTATGAGGTGAGTAATCCCACACTCCTTTTATCATCCCTACCGATACTAATTTCTAACCATCTCCCAGGTCATCGACATCTTCCGAATCGAACGAGATGGCGAAGAAGACCGCTTCACATCCTCCGAATACGCCAAACTCAAGTCCCAAAACCGGCGCCTCCTATGGCACGGCAGCCGCTCCACAAACTTTGGTGGTATCCTCAGCCAAGGCCTGCGCATCGCACCCCCCGAAGCCCCCGTCAACGGCTACATGTTCGGAAAGGGCGTCTACCTCGCCGATACCTCGACCAAGTCAGCCAACTACTGCTGCTCATACAATAGTGCGGGAATGGGACTCCTCTTGCTCTGCGACGCGGAACTCGGCGAACCCATGCATGAGCTTTACCACTCCGACTACCAGGCTGGCGAAAGGGCAAAGGAAGTCGGCAAGATCGCCACCCTTGGTCAGGGACGGACCATTCCTGGTGGCTGGAAGGATGCTGGCTCCTTCAACAAGGAACTGGGTGGTGTCCAAATTCCGGATGTTTCCTGTGCCCTCGGCAACGATGTCAAGGCCAGTCTTCAGTACAATGAGTACATTGTTTATGATGTTGCTCAGATTCGGCAGAGATATCTTTTCTACGTGAAGATGTGATGGGATCTTTTTTTCTTATTTTGCTTTTCATTCCGCATCGGCGGCGCAGAGGCGTCCAAGAAGCCATGGGTTATTTCAATGCACGGCGACGGTGTTCACGGTCATTTGCTTCAAAGTTAGCCAGTATATTTTCACCATCTGGCGATTTATCGGGGAATTCCCCATATTAGCTAAAGTAGCTAATCTCAACGAGTTGTATTGAAATGGTACCGTACAGGTAAATGGCTCAACGCAGAGTCAATAAGATGCACGACAAGGTCCACCCTCAAAATCCCATAAATAGCAAGTCATAGTTAGAAACTGGAAGGCAATAACAGCAATCATAATACCTACTAGAAGATACCATTTCCCAACCCGAGAAGCTTCCTTGGTACTACCTGTGCGTTATTGAAAGGTTGATGAATCCGGATGAGAAGGTGCTCAGGGAAGGTGGTCAGGGAGCACGTGCTTGACTAGGTAGCTAAAAGCCATCCTCTTCTAGACCATCTTCATAACCTCTGACCACCCCCAACCCAACTGAACATCGCTGCTACTATTCCTCCCACCATGCCAAAGTTTGTAAGTCTATCAGTTGGGACAAAGTTACATCTAATATATATGAAATACTAACAAAAGCCGTAGTTTTGTTCGTTCCACGGGGCCAAAAACTCGCACAACACGGCGGCCTGCCACCAGATAGATCAATTCAGACTGCTGTCGGGTTCCTATCATCTGTCCGCTACGCAGATCTTCCGAACCTTGAAGAAACTTAGATCCCCTGTGGCTATTGTTGATACTCGAAAATGACGTAGCATGTCCGAACTTCCAAGAATTTATCTCTCGACCTGCATTTACTCAGAATTAGTTGGAGCTGTAGCGTAGCTAAAGAATGGGCCACTCGGACTAGATCCACCTGGACCAGAAATAATAACGGTCATATTGTAACTACTAGCTGGATCTGTAGGCACGACTGCATAGATACTCGTGTCGGATTACCGTAGAAGCACGATATGCCTTGAAACGTAGAATTGAGATAGTAGGTACTATTGCTCGGATCGAGAAGCTTTGCATTAGTACTACCTAGTATGCGCTATTCCAAGGTTGCGGGATATCCCTTCATTTACCACGCAGCCAAGACTTGATTTTTCCCCTCCAACCTTCCCTCTGTACATAGAAGCTATTCCAACATACAGAAATATTGCATCCTGCAGGACATAGCGAACGGGCCCTACCTGATGCTACGGACCAATACGTTTCTCCATAAGGTAGCAGAGAGGTGACTCAAATGTTAGACTCATCAACTGTAACTTATCTTAATACAAAGACTACGTACGAGAGAAAAAACCTACGACCAGCAAGGAAGCCGCCGGCAACCACGTTGATCTGGGCACCACGCATGGGCAAATCTTAGCGATGCATTGCCACATAAACCTTGGTCGGGGCGAGCTAGCGCCCAGTTTACTACTCTTCACTGGTGGAGATATCGATCTACTCCAAGCCTCACAATTCTAACAAACATCCACTGCCGACGTTTGTTGACCTTTTCCATAATATTGGGAGATAGGCCATCATGAAATAGCCTAGACCACTTCTGTTCGTGACATTTGACATGTTGTCATTTCACTTTACCTACTAGCGCCAATCACTTTGTTCATTGACTGTTCTATTCTCAAAATTTGACAAGCGATGATACATTTCACATATTGCTCCTTTTTTGTTATAAGCGCCGAAAAAGCCCGTCTGTATAATCAAATTACCTTCAGCCTAAGGAAACATATGTTTCACTATAGTAGCATACATTGCAAATAGTATGACTGCCGACCATAAATTATCATCATTTGCCATGGCCAATGACGTTGAAGAGTGCTTTGACACAAAAAGGGTTGAAGTTATGGGACGTCCTTAAGCGCGAACCAATATTCCATGTTTCCCATTTCTCCAACTCGCGGAAGGGTGTCTTCCGTATTGAATATTTGTAAAAGTCTTCCTTACTTCAGGGCAACATTTCTGCAGAGCATTTCTTGTTTGTTGCCAGATGTACCCTTGAGTGAACTTTCCCGTAGCACTCTCCATGATATCTGGATATCTAGAACTCTCAAAGATAAGCAGACGTTTGGTTACATAATGAATTCAATTAAAGACGAAAATTGTCAACTCACACATTGTTATCCAAGACCACAAACCAAAATCTGTTCTCCGGCTGCGCTTCATTCCAAGAATTAGCCATGGTCACTGCTCTCGCGCAATCTCGAGTGGATCGGCAAAAATATGGAAGCATAGGTCTGAAAGCTCTGTGCCGCCTATACAGCGATGCAACGTCAAAGACAGTCGATCCGGCGTCAACCGCATTGAATAAAACAACCTGTTTACCGTCACCCTCAAGCTCCCTGCACAGCTCTCGCATAAAATATAAATGCGCGGCTTGTGCCAGGCCATAGCTGTCCGATTTTCCCCTGGATATGCGCTCTTGACTTATTTTAGACTTATCAAATCCCGCATCTTCTTGTACCCAGGGGATTGCGCATTTCTGCCATTTTTGTGACGCCCGCTTCATGCTCAGACTGGACAAGGGAGATATGTGGGTAATAACTGGTCTCTGTGGCCGATTTTCGGTGGAAGTTGCTTCAGTCACCTGGCTTAGAAGGGCTGGCAAGAGAAGCATAGTGAGTAATGCAACCGAAAGGTGACCTTTTTTTAAGACTTTGCGTGGAGACGCGCTTAGCCAACCTGCGAAGGTGAAAGGACGATGTTGACATACTTTCATCCCACCCATCCCTGGTTATTCTTTTTCTGTTCGGAAGTTCCACAGGCCCCGTGATCAAGTTGTCGATTGATCCCACATCCGATTTTATCCTCGAACAAAATTCCCTGACGCTGTGAAATGAACTCATGTGAAGTGGGAAAACCAGAATCCTGGCCTTTTCCCCTTCCTCCCTTGTGTCATAAGACATACATTCTGCAGCTAAAGCTTGGCCCTTTTCGAGATTTCGCACTCCAATTATAAGCGTGGCAACGTTCAGAGTAACAAGTATGCGGGCAACTTCAGAGCATATTCTGTTGGTCGCCCCAGTGATGATGACAGTTCGACCACGAAAGTGGTTTGTAAATAGGAACGGCACTCTGAGCTTTGACCGTTGCCAAAGTGAGAAAGCTTGAAATAAAGCTAACCCATACATGCCCTTTTTGAAAATTGTGGCTTTGTAAATTATTAGTAGATTGGAAAAGATGAGGCAGACAGAACAGTGTTTGTTATGGCAAACTTGAGGACAGGTTCCTTATTTATGCAGCTGATTAAAACATGAATTAGCTTTCTCTGTTGCAAAGTGCTCCCAAGGGATAGCATATTCGTATTCAATTCAAACTCCTAAGTGCTTGTGCGCTCACTGAGAAAGCCGGCCAAATCGGAATTTTTATTCTTTACTTTATGCCAAAATTATATCCATGGAGAAGTCCTATCTCTGGCAGTATCTCTTCCAGAATGAGGATATTTGTTTATTCCCTTCAAAATGATAACCACAGTCCAAATAACTACCTGGCGAGAGACTAATGTATTGTGAGAAGCCATTGGGCAGATTTTGTCTATATTCCACGCTAAATTTGGGATTCCATAGTAATAAAAAGCCGAGCAGTATCAGCGACAGTAAGTGGGTGGCGCAAGAATGCAGAAGGTTGCAAAGTAAGCTTGCTCTCACGGAGAAAATGTATTTTGCCGAGTGCGCGTTTGCGAAACCCCGAAGCTGTCCTTGCAGGTTCAGTGTCTCACCACCTCAATTGGACGACACTAGCGTCTTGCACGGAGTAACGTAGGGCCGGTTGGGGAAGCTACAGGCTGACAGCCGATCTGACCTATGCAATTCCGCCGAACCTGTTTCCAAGGGAGGCATGAGAAATTTTTGCGAGACCCATAAAAGACATGAAATCATCTCAACGACTGATAAGCGAGGTCGTCCCCGCGAGCAATCCGTAGGTGTTAGTTACGCAACACTAAAAGATCATCACTGCGACAGATCAATGGAAGGCGCAGAGGGACAAACGGAAGTGGAAAGCCGGAGGATAGATTTCCCGAATTTTTTCAAATGATAGACCGACCGCCTGGTGCGGGTCTTAATTGACAAACCCACAGGCGGGGTAAGCTTTTAATGGGAGGGAATGCGATAGCGTGGCAACGGTGGTCGGGCAGCTTATCGATGAGCGAGTTGGAACCCGGTTGGAGCAAAACCCAGACTCTGATAAGACGACCAATGTCCTCGCTCGAGTAGTGACCGCTAATCACATAAAAATGCGTAAGCAATTAACTAGTAAGTGTTGACGTCAGATCTCAAAGTTTGCTTACTCGGAAAATTGTTTCGGAGTAAATACAACTTCAAAGGGACAAGATTAGTAATGATGCGTACACATAATATATAGAGTAGATCGTACGTCCCATTTGAAAGCTTCGAGAATACAGGCTGTGGTTCAAGCGCGAACAGAACAAAATGAAATCAAAATCGGCGACGACTTCGTTCGCCCAGGCAACAAAAGTTACTCCGATTCTTGGAACAGGCAGCGAGTTCGAGGCTAACATACCATGGGATTGGTCTGGCGAAACGTGAGACACACATTACTACTTGCAAGCCAAGACCAGTATGTATGCTGACACCTTTTAGTCATGCCCACGGCGGATTCATCACAAGCCTCTTGTTTTCGACAGCGAGGGTCTATTTTCTTTCTAACCATCCGTCACGATCCCTACCGGACCCGATAACTATCCATGTGCAGTTTCTTCTGCCAGTCGAAATGGGCGTAGCGCGTCTACGTGTGGATGAAATTATGATAGGGAAGCGCTACTCGACTCTGCAGATCACAGTTCTAAACCAAAAAGGCTCAGGCCATCAGTCTTGCGTCACGGCTATCATTACACAGGGTAACCTGTCGACAGAAGCGGGCCAAAATATTGATGTACCTCCTATCTTATCCAAAAAAGAAATCCCGGACCGCGAAATTGCTTGTGAGGAATGGATCACACCTAACTGGCTCGCTAAGCTCCTGCCAGTTAGTTCAAAATGGCGCATACGAACACTGAAAGGTTCAAAGAACCAGTTTTTGAGCCGTAAGGGTCTGAATGTCAAATATATTTGGATGAAATGGGCCGACGAGAAGGAGAAATTGGACGTTATCAGCCTTGGGATCCTTTGTGATAGTGTAAGTGAAATCAAACAATCTACGAGCAAAGTGCAATGTTGAGCACAAGATGTGCGAAACATGCTTGTTAATTTAATCCAGAGCTTTGATCGCTGACTACTTGTAGTTTTTCAGTGCGCCCATAAATTTCTATGATAATTTTCAAGATCTAAACCAATACGTGTATCCTTCTATGTGCATATCCATTGAAGTGAAAAAAGACCCAGGCTGCGCAACGTGGTTATTTGCAGAAGTCATTTGCAACAAAATCCAAAATGGACGATTTGATCAGGAAGTGCATTTGTTGGATGAAGAAGGCGATCTTGTCGCGCTAAGCAAGCATGTTTGCTTGGTTATACCACTGAAGCAGGGAAAAGCAAAACTTGCTTCTTCTCGAGTTGGTGAACGCATCTCTAAATTGTGAACATGCAACATCGAACACACAATCTGCAGACCAAAATGAGTCGCCACGAGGTGGAGACCAGGCTTTTTAAGCAGGTGATTGCAGAGCGCGTCTATCATAAATGGTATCATGTATTATATCCCTTCTCCGGCCAAGAGGAATCTGTTTTCGACATCAACTGGATGCTCCCGATGGCATAAAATGCGTTTGGATTAACGGGTCAACGAGCCTTAGTGAGCCCATTCTGTTTGATCAACACGGGAAAGGCTGGTGGCTACATTTCCGCTCAGCACTTGCTCCCAAGTGCTGACTGCATGACAAGTAGATTGTAGGGGAGATTTACGCCTCCAGGGCCTGAGATCGAACCAGTATAGTAATGACGGCAACTAGATTTTGAACTTCATCAATTAAAATCAAAGACCCAAGGCAATATTGAGATCCTCCCCATTGTAGCGAACGGATGGTCGAGCGAAGTGCTTTTGAATCATTGCTGGTGCTGTCAGGACTCGACGAGCTTTTCTTTTTGAGAGGTCGATACCTTCTGCTTCACCGCAGAGTCCAAGAAAGAGGAAACCAAGTTGTAATGTTGGAAGTACTGTGTACTATTTAATTGGCTATAGCATAATTATATTCACAACGATCTGTGCAAAGGGAAATTGAGTGATAAAAATTGACGTCAACACAAGATACTAACATAGGGGGGTCCAGGATGACGAAACGAGGCCTCAATTTATGACTTGTTATCTTATGAGGCATCAGAGTCTAAAAATAAATCATCTTTTTGGCCGATGCCGTAGTCGTAAAAGTTATAAATTGATCTGCCTGTTTTTTCCCATGTGCTGTGGAAAGGGACCGGGTGATTGTGTAGTCTGCTTAGAGAGCGGTATTGGCCATTTGGGAGGCCATAGAACGGTTGGCCCATGTTAGCCAGGAGATTGCCAAGTGTTGTGGGCATTTGTTTCAGATCGAGATCGTCCGGACCACAAAGGAGGAGAGCCCGCATAAGCCATTATTAGCGTATTTGGACCCCGCCGCCATCAAGAAGCATGTGACACCATGGCAGGAGATTATGGTTTTTTTTGTGAGGACCCAGGTATGGCCCGACGACCGAGCTAAGGGGGGGGGGCAACTGCTACCGGGTTTCGCATTAGAAGACACTCCGCGACCTTGCTCTTTACATAATAGAGGTATCGGATCTCGGGAAGAACAGGCCAAGTGGTCTGGATCAGTATCTGCACAGGCACTCTGTCAAAGTGACAGCTTAGCCAAAAAGCCACGGCTGCATAGCTCCCCATCTCATCTTGCCTCGGTCTGTGCTGGATTTTGTTTTACAGGGCTCTTATAGTAGCGTCAACACGTCCTCACGTGAGCGAGCAAGTCGCATGGGGCGACACAATTCATAAGGGAGTCTAACGAGTTGCATTGGCAGCGGCTTTAGGCCGCTGCGCCGGTTCAAGTCTGAGAAGGGTAATTGAATAGCGCAACCGAAGGAAAACATCTTTTGATTTATTAGACAAGGAGGAGCAGATCGTGGTATGCCACATTCAGTGTGGGGTGAACCGTCTTATCTGGGTTCCGAAGGGTGTGGATGTCCGAACCCGTTCGGACTCGGGACAGGCTGGTGTTCTGCATAGTCAGTTGGCTCTGGACAAAGAAAAACTTAGTCATGTCGAGTACGACACGGCCTAAAGTGAGGTCCTGGCAGCTATTGAAGGTGATGGCATACCCCAGGCGCAAAAACTGCCGACGCTGTACCGTCCAATTTGCGCGCGCTGTTTGAATTCAAACGTGAGTCGGGGCTGGGTAGCAGGAAGGGAGAAGGTCGTGCGTAGACAGGTGGACGCGCAGTGGCACAACGTGGTACGGCGAGGCACTCTTGACAGGTTGCGAGCACTAGAGGAAGCGAATCGAACCGGAGATGGATAAATAAAAGGGTAGTCTAGACTCCCAGTCTAGAGGACACCCTGCTCTGTCTTATGAATCAATCCGGTTGTTACATCATGTGAGCGTGTATCCAACCAATTATATTGGCCAATGGGTCGAACCTGTCATCGGTGGGGGATTGTTTCAAAAGAAGAGCTAGGTCAGCCAATCATACAGTGCAGTCTCTCTGTGGGTCAATATACCACGGTATTCAATAAAGGTTAATACCCGCTCGTAAACGCAACGCAAAGCTCAGCCCCGCATTTAGACCGGCGATATATTGTGAGTGCCTCTCCTTCCCTTCCTTTCACTAACTACCAAAATTTCATCACTATATCCTGCAATTACTACTCACTATTGTTCAAGACGTTCAACCGAAAATGCCGCCTTCTTATTCCGGTAAGGAGGAGCACGAACAGCGATCAATAGAACATCGATGCAAACTGGCCTGTGATGAATGTCGCAAACGGAAGCTTCGCTGTGACGGGCAGCAGCCGCAGTGTGGGATTTGCGCCGACACAGGCATCCCCTGCAGAGTCAATCCGAAGCGTTCTACGAGAGGTCCAAAGAAAGGTCTCCTTAAAGCTCTTCGGCTCCAAACAGGTCAGTTATCGGGTTATATATGAAAGTAGAGGGTCGCTCATTCCTGTGCGCACCCACAGCTGAGTTGAAGCGTCGTTTGGAAGAAGGTGAGATCGTCCAGGGTTTTCCTGTAACACAACCCTCCCGTGGCACCGGAGAAGATAGAATCAATATGGATGTGCTGGTTCCGACCTTTTCTGCCGACATCCTCTTACCCAACGATTCCGGCACTATCTTGCGAGAAAGCCCCTCATCGGAAAGCCGAAGCCAGGCAATCGAAAATTTATCAGATATAACACTAGCCGAATTGTGAGCAGCGCAAAATAGAGTCCGTTACGACAGTGCGGGAGTACTCTAACGAGTTAGACAGAAACCAGCTTTATTTCGAACGAGTTCATCCTTTTACGCCATTCCTTCAGAAGCGTCGCTTTCTTTCCTGGGCTCAGCAGCCGAACCTCAAAGGTTCCCGACTTTCCCTTCGGCTTGCTATGTGGACCTTGGCTGCAATGATGTCAGCACAATACCAGCAGATTGACAATATGCTCTACCAGCAGGCACGAAAGAGCCTTGAGAGCTTGGAGCTTCAATTGCCTGATATAAAAGCTATCGATGTAGAGCAGGCCCAAGCATGGTTGCTTATTGCTATCTATGAATTGACACGCATGCATTATAGCCAAGGCTGGATAAGCGTCGGCCGCGCATGTCGATTGGTGCAACTGATGAGCCTTCACAAGATTGACGCAGTTGAAAAAATGACGAGTGATGCAACGCTACCACCATTTACCGATGTTGAGACTGAAGAGCGACGGAGAACATTCTGGATGGCCTACTGCCTGGATCGCATTATCGGCATCCGAAACGACTGGCCAATTGCTTTCAGTGAACTCGTGGTATGCAGGAATGAACCTTTATGTAGGGAATTGAAGACTGATGGTATTTTATAATAGATATGTACTCGCCTCCCTACCGGTGAGGCCGACTTTCAGAACGGTGAAGCCGTTGTCGGCGAATTTCTTTCTGAAGAGATTGCTGCTGAGTGTGATCAAATTGTACCTTCTTTCACCGAGCTAATTGTTTTCGTTACAATTGGTGCACGCTGTTTATCACATAAACAACAAGCAGTGGTAGAGCCTGTTTATGGCAATGGCGCGCAGGACTTTTGGAATCGGCATCATTGGCTTCATTCTCTCTTAACACAAAGGATCAGGAGAGTATCTCGGATACCCACATTGTCTTCGCTCACCACAGATCCTATGCGGCTTTTTGCAAATATGGTGGCACAAACGGCCCTTATTTATCTCTACCGAGTCATGAATTTATCACCATCCGACAGGCTTAAGGAACAGACGATGCCCGGATATGAGGAAGAGGCACGGGCAGCTGCAAAAGAGATTGTCAGTCTAACAAAATTTGTGGACGAACTCAGTATTTTCAAGGTATGCTAGCAAATTCATTACTTGAGGTATACGGTTGCTAATATAGGCAGTTGCATCCGTTATCACCATACCTTTTGTATGACGCGATAGAGCTTCTTAACAAGGCAAAATCTTCGACAGCGCCCTTTGAGCCCGAACTAAAGGAGGTCAATAAAGTTCTTGAGAGCTTAAGGCCTGTGAACAACCTTGCAGCGCATTATTTGCAATTCCTGAGGTCAACACAATCCTCAAGTTGAATAAAAAAGAATCGAGGTTAGGCCTGTCGTAAGTAAAGGGAATTTGTCTTGCGACAGAGTAGATCTGGGGGTACTTCAAGGCTACAGCCATTAAATATCCTTGGGTTATCAAGGAAACCAACAAGAGGCGGCTGGTCGACCGAGAGATTTACTGTATTCATGTAGGTGGGAAAACAAAAACACGCTGTGACTGGCATACATCAGATTCCCAGAGGCAAAAACAACCAGCAACATAAGAACCCACTTAGCAAAGGATGGCATTTACTGTCCGACCCCCCAGTATACAGCCAGCGAAGAAGGGACCGGACATTCAGAGATTTATAGATAGTAAACAGAGTCTCACGCATCAAGAGGTTTTGGAAAGGAATACCATTCGCTAGATCGTAACTGATATAAAAGCCTTCACTACTGTCGAGTCTCCAGAGTTTCAGCAAATATTCCGAGTCATTCCTGAGATTGAGCCTCCTTTCACATCTCGCCACACCTTACAGGATCAAATCATACAAGAGTTCAACCATACATCACACTAACCTCAAGACTGAGCTTAATTTGACTTGCAAAACCATCGCCTTATCACTAGACATTTAGACAAGCCAGAATCATCTTCCTATTTTAGGGATAATTGGTCATTGGCTGACTGACGTATTTAAGTACCGCGAGAGATTACTTGAGTTCGCCGAACTCCAGGGCATTCATAGTGGCGAAAATCTGGAAATTACAGTGGAAAATATACTTATAGAGTTGAGTCTCAGGGAAAAGCTCATTTCAATTACAGGCAACAACACCAGTAACAATAAGGCCATAGGCTCAGAGTTATACTTCTCCCTTTCCGATCGATCTAGGGTACAAGACACAATACTATCACCACTTTATCTAGGCTTTGACAGCTACATCCGCTGCCTGACCTATATCCTCAATCTGATTATTAAAGATATCCTCTGTACCTTGGGATCAGGGACGATGGAATAAGCGCAAGTTACTTGTGACTGTTTACAGATTAATAACTCAATCACCGATCACTCAGCTATAGGGAGGTTACGGGTCCTCGCTCTCTGGATTAACCGAAGTCCTCAGCGCCGGCAGAAATAGAAGGAGATTTGCAGACTCAACAATCTTCCAGACAAATTCGTGGCATACAATGTGACGATACGATAGAACTCAACATTTCGCATGGTCAACGATGGCTTAAAGTCAATGCAACAAGTCAACAACTTTATAAACCTTCAGGAAGAACCCCCGCCGTTCACTCTTTAAGATTGGTCCCGGCTGGAACAGATTCACATAGTACTCCACAAGTTCAACGAGCTTACTTTGTTCATTTCGAAACGCAATCCACAGATCAGCCTCGCAGTCTCGATTTACTATGAACTACGCAAATTGCTTGACGACGTAAGGGAGGGCAATGGCGACTTCGCAAAGCTGGATCGAGGTATCATAGCTGCAGTGAAAGAATTATTCCATCATGAATGGCTGCGATACCTACTACACTGCCCTCGTCTTGGATGCCCGAGTCAAAGGTGAAATGGCCTTACAGGAACTTCAAGATGGCAATGCAGGAACAATGATTCTGGAAACGATCCGCACCAATCTCCATCAGGTATACGCGGCTAGTAACCCGAAGCATGATGCGGCTGCAACACAGTTGTCTTCCTTGAAGCATAGTGATGTGGAGTCTAGAATACTGAAGAAGTTGCAGGCGCAAGATCCACCGCTCTCAGATATTGATAAGTACTTCGACACCTCTCCGATTAGCGTTGCAGATACCACCGGCGAGAACTGGCTCTGTAATTGGTGGAGGATGCACAAGGGCGAGTACCCGCCGATGGCAGCAGCAGCCAGAGACTATCTAGCGATACCTACCTCGGAAGTTGCTGTTGAGAGGGTCTTTAGGACAGCGAAGGATGTGCTAGACATCCGGAGATATTCTTTGAAAGGGGATACCAGAAGAATGCTGATGTTGATTCGCGATGGGTATAAGTGGTAGCGGTCAAGGGATTTGGTTAAATTATGCCATAGCGATAGTCTGGTTCTGCATTCAAAAATTTTCAACTAAAACTGCTGTTCAACGAATGCGCGTTCGCTCTCTAGATCATTAATTCTAAAGGAAAAACGCGCCGATTTCAATACGATATGACGATATCGTGAGTGACGATATTGTCAAGGTTGAAGCCCGCCGATATCGTACCGGCAATCGGCATCAACAGATTCAAAAACAGTCGGTATTGTATCGTCTGTCGATATCGTATCGTCAATATCGGTGTATCGGCAATATCGTCCACAGCCCTACCCGCTGTCTCAGAGAGATGACACAATCTCCACCAGTGTGTCTACACCAGCAGAGTGATCTCCAAGCGTTACAGATTTTGAGACAACATGGACAAGAATCGGGGTACTCCTCTCGTAGTATTACTCAGGCCAGCAAACTTGCGTCTGGATTGTCTGACATTATTCGCACTGAAAATTCACATTCCCCCAACCAAAGCTTTTATGGCTTTGTGAATGACTGTCACACTCTAAAAGCAATGGACGAACTTCTTCGCTTTGCTAGTCGAGGGACTTGTGACATTGGTACCGTCACTGTTGTCGATGTATTCTCATTGCAACCTGACAAGAATGCCTCTGAGGCAGACCTCAGGTGTGACGAAACTCTTGCACAATTTATACAGATGAGAAGACCTCAAGCTGTCATTCAATGTACAAATTCGAAATATGAGTGTCTGTGGATGAGGCGATTCAATTTCGGGGGTGATCCTTACCGAGTTCGGACCGAACTCATCAAATTGTCGATAGGCAAACCGCTATCATCATACCTTCTTTTCATCCCTCAAATGCCATCTATCACTACAAGCGCAGACTGGTACTACGAGTCTTACTCATGTAGCAATTTGCCCTAGCTTTCCATTCATTAGAGGTGAAACGGTGATCTCATGTTGCGCTAACAAAATCAAGGATTAATGTCTCTTCAAGGGAGAAAGAAAGGAAGATAAATCTTCTCCCAGTAACTGGGAATCGGCATCATGCATATCAGATAAAATAAGCAAATCTTATCTGTACGCGTCTCGGCGACAGGTCGTGCACCGGAATTCTTCTCACAACCCAAGATCACCGGGGTTTAATATTCGGATTTGAACGGCCATCCACCGCAATACGTTTATGTAATATGAGGTACACTGGGCTCCAATGCGTTGAATTCAGATACGCGGGACACAGATCAGCATCCGACTTCTGTTGTAACTCTACGGATACCAAATATACCAACAAACATTTACACACCGACGATTCCTAAGAGATACAAAGCCGTAGGCTTAGAAAGGTTCTTCTTCTGTTCAACAAGTCGAATCTTCAACGAATAAAGGGGGTTAAGCTGCGGCAAAGACGTTGAGGTATCACATATATCCAAAATCAAATGTCACAAGCAAGGTTCAAGATGCCTAACGTGAACGATCGAGATCGATAAAAATGTTAAGTGCTACTCATTGCCACAAACAGAATCGCATAGGGGGCAGACAGTTAAAGTTTTCGTTCTCGCATTCGCTTGCTGGAGACTTCATGTCTCTGGCCACCCCGCGATGTGTTTAGAAATATTCAATTCTGATGGTACCTGCGTTTTCCGAGGTAAGATACTAGATGTCACTACTCTTCTTCCCGCATCTTGGATGGCCCAAAGCTCCGAGATTAGATGCAAGCGCAGGCCGTATAATATCAGTAAAGCGAGCCATCCAATCCCCACTCCTCAACATGTCGATATAATCATCGCTAACTTCTAACACCCACCCCATTTCTCACGCACGCCCCGGCCACAAACTATACAGGGACAGAGGTAGAGTAACTCTACGTGAGCCTAGGGGGGGAAGCTATAACTAGCACATAAAGGAACTTGTAAACAACCTAATCTCCAATTTGAAAAAGAATTCAAGTTCATATCTCCAGAATCACAAAAAAATGAGTAACACTGTCGCCTCAGTCACTATCAAAGTAATCATCAATAACAATTTTTAACTTGAAATACCAGTATCCAACCTTTTGCCCATCAACTAAAGGTTATAGGTGTAGGTCTGAGCTCCACTAGTTCCTCCAGGATTATTGACCGTCACAGAGACAGGTCCAGGTTGCCCTGTTATAGGCACAGTCGCGGTTATAGTAGTATCATTGAGAACAGTAAAACTCGTCGGGAGGAGACCGAAGAACACAGTAGTTGCAGTGAGGAATCCCGTTCCCGTGAGAGTAACGTTTCCGCCTCCAATGATAGATCCAGAGGTCGGTGAGATGGCTGTCAAGGTCGGTGGAGGGATATATTGATATAGAGCACCGTTGCTGACGCTAGCAGCCGTGGAGACATTTACGGACACTGCACCGGCAGACTCGGCGGGTGCGACAGCAGTCACCAAGTTGTCAGAAATGACGACCACACTTGTCGCTGGGACGCTACCGAAGAGCACAGCATTTGCTCCAAAAAGCCCTGCGCCAGATAAAGTGATGGTGTTACCTCCGGCGAGTGGGCCCAAAGCTGGAGAGATAGAAGTGACCGCAGCGGTGGGCTGGAAACTGAATGAAAGCGAGCTATTGGTGCCACCGGGAGTGGTGATGGTGATCGGAACTGTCCCAACGGGGTGTGGCGGTGCAGTGACCGTGACGAGTGTATCACCAGTCACTGTAATCGTGCCCTGTGAAGGTGTCGATCCAAAGAGCACGCTGCTAGTTCCCGTGAGGCCGGTGCCGGTAATGGCGATAGAACTTCCACCTGTGATCACGCCGGCGGTAGGGAAAATTGTTGTTGGCGAAGGTGGAGCCAGATAGGTATAGGGGAATCCTGAGACTGGTTCCTGAGAGAGTTGTGACGGTAATTGACACAGCTCCGGTAGCGAGTCCAGGCGGAACTGTCACATTGATGGCAGTTGGTGACAGGACTGTGAAAAAGAGAGCTGGAATAGCGTCGAACAGAATGGCTGTTGCTCCGTTCAAATTCGTGCCCTGGACAGTGATAGTACCTCCACCAGCCAGAGGACCAGAAGATGGGGCCAGTGAAGTGATTGTTGGCGTCGGGGCCGCCGCATAAGTATAGCTGGGCCCACTGGGACTGGAGCCGCCAGGCCCCGAAACAATTACATTGACATTCCCTCCTGCAGGTGGACCTGCAGGCACAACCGCATTGATGGTTGTGTCGGATAACACAGTAAACGAAGCTGTGTTAGCGCCGAATGCGACAGAAGTGGCATACGTAAATCCGGAGCCCGCTATGACGACACTATTTCCACCCCCAGCTGCACCGGTACTCGGAGATACGGCACTGGTCGTCGGGGCATTCAGAGTGGTATAAGTATAGGGTAAAGTCCCACTAGTACCAACCGAATTCGTTGCGCTCACTGTAGTAGCTCCTGCAACACCCGCTGGAGCCACCGCGGCGATTTTGGTGTCGGAAAGGATAGCAAAGCTCTGCGCATTAGTGCTTCCAAAGCTGACGCCATTCACAAAGGAAAGTGAGGATCCGACGAGATAGACGACATTGGAACCCGAGACTGGTCCACTGACTGGGTTGAGGGAGGTGATAACCGGCGCAGTGGCAACAACATAACTGAAAAACACCGGCTGCGTGCTAGAGCCGGCACCGGTGGTGACGATTATTTGAGCGGCGCCCACAGAGTTTGCAGGGCTTGTCACCGAGATAGTGGTGGGCGTGCTTGAGATGACTGTTGCATTCGTGCCGCCAAAGGTCACGCCAGTTGGATTGAGGAGATTAACTCCAACAATAGTAATAGCCGTACCACCCGTAGTAGGTCCAGTTGTTGGAACAACTTGGCTTATGCTAGGAAGAGCCATGGTGAATAAAGAACCTCGGAAACCGAGTATGGATTTAAAGTGCCAAGTGAGTGGAAGCTATGTCGGATCAAGCGAAGCATATATAGCACATATTGACAGAGGCATCTAGAATAGGAAAGGTATTGATTGAAGCTCGAAATGGAATTAGAATATTTGTTCAGGTCATTAACCACATCACGCCATAAATGCAACAGTTGCAATAAACATTGATGGATGGGTCAGAATGATGTCTCGTGGAGCCAGTATGCAGCTCTCCTGCCTTGTAAAGCGAATTTGACTTTCTATCCATACTATCGCCATCCACAAGCTTTTTGATTTCGCCGCATTAGACTCATCGGCCAGCAAGCATACCCAGACTTCACGTCCATGAAACCCAACTTCAATTTTCTGTGATATCCATTGTTGTGGAAAAATGTAGCATGACGGCTATAAACCATGCATCTGGCCCAATGCTTGCATGAGCATAAATTTATCGGATGATCTGTGATATCCTACTCCCCAGCACCCAGAACCCCTGAACCACAATCAGATGCTGTATTATGTTATCCCATGTAATGTCTCACTGGTGTGTGGTCGCTCATCAGAAGGGCTTTTTTCTCTCTCACACGACATGCTCCTTGGTCATACCCACCCGTGGACGAAGGAATTATATACTGTCATGAGACTTGAAGTGGGCTGCTCTTCTTCCGAAGAAAGAAGGTGCAAGATCGCTGTCTTCGTGCAACGTTTCACCAAGGGTCTTGAAGTGACGATATCTGAAAGATACTACTAGAATAACTGGCCAAGGAACAGAGTATTGCTTCATTGGGGACTTTTCAGTTTTGATGAATTTGTTTGGGCTAGCCGAAAGAACTTTTTGGGCTCCATTCATTCCCTTCCGCTTGCTATATATGGTCCGGGGATCCCAGGAGATCGATAAAAGAGAAATATGATGATCTTACATGCTCCGGCTGTATACTTGATCTGTCCAGGTCAAAATTTTAAACCTTGGAAAGTTAACAATACGATTATTCCTACTTCCCGAAAATATTATTTCTAGCAGAAGATAATAGTTCGGTAGGCAGGGTATAAACAAGTTATCATGATATCAAGCTGCTTCGTCCATTACTTCTACATATGGATTGAGTTTGCTGCACATCCTGCGACTAGCGTCACCTAGCTTTTGTACACGTATCACAATTGTGCGATCGAAGATTTTTATACTTTAATAAAATAAAGATTACCGGTCTCGACTGCCAGAAAAGGAAATGTGACACTTCATCTTTATAAATCACCTAAAACAATAGAATAACCATCAATGGAATGGCTTCATTACTTCCCGATTTATTACGTCACACGACGAAGAAATATTAGTATGCTGTGAGCTTACGACATGAAACCTCACCCTAACAATTAATTGGAATGTAGTATGATCTCATGACAGATTCTCCATACAGGTGTTTCTGATAGATGCTACGTTCCACAGTATTATTTTCTTACCAGATGTCTTCTGGCTAGTACTTTTATAATTTGAAAACCGAACAGAGCTCCAGTTTATGAGCTTTATGATATCTAACGACCTAAGGAACTTTCGGACGAAGGCTTGCCTTTTTTTGATTAAAAGGTCAATGATGCATACAATTTTAATCATACTCAGTGGGGCCGTTTCTGCTTCCACAATGGCCACATCTTTCCAATATAGCGACACCATGTCTTCCATTTCTTCGGATCCTACTATGCTCCCGGAGAATCCTAAGTCTACATCGCCGGAGGAAATCTCACAATTTGATGAGGAGTCTACGGCAGCCTTCTCATCTCAACAAAGCTCGAACGCCGATATCAGGAGTAAAGACTTACCAAAAGTCCCATCTTTCAGCTCCAGCTTTTACATGTGCTGCCAAGCAAATCCCAATAGCACTACTATCGACCACTATTATCCACCATATGCGTGTATATTCGGGCCCAAAACTGGGCTGTGCCCCCAAGGGATCAATTCCTCGTTTATATTTCCATGGCTATGTACCGTCGATTCGAACTGGGGGGGTTGGTCAGATTGTGCGTGTGTCTAAAAATTAAACTGTTGAATAAACCACTGACATTCCCACACAGAACTGCACTTATAAAACTTCCATCTGATTGAACATCAATGCGGCTATTCATGCAAAACCAAAAAGTCACAAGTATCATTTAACGAAGACTTTTGTTGCAGGACGAGAGGAGATCCTGTGGATACCTCCTTTCCCTTCTAATCTTCGGCTTCGATACTCTGGAAATAAGCTTTTTCTTGAATTATAGGCAACTGGCAAAGGCTCTATAGGACGGGGTGGATTTATCATTAGGATTATTGTCAGGCTAGTAAAATAAAGTCAATATCTCTAATCGCATCCTGGCCTGGACACGTGGACCCTGAAAAGTAAAAAGAAAATCGGTTAGTTAGACTGCTCATAATATTTATTTTCATCGCAGGCGCAGTTCAGTTAATTCTGTATTGGAAATCCGGGTTGCGATCACAGAAAGTGAAAAAAAGAAAAAAATTATATTTATTGAAAGAATTGCCAGGTGTATCAATATTGATGGAATATCAAACAAAAATCCAATCCATCCCCGACCGATAAATTTCGCCAATCCAAGAAACAGGGGTTATACTTTCATCATTCCGAGTCCAAATGTCCTGAAGTACATCTGAAGCATTTTTCACATTCTGACAGCGCCATATATCCCAGAGGTGTTCAAATACCCGAACAATAACCAATCTTTGTGATCGATCCCTTGCCTCTGCTCCAATGACGAATGCAGGCCATACGAGCCCCTTGAAATGGGTGTCTTTGGGACTAATGGACTCAATATGCAATATAGTCGTGTCAAGAGAAGCTGGAGTATCAACGTGAGTATGCTGACCTTGGGGAAGCTGGCACAAAACCTGATACATGTAAATCGCAACAGACTGCTTGTACACGCTCGCTAGATGATATCGCGTCTTCATCAATTCAGGCTTATCGCTTCGAATTGCCCATTTCATTGGTGAGAAGCCGTGCAACGCAGGCATGATCTCCGTTGCGAATTCACTTGGAATCGACTGCGATCTTGAAATATTGTTTAGAATGGAGATGATATAGAGAAGCTCTGCTGGACAGCCTGCCCATAACTCGCTGTCGGAGAATCTCATCATTTCACGTGGTGATATTTCTGAAAGCAATGGTTGGTAATCGGTTTTGCTTTGGATAAATGTAGTGCCCAGAATATGTAGCCTTGATGAGATAGTTAGAAAAAGCCTTTGAAGCAAGATTGTTTGGGACTCACGTTGCATAGGTCATTTCAAGGCACCGTTCAAACCTCGCGAAATCAAATAAGAAAGATCTTGCCGGTTGGAATTTGGCTGAGGATTTCTGTAGTCCTGCAATCTCTTTCAGGGCATCCAGATGATATCTCCAAGAATTCTTTCCCGAGTCCATACAATCCTGCCAAACTAGTAGGAGTATTGAGGCAATTGTACCCTCGATATTCCCAAAATCACAGCTTGAAAGCTCCTTTTGGATTTGTTGCAAGGCATGTTGCTTGTGCTTTAAGGAATCGTACACTGCATGTGGGTCGTCTTCGATGGTATTCGCGCGTATTGGAATGATATTGCCAGTATTATCTCCCAGGGTTGGTGAATTTCTCCGAGCTTGATGAAGGGCTGCGATAGACATCATCGCATGAGAGAGTGCCTTGCTCGAAGGGATTATCCGCATAAACTCCCGAAAAGGATTGGTTCCATCGCAATCATAAAGCGCACTTTCAACAGAGCAATACCGATCAACTATTTTTCAGTTAGAAATAAATATATTATCTTTCTCATACCCACGTACAGTATTTTATATATCCCCGATTGATAGGGGACAAGTCTTGCACTGCTGGGTCTTCAAGTGACCTTATGATCGAGGCAGACGACTTATTGGCATCAATGATAGGCACGCGTTTCCCCATAAGTTTGCCTCGACTAGCGACGCCATTGGTCCACCTTAGAGGCCTTGATTCGTTATATCCTTGGCAATGCTCTTCGCCGGCTGAACACTTATGACACTCCGGTAGCGCTCGGTCGCATTTGACACGACGACGGCGACACGTCCAGCACGAGGTCGATGAATAAGCCCTTCTTGTTCCGCTCATGAAGCTCAGGTTCAGTATTACAAACTCATATTTCCATTCGGATTGCTTTTCATAAAATCGGAGTTCGTGTCACGATCACATTCAAAAACATCCGGAGGAAATCTTTACACAAAGGACTCGCGGGGAAGTCCTATGCACTAATCTGCTTTAGGCAGCCAAGGCGCGGTGGCCAACAGGAAGCATCACAATTGGTGTAGATCAAATATATGTGGATCGGTTTCCTGCGTCACGACAAACTGACAAATCAAAAATCGCGACTATGGAAACCGGAAGCTTGACCAGATGCATGGCCAAACCTCATTTATGTTAGACTTTATACTATCAGGGCTCTTGGCTGCCTTCTAAGGTCTAGTCTTACTACTTTGAATGATGCAGCTATCGAAAACTGTCCAATTCAAGTTTCCAAAGCTCAGAAGGGCTGTAGCCCTGGAGGGGGGCTCATTCCCTGTCCGGACGATATATAATCTGGCACCGGGAGCTGTCCAGATAGCGATCCGGCAACTTTTCCAACGAGCGTGGCCTGAAAAAAAAAATCATCTCACAGTCTTTGAGGTTGGAATCCGGGTAGTCATGGCGAGCTCACGTTTAAAATTGAAAACTCCATCGCAATACCATATCATTCATGACCCCAAAGGAGAAACATATGCCCAGCCTATTTCTGGAACTGCCATTCTTAGTACTGGTTTCGCCCAACCCGAGGCTTCAAATCAAAATGTGCTTCATATTTGCCTGATTTGTGTTCTCACGACCACCGACAAGAAAAGCAGAGTGGAAAGAAACTTGTTGGCTCGTTTCACTCGATGGAAGTCGGAGAAGCAGAATTCGCTTCGAAACAGTGATCTAGTACGGTCCTACTCGGTCATTGAAGAGTTGACTCTCCAACCATTTGCAAACTCTCGCGGACAGCTCCACTGCAATATTCCCTTTTTTCTGCCAGTTTATGGGAATATACCCGGCACATCGATGACAGACATCGGAGGAATATCATACTACCTTGTTGCAACTCTGAATACGGGAAACGGCACAGACGCAGAAATTACCCACCAACAGATAAAGATTACCCGTCAAATCTTGCTAGAACAACCTTCACTTCAGCATATTCGGAACTATCCTGCCTTGAATCTCATTACTAAGATTATCCTCACACAGGATATCGATTCAGCGACGCACTCCAAAATTCCAGTCAGTGCTAAGGTGTTCGTCCGACCGGCGAGACCCGCGGATCGCCCAATTGAATACCGATGCGTGGTAGTACGTGGAATTCGATGGCGAATCGAGGAATTGACCAAGGTCTTCAGCCATTCACCAAATGAAGGGACAAGTTACCAGCCATGCCAGCCCATTGCAAGCCGATGTTCGACCAGTGTGATTTCCAAGGGACTGCAAAAGGGGTATTGGAAAATCGAGCAAGATTCTATGAAACGAGGATCTTCGCTGCGGCATGCAGATCCATCAGTTGACATTTCACTTGAGATATCGCTGAACAGAGAATTTGATATCCCTTCGGCAGTTGATTTGAGATGCTATGATGCCTTTTCGACACCAACGAGCAATTTGAGTGCCAGTTTGAAAGAGATTGAGGTTCTTACAACAAAAGATAACATGATGATCACTATCGAACATTGGCTGAAACTCGATATATTGATGTCCGAGGATACGTTTTGCCTCGATAAACATAAATTGGTTGATCGGAGACCTCTACAGACTGCACTTGACGCGTCATTTCCTCTCCAAATCACCGGAAGCGTCAGGGGAAATTTGGAAGTCGAGCCGAATGAAGTCAACCCGCCCTGTTACAATGAACTTCCTATCTCCCCTCCCCTTTATATGCAAGCAACTTGATATTTAAATTGAAGAGCGAAATGTTTCTTTTTTCTAAAAAGAATTGAAGATTAGTAGCATTCGCATTCTAGCTGAAACATGCGACATAAGAAGTGAATATAGAGCTTTCATACTAGCCAAGATGTGCCAAGCCTCAAGTATTCATGCTGAAGATGCACGTATCTCCTGATACTCCTTCAGATTGCCAAGCTCATAGTACGGAACATGGAAGACCGAAACAGACATCACTCCCGGAGAGCTAGTTTCTTCATCGGCATCCTCGCCAAACTTCTCGACCGAATGGAACATTCCCGGATCCACGGTAAGAATATCCATAAGTGCGAGTGCCTGATCCATACCCATCGAGTGACCGATCATGCCCAGGCATTGCCTCACCCACCGACGCTGTGGGTGATTGGGTCCCTCAACCATACCAGCAACGAATAAAGGCCAGAGCAACATGAGCCCACCGATATAAGTTTCGGAAGGCAGGATAGGCCTCCCAGGAAGAATTCCTGCGTTGCAAGCACCTAGGTGGAAAGGTACGCTGCGGCAAATATCCGCACCAAGTCGACGTATTGTGGAGCGCAGGGATTTGCAGTGTAAACGGAAGTCTCCGGATAAAGAACCATGAGGTGAATTGTTAGAGACTTTATGGACGTTCGCTAATATTAGCTCGCTGACGATAATTCGTGCACATCGATAATGGTTCCAGAGATTTGGGGACCATAGGTCTGGGTAACTGTGATACTGGTTGTTGAGAGGTCGAATTCCACCACATATTTGTTCGAAGCTATGGTCCGTTGGCATCACTGTGTGACTGCTATATGTGAAATCTGGTGGTAAAGCAGCTAGCCAGGCCATGAGGTCGGCTTCGATGGCACTAGCGGCAGCCAGGATTTGCTGCGGGTCGTCGAGAATTTTCGCTTGGACATCGGCTCGAAGATTGGAAAGATTTCCAATGATGATGATCAATTTGTTTCCGAGCGCATCCCTTATCTCCGGGAATAGGTCGAGTTTCGAACAATTCATTAAGGAGTCGGGTACTCTCAAGTCTCGCTGGAGACAGCTGACTATCTGTAAATGGGTTAGACGCTTAGCGGCCTTATTTCTCGTGTTCCTTTTTTTGGGGAAGTAATTATGCACGAACGATTTGGTATCTCAAATGCAGAAAAAGACGAACACCCATCACAGTTGTCATTTGTGCAAATCCTCGGTGCTCTAGAAGGGCCGCAGCTCCGCAAATATGATTTGTCCAGCCCTGGATACTTTGAGGGGCTCTTGATGTGATAACCTAACGATGTCAGCGGTTGATTTGGTATTGCGTTTGATTTTGGGTTTGGAGGCACTTTACCTCATACAAAGACATAAATACGACCGCAAGTAATGCCTGATTTGTCCTAGACTGAACGGGATCGGCTAGTGCTGCATTGACTAGCTTGAGGGTAGAGCCATATTCCAGACGCGCCGCCTGCTTTAGGGAGGGCACGTTGCGAACCCGCGAAAGCATCGCACCAGCGACGGCATATATACTAGATTGTACAGCGCGCTGACCTAGAGATCCACCAGACTCCATCAGGAAGTTTGTCAAAGTGTCCGTCATGAAGGCACTTCCGGGAATGTCATGCGATTGGAGAAAGAAGCAGATAGCCTGCTCCTTAGAAAGGCCCTCTGTAGGGATTGTGGTCACTGCACTTGGCCTTATTTGGCGCATCATGTATTGGTGATCGGGATCTGAGTTGAAATCAAAGCTTGTCTCCGCGTTTGATCCAGTGGACCCTGTTGTCGAGGGGGACCGGACATGCCGTTCAGGGTAAGCGTTGCGAGAGGGTCCTATAATGTGGGACGATGCATACGAAGCCGACGAAGCAGAACTCGAGGTTCCTGCTTTACGCGCTGTGGCTTTAGTCACGTCTCGGAATATAAGATCCAGCTGGTCGCGGTATCCTGGACATTCTCTCTTCGTTCGAATGCATTGATCGCAAGCCGGCCGGCCCTGGTCACAGCGAATCTTTCTGGACCGACAGTGACCACATCCTTTGCTTGGTTTGCCGCAGTATACCATGACTGAATGATTTTCGAGTTGAGTTTGTTGCAGGTTTAATAGATGAAGAAAAAACAAATGTCCATCAGGCTGAAGAATGCGGAAATGTCCTTTGATTTTTGGCTGGGGAGCTTAGTACACAGCTGAAGTGGTCCCCACCAAAGGCCAAAGAGATCAACTACAAGTCTAACCTAGATAGGCGACGCTCTAAAAAAAGGAATTTGTCACTAACAGGGCGTGACGACAGGTATAGCCTTTTTACCGAATTACTCCGACAAAGCCTTGCATGTTGCTATTTTCTTGATCGGCATTGCATTTCGATGTATATCTCGGTTACAGGTTGGATCGAAAGCAGTTTCACCACTTGCACACACACAGATTCTTTCTCGAACCCAGTTCCAAATACGCTAATCCGTATCCCGCCTAGCCTTGTTTCAAATATGGAATTGTATTGAAAGATAGTATTGTGCGGATGATTCAAACCGAGTCTCTGTCTTCGCTTCACCAGGCAGTCTCTTAGCAAGTCGATTGCTTGAGCATCGTGCCTTAAATGTTTCCAGGTGAAAGCTAGATTCCTCATACTCGACAGCGTATCGGAATAATCCTCGCCGAGCTCCATCTTGCTCATCTCCATCACCTGAATATCTAGCTGCTCGGCATCGACCCATCGGCCCTGGCGCAGATACGTCGATGCCAGATTGGCCATGCTTGTCAGCGTGTCAGAATGATCCTCGCCGAGCTGTGTCTTTCGACTCTTCATCACTCAGCTTGTTTCTCCAGTTCCTATTCTCGACCATAGACTTGATAAATGGTGGTACTGGAGTTGGCTTTTGACAAGGTACACTATTGGACGACACGCACCCTCGGCCCCGGGAGGATGCACCCTAGGCCAATCACGAAGCAGATAAATGGAATCAGCCCCTGAGTTTCTTTAACAATAGGGTGTAAGCCGCGGATGATAGACTTGGTTGGCCAGTATATGAAATTTGAGGTCTATGTCCAAAAACCCGTTTCGAGACCTATCACCTGATTTTGCTTCGCCACTCGCGTATCTCCGCAACAAAGACGTCTGGTTCCTCCCATGCCGCAAAGTGGCCACCTCTAGCCGTCTCCTTCCAATGTATAATGTTCTTGTAGTACCTTTCGCACCATTCCTTTGGTGCATAACTATTATCGCCGCCGAACCAACTCACGCCAACCGGTATGTCTATGGGCCATGCGGTGCAATCGAACTGGTTCTCCCAATAATGACGTGCGGATGAAGTGCCAGAGTTAGAGATCCAGTACAACATGATCGTGTCGAGCATCTCGTCCTTTTTAAACACCGCCTCCAGATTGCCATCATGATGCGACCAATCTCTGTATTTTTCATAAACCCAGGCAGCCTGTGCGACCGGTGAGTCTGAAAGCCCATAGCCGAGGGTCTGTGGTCTCGTGGACTGCTGTAGAGAGTACCCACGGTGCCCAGCATCCCGACGGCCGTCTAGATACATGGCTCGCTCCTCGCCCTTCGTATCATGGATTGGAATCTGAATTTCTTTCTGCAACGGAAATTAGCATGTATCTTCAAAGGTTTTTCAGAGCAAGAATTGCCTTAGGTTCGAAGTAGATCGAGTTGAGATGAACGCTCTTCAATCCTTTCGATGCTTGATGGCCTAGACTCGCGGTCACGTGAGCTCCCCAATCGCCGCCTTGAGCGACCCATCCACTGTCTGCATATCCCAAACGTTGCATCAACTCTGCCCATGCACGCGCGGTGCGATGGTAATCCCATCCGATCTCCGCCGGCTTGCCAGAAAAGGCGTAGCCTGGTAGTGCTGGAATGACAAGGTGAAATGCGTTTCCAGGACAGCCGCCGTGGGATTCGGGGTCAACAAGCTTATCAATTACGTGTCTGAATTCCAGAATGGATCCAGGCCAACCATGTGTAAGCAAAATGGGTAGAGCATTTTTGTGCTTTGACCGGATATGCAGAAAGTAGAATTCCACTCCATCAATAGTTGTCGTGAATTGGGGGTACGAATTAAGTAGCGCTTCGCATCGTCGCCAATCGTATCCTGCTTGCCAGTACTCACAAAGCTCTTGAATTGCCGCGAGCGGGACCCCTTGAGACCAATCGGTGACTGTCTCCTTGTCCGGCCAGCGGCTTAAATGCAGACGCGCTTGTAAGTCATCGAGAGTGGACTGGGCGATGGAGAGCTTGAAAGGGCGGATAGAACTAGATGTTGGCAAGGCCATTTTTTGCATGGATTTGAGACGGTTGGTAAAACTTGAAAGCTAACTCAACTTTCAGCTTTACGGCTGCCTTGGTTTCCTTCGATGCACAAAAATGATGCCTGAAATATCATCAACACATTCTTCGAAATGCGAAGAATAAATGAAATGGTGCGAATGTGTACATAACGTTACAGTACGGAGGAGAGGTCCATTTAGAGAGAATGTCACAGCGGTAGCGCTGATTAATCGCTATGATCGCTCTGTTTCCATGAGATTCTACAGAGGCCCTAACAGGGGCAGGCACCACCCTATTACACAACGTGCACAAAATGATGTGTAGTCTGATAGGTTCCCAGGGATAATTCCTAGTAAGAGCTCTAGGCGTAGCCAACCAACGCTATATCCAAAAATCATTAAAGCATCCACAAAGCCCCCCCAAACAAATCTCCAACATGCCCTGTGTAACAGCTTACTCCTTCACTTCAACATGAACAGTAACCGCCTTGGCCCCCGACTCCCTGGCTTGCTCCTTCATATCCGCAACAGCAATCTCACCAATATCAACCGCGTCATCGCCATCGAAGTACTTGGCGATTTCCTCCATGGGAGTATACCGGGTTTCGATCAAGAAGGTGTAGATAACGAAGACCTCCGCTCCAAGGAAGACGCAGTAGACAATGTAATACTTCCAGCCAATGGCGTCGAGGGCAATCGCGTTGATGTACTGGTTGAAGAAGAGGGCCGCGGTGACGCAGAAGTTCAGCCAGGTGAAACCCTTGGCACGGAGACCGTAGGGGAGAATTTCGGTGGTGTAGGTTGCCATCAGACCGGATCTGAGAGGAAACGAATGTTAGCGGCTGTTGGTATAAGACTTTGTTAGATGGATGAGTACTTACTTTATATCGTAGAATACTCCGTAGAGAACGGTCAGGACGACGAAGATGTATCCCAGCGCCTGATTAGCCGCGATCGCGTACCGAGCTGACACGATAGTCCATGCATTGAAGACCACGAACGTGCCAACAGTCGAAACCATGTAGACCGGTCGTCGTCCCAACCTATCGATGAAGAAGGCCAGGGTGAAGTTGGTGATCAAGGCCTCGGACTTGATACCAGCGTTGATTCCAAGCTGGGTAGAGGCCTTGGTGATACCAACACTGTCCATAACTTGCTTGAGATAGTAAGAGATCAAACCATTGCCACTCCATTGACTGAAGAGACCCAGAGCGGTGATTAGACCAATTCGCTTGCGGTTGCCCTTGGTCTTCAAGAAGTCAACCCAGCGAGTTTGGTCAATCTCCTTGTCCAGATCGATGGCGGCCTTGATCTCGGCATACTCCAGGTGCACAAATGCGTCATCCTGGTCTCCCTCGCCATGGTACTTGACGAGAATTCGCATGGCTTCATCGTGTCTTCCCTTGCTCATTAGCCAACGGGGGCTTTCTGGCATGAGCCAGATACCGCAAACGATGACAATGGTGCAAATAGCCTGCAACAGGCTGGGCAGACGCCACGACCAGTCGCTCTATGGAAGAAAGAGTGTCAGTCGAGAACAAGTATATCCACGGTAGCTGTTTGGCGATGATACATACCTGAATCTTCAATGTACCCAATGTCACCCAGCTAGCAATGAACGCACCAGAGTGATAAGAAGCACCACTAAGCGTGACAAGAACGGCACGATCTTGGGGATGCGCAATCTCCGCAATCAAAAGCGGAGCACTACCAAGAACAAGACAATCACCAAATCCAATAAGCAGACGAGCAGCAATGAACATGCCAAAGCCAGTAGCGCCAGACTGCAAACCAACAGCAAGTAACATAATAAGACATCCAACGAAACAACCCAGCCTACGGCCCCAAGCATCAATCATGTAAGGCACAACGAACAGACCGAGCAGAGAACCAAGACTCATGGAGGCATTAAAGAGACCCAGAAGCGAGCCGTGAGGGTGCCCGAAGTATTCCTGCCAATAGGAAAGAGTTTGGAGACCGTTCATCATGGAACCGTCGAAACCGTTCGCGGTGTTGGTCATGATCAGGATGACGATGTAGATGTACAGGGTCCGCATGTTCTTCCTCTTCCACCATGGTACGCGCTTGAACTCCTGGTGCGCGAACAAGAAGTGTCCCTTTATCGGCTTAACCGGTAGGATCTTCTGGCTTGGCTTCGGGGGCCGGAATCGCAACGCCATGATTGCTGTAGCGTGCGCTGGACTGGATGTAGATGAAGATGAGAAAGGCAAAGAGGTGTAAAAAGTTAATGAATTCACTTCTCACTGCAGTCGGGGATAAAAGGGAGCTTTTAATCAGGAAAAAGGCCCCCTCTTATGAATCTCGAGACAACCATGAGCTTGACAACCCTTATCCTCCGTATATATGGTGGCTTGATCGATTCCCGGCTGTATTGTCCCCCAACCGGGCTTGTCACGACATGTTGCCACCCTATTTAGTGTTGGCGAATAGCTTGAGCTGGCCAATGGTTAAATTTGCCTGTTCTGCATTTTACCGAAAAGCTTGGCATTTTCTTGGTATGCTCGTATCCTCGACGCGGTATCTCTTGGGTTCATGATCCTTCATACCTCGGCGTTGAAAATACTCCAGACCCCGCAGGCTGTGGGGGACTGGGGGTGGAGACTTGGGAGACTTAGGGTTAACGGGAGACACTTGCGGGGGGCCGAGAGGGGCTGCCTAGTAGACCTTATTTGGTAAGAGGACGATTAACTTAACGTTAGTTTAACTGGGTTTAACTGGAGGTCGAAACTTACAGTGATACCGCCGGCAAGTGGAGGGTTCAGCATTAGCCGAGCTTGAGAGAGCGTTTACTTGCTTTGATTTTAATCTCAGCCACTTTACTAGTTAAGCTTGCTGGGAAAAGCGTGCAAGTTACAAACATGTCGATCTAGTAGTCAGGCATAGCATGTAGTTAATATTCATTAAAGCTTTGATCGACACTGAGATGCAAATCCCCTCTTTTTAAGCGGCTTCTCTATCCGCAAACCCGTTGATAATCAACAGCCTAACCGATTGCTAGCCCAGTAATTGCCAAGCGGAGCTATCCATGTGATTCCTTTGACTACTGTATGTACTATCCCTTTCGGAGCAATTGTGGGGGAGAGCCTCTTTTGGACCTTGAGCTCCAATTTAGCCTATACAGCGTGCTTGGCATCCCTGCTTGGTGGCCTATCAACAGCCTAATTTACCCCCTCATCCAGCTGCATGCAGCTAACAAAGTCATGTAGTGACCTGTAAAAAGATACCCTCTCATGCACAATCGAGCAATATTTGGCCAAACATGGCGAATCGGTGCTACGCGACCACTTAGCATGTGGGCTAATGGGGTGAATGCGTGCTGTAGAATATCTGGGAATATGACACCTGTGAGAGTGTGTGGAACAGAAGGCGCTAGCTAGTTCTGGCTAATAGCAAGAGGAGTATCTCAACTGGCATATTTAAGTATTTTACCCAAGGCGGGGTGAAGTGAAAGAACATAGATTATTCCTCTAGCCTTCATTCTCTTCATTGCGTGAGCTAGCCATGTCGGAAACAGTCAACCCTATCATCTCAGGCTTCGCGCCCGATCCATCCGTGGTCTTGGTGGGCGACTGGTTTTATCTCGTCAACTCCAGTTTCCACGCTTTCCCCGGTCTACCTATCTACGCCTCTCAAGATCTGGTGTCATGGAAGCAGATCGGTAAGTCTCCCGGTCGCTTAGTGGATGGGAGAGACAATTCGAGCTTCCGCTAACGTGCGAGCGCACAGGAAATGCAATCCACCGCCAATCCCAGCTTAGCCTCGCAAAGTCGCAGGCAAACCTCTACCCGGTGGATGATGGCAAGTTCTTGGTCGGGAGTGGAGGCCTATACGCGCCCACGATCCGTCATCACCAGGGCAAATTCTATATCGTCTGTACCAATGTCATCCGTGCAGGGGGGAAGAACAGGGACGCGACGGAGAATTTCATAGTTTCCACCGATGATATCTGGTCAGGCACATGGAGCGACCCTGTCTACTTCAAGTTCGAGGGAATCGACCCGAGTCTTCTGTTCGATGATGATGGAAAAGTCTACCTGCAAGGGTCCGGTGGAATAGGCCCAGGCACCACGATCAACCTCTTCGAAATCGACCTCAAGACCGGCGCAAAATTGACCGAGGAGATGGTCATCTGGAACGGCACTGGTGACATTTATCCCGAGGGGCCGCACTTGTATAAGGTCAAGGGCTGGTATTACTTGCTCATCGCGGAGGGTGGTACCCATGGCGGGCATATGGTGACGATGGCACACTCTCAGAATGTCTTTGGACCGTATGACTCGTGTCCAAGCAACCCCGTCCTCACGGCGCGTGGTACTCAAGAGTATGTCCAGTATACCGGCCACTGTGAGCTCTTCCAGGACAAGGAGGGCCAATGGTGGGGAGCCTGCCTTGGAGGCCGTCTAGAGGACCAAGGGAGATGCCCCATGGGCCGCGAGACCTTTTTGACCCGGGTCGACTGGGAGGGCGACTGGCCGGTCTTTGATCAAGTTAAGTTGAGCCCCCGCAGCCTTTCAGCATCCCGTTCGAGCTTGCACCTCACGGCTGAAGCTGGGTTGGACTATCTCTACGTTCGAGATGCTATCATGAGCAATTATCGGATTGAGAATAACCATTCATCCCTGACATTGACTGCATCATCGGTCGATTTGTCCCACCCGACAGACAGCCCGACCTTCATTGGCAAGCGGCAACGGAAATTATCCGGCAGCAGCTCTGTGGTCCTCGAAGGAATCGAGGGTTCCTGGAGCTCTGCAAAGATCCAGGCTGGTCTCGCCTGTTACAAGGAAGAGCACCGCTTCTCAAGAATATACTACGACGCTTCTCAGCAAGTGGTGGTTCTTGAACTGGTCAATGCTGGCCAGAAGATCGTTCGAACTGAGAAACATACTCTCGAGGAAGTCCCTCGCTCGCTGCTTTTCCGGATAGAGTACACAGAGAAGCAGTATTCCCTGCTTTATTCATTCCAACCTCACGTTAGAAATGAC